AATATTATAAAATATGCCACATCCAACCCATGGAAGACCGAACCATTACCTACTGAGTACCCTCTCCAATTCCGCTCTCTGTTCATCAATAGAAGACCAGTGAAGAATACTTTCGGATTGTACTAACCTGAGGCGATGGTGTCCTTTCGCTGGAATAACCAACATCCTGGAAAATAGAATCGGTCAATCGGTGATACACCTCGATTATATATATAGCTTTAGTGTGTGCTTCATATGCTCAATCAAATATCAGATACTTGTCCCCGGAACAGCAATCATACTCTGAGATCAAGTACTGCGATTGAGTCTCTAAGCTATATATTAGCTGCCCATGAGCATGAGAATAAGGCAATAGGTAGATAGGACAAGACCTAGGCCTTGCCTGCACCAGTTGTTTCAAATGCAGTCCATATCGCAGTGCAACACGCGCAACGGAGAGAGAGAAGAACCCAGTCAACCTTGCTGCTGCAGGTGCAGGTATCACCTGCAAGGACCCGTGGTTATACTTACATATCTCGATTCTCCATGGGTTGTTGAAATAGAAGACCTCATGGAGGATGCTGGCTGGAGGGTTGGTTAAAATACGAGGTATTGCGGATACAGCCGTATTAGCCAGTTGACTCGATAATATAGGAAGAGGAAGGACTGGATAGGTCGTTTCCTTACACGTAGAATGAAATTTGGGAAAGGGGATAAGGATAACACAACGCTCGTGCAAATAACCATCGAGTCCACGAGTAATTGAAAGATTAATTAAACGAGGATTAATAGGAATGAAACCGGATTGTCGATCCTCGTGTTTATCCAATTACCCGAAACAGTAGCGTGTGTATCGCCTTGCTTCGTCCTTGCAGCTGCAGCTCCACGCATCACCACTCAGCGCTGCTTCTCATCCTCCTCGCTTCTGGGGCTGCAATGTCTTTGGCTGTCGGTGGGGTTTAGAGTATTGGGCACAGTCCACCGCTACTGTCGCCTTGACGTTGCTCCCATACTGCCAGCGCATCAGTTCGAGCCTGTATGTAATTTACCTCGGTTTGTATGGAGGTCGATGGTAGCAGCATACTCATATATATCCCTATACATACGATATATCGATATATACATATACAAGTCCATAAGTATAAGATATATCTAAATATAAGATAGATCAATATAATCTATAGAATTGTGGATAACCACATGGTGACTTCGAGTAGATCGTGGGGGGGCAGAGAGGCGTGCTTGTTGCCCCGACCACCCGAAAGCAAACAGTCCAACAGGGACGGAGGAGACTAGTAATCCAGTTATCGATTGCGCCAACTTCTCCATCTCCACCTCGAATTTATGATCGCATTCTCCCTCTCTCTTCCGACTGGTACCATATCTTGTTTACTCCCGTGTTTGATTATTTACTATATATTGTCTGAGCATTAGCGCCTCCTTACCTTTAGAGACCTGCAATTGCACATACACCCCATGGTTGGCGTGCATTGTTGTTGTTTTTGTCTGCTGGACCTGCATTCGTTCCCACTGCGGCTGAGTTGATTAGGGTGGCGCGCATTGAGCTGATCACTCGAGCCCTCTGTCAACATGGGAAACAATCCTCCATGGCTGGAGAGCCTGTCCGACGACTGGGTGCCATTACCAGCAACTCCCGGAACCCCAGCAACCCCGACCAGTCCGGCAACAACTCGTCCCCTCGACCACTCCCGACGCTCCAGCTTACAGAGCACCCCGAGTCGCCTACCGGTCCCCGCGCGTCGCTCCGTCGAACCCTCCTCCATCGATCAGAAGAAGGTCCCTCGTCCCTGTCATTTTGCGAGAAAGCCCGCGCCTCCCACCCCAAAGTACAACTCCCCCAGGACCCCCCATAAGCCGCGCACCCCCGTCCCCAAAGTTCGCACGCCCAGACCCGATAGGACGACCCCCAAATACAACCCCCCGTCGACCCGCAAGAAGCCGCCCCCCACGGACACCAAATCGCCGCTGCGCTCGGTCTCGAACGTGTCCAATATGTCCAACCGGTCGAGCCAGCAGGGGACCGTCCAGGTGCGGCCCAAGAAACGGGATGAGAAGGAGGGAACTCCCGAATGGCGGAAGAGGCTCGTGAAGGGTGACATCCCCGCGGGTGAGCAGCGCGATCTGTTTGCTCCCATCGGGTTGGAGAGTGTCTTTAAGCCGCCCACCCCAGGGTCGGACAAGACCCAGCAGGATCCCATGGCGCACATGAAGAATACGGGCGAGGCGTGGGATCTCGACCGGAGTCTGAACCGAAATAAGGATACGGATGCGAAACAGGACTCCGCGAAGAGAAGAGGGGCACGGAACTCATCCGGTACCAATCCTCGGTCGTCGATCACCAGAGTCAAGCCGCGCATCACGACACAAGCCAGCACGAGCCCCCTTGGATCGCCAAAACGACCGACGGAAACCACCAACGCGTCGGAAGGGCCGTCGCTAGACCTCGAACAGACCCACGATCTCTCACAGAACGACACCCAGAGGAGAACCGCGAGCGGTCTGGAGGACCTTCGCAACGAGGACATCACCCCGATCACGTTTTCGCGCACAAACACGGTCGAAGGAAATGGGACGTCGGAAGTCATTCGGTCTGCCCTGAAGCAGGTGACGAACAAGCTGGAACGGCTGTCGCTGGCCCCGTGGGAGCGACCCAACTCCCGCGCCAGCGACAGCGTGTTGCTGAACCAACAAAGCGACCCCGCCGTCGAAACGGTCCCAGAGGACGACTTGCTGGATGTCACCAGTCATTCCTTGCCGCAGGACCTGTCTGTCGGCACCCTGGACCACCGGGGACGAAGAGCCTTTGCGAGCTTGCGGCGGGATCAGTACCTGGGCGACACCTCGTTCCAAAGGCGACGTCTTTCCCCACCTTCATTCCCGACTCATCTCTCTCCATTCCTCCCAGAGAATTCCCGAATCCGTAGCTCACCCCCCTTCTACAACAAACCAAACCCAATGACGGATTCACTCACGCTTCCGCGACCCTCATCCGCCCATGTCATGTCGACAAACTTTGACCAAACCGGACAAGACTCAACGGACGCCATGCCGTCGTCTGGAAGCCCACTGAAGCTGTTTGGCGATCACGACACCTTTACAAACAACAAACTGCTGCGCCGAATGTCTCAATTCGAAGAGACTTTTGGAGGCCTCTCGGAAGACGACGAGCCGGTCTCGCCATCGGAGGAGGCTCGTCGCAAGGGGGAGAACCGAAGTCTCCTGGGTCGGCACGACGATCCGTTCAGTGAGAATTCCACGCGACGGTACGAGCGGCCGAGGTCTCGACACACCCCAAATAGCCGGCTGCATAAGTTTGGAGATGGGCAGTTGGACCATTTCGGGTTCCCTGATACGAATCCCAACGAGCCACAATTACTGAGCCACGAACCTTCGGATGCCAACTCACGCCCATCTTCGCGACGGCAGAAATATCTCCGACGCACCTCTTACCGGACGTCCAGCCGGGACCAGACCTCGATTGCTTCCAACTCCAAGTATCTCGGCCGGTCGAACCTTTCATCAGCCGCCAGCACCCAGAGAGACAAGGACGGCGGCAGGGACGCCGACAAAGAGAACCAGGACCCATCGGAAAAGGACGCGACGCCGCCTTCCCCAGCAAAGGATCCACACCCCAAACGGCGTCGGACGATCCTGATGTCGGATGATTCGATCCAGGATGACTATGAAGCGTGGACGGCGCCAGGTCAGGCCCCCGACAATCTATCTCTGCTCCAGAGAAGCTTGATGCAACATGGCGTGAGCTACGACGAGGATTCTTCACGGCCGCGGAGTCCGACTCCAAACCAAACGGCATCCTTTGACGCGGGAAACGACAGCTTCAGCCAGAACGATGGGGATTCCATCTTTTTTGATGGGGAGCAGTCCATGAATACCGACGTACCGATCGTCAGAGTGACCGGCGTCAATGATGAGATCCGCAAAGGGTCAATTACGACCCAGGACTTTCTCAACGAAGCGACCAAAATCATGGATATCATCAGATCCAACGGCCACAAGGGGAACGGCTTATCCAGCGTGGAAGAATCAACCGCCGAAGACGGCAAGAGTAACGACAGTTACGACGATGATTCTACTCGTGAGGATTTCTCCCGACCTCCAAGCCGCGAAGGGGTCGACATACGCAAGCTACGTGAGCCCCGGACACAGAATGCCCGCGTACTGAGCCATCTACGCAAGTTCCAGGAGAAAGACGATCAGGAATTCGGGTCCGTCATGTCCCTGAATTTCGATCCGGCTAAGAACCCAAGGTCCCTGCCGAGGGGTAGCAGGCGAGGCAGTATCCCTGGGCCCCGCAAACGCAAGCTATCCACGCAGAACTCGTTTGGCGAAGATGACGACCTTCCTGATCTGTTGACCCTTAACACGCAGCTGTCAAAGGCTTTCAGTGCACGATCCATACCGACCAGCTCGTCCCAAAATTCACAAGCCAAGGGCGTTCTGTCGTCGGACTTGGTGTCCCACCTGATCCCTGAGCAGGTAAACGGTATGACGTATGACCGTTTGAAGCACCAGTGGATCAGACAACGACCGAGAAAGCTTGCCTCGTTACCTAAAGACGATAATAGCGAGGATGATCCGTTCAGCGATATCCCTGATCTCAGTGTCGACGAAATGCAAGAAATTCTGCGGATCGAACGCTACTTTTCTGACCGTCCGGACACCGCCGACTCCGCACGATCTAATGGGGCTCAAGGCTCGCTTCGGAGTGAAGGTCATTCGGCAAAGTCAGAGCCCCGACCAGAGTCCAAAGATGGAGAACCATCGGTCACGGCCAGCTCAGTCCAGTCGAAAGGAACCCAATTTACTTCGAGTGTCCCACACACCGGGACAGGTGCCACGTCGTGGGGCACGGAGGCGCGAAAGAGCAGAGATTCTTCGAACGAGGCGAAGCACGAGATGCAGCTTCACGAAGGGCAGCCATCAAGACCTCCTGGACAACAGAAGGACGCCAATCAGAAAGCGCGGGTCGTCACCATCAGCTTTTCCTCGCCCCTTGTCTCACAGGTCGCGTATAGTGACGACGAGAGTCCTGCGAAACTTCGACGAGAACAAAATAGTACTGGGTCTCAGACTGAGCATCAAGAGATTGAGGGCGAGACTTCTCGTCTAGATTCAAGGCAAACGACCATGCTTACAGGTCGTCGCAACTCAGTGCACGAGGAGCCTTTCCTGAGACGCTCTATTTCGAGGATCGACGAGCGAGATGAAGACGCGGCGGAAAATATGAGTCTGGTGCGGAGAAACTCAATGCCTGCCGAGACTTTCCTGTCGGAGCACTACAACGAAAACTCGATGTTGGTGCGGAACACGGGCCATGACACGACCTATAGTTTCCATATGAGTCCCTTGCCGGATTTCACCGTGGACCAGGTCGACCAGTCCCTGGATCCGGAGATGAGCTATGTGGCTCAACGGACGCATCCCAAGTCGCTGCGCCAGGTCCATGGAACCTTTGCGATGGCGACTGAGGAAATAGTGAAGCATATTACGGAAGCTGAGCCGTTTGAACCGTACTGGGAACACGTTCGCCGTCTGGTTCTCCGCCGAAAAGGGCTGATCACTCTCCACAAATTGGCGGCTTTCTGTCCCCGGTTGGAAGACCTGGATGTGTCTTATAATGACATCGGCCAGCTGGGTGGTGTACCTTCGAGTCTGCGGACCTTGAAGATGCAGAATAACTGTCTGTCGAATCTCACGTCTTGGAGTCACTTGAGCAACTTGCAGTACTTGGATGTCTCAGGAAATGACCTCGAGAGCTTGGATGGTCTGAGTGGTTTGATTCATCTCAGAGAAGTCAACGCCAGCAATAACGACATCAGAGACATCTCCGGAGCCTTCGAGTTGAATGGCCTCCTGAGCTTAAAATTGAGCAATAACAGCCTGACCATGGTTGACTTTGCCGGGTCCGAACTGTGAGTGCACTATTCTCCTTGAACTTTTATAATTACTAACTTGCCCAAACAGCACTCGTCTTGAAGAGTTAGATTTAAGCCACAATAATTTGCTATCCGTGCAGAACCTCGGCAGCCTGTGCGCGCTGTCGTCCCTCGATCTCAGCTCTAACCAGCTAAGCAAGGCGGAGTTCTCGAACGTCCTCCTCAACATGCGATCATTGCGGGTCTCCAACAATCAACTACCCTCTCTGGATGTCGGGGTATTCCCTTCACTGACCCTTCTATACGCGGACCAAAACCGTCTCTCCACCATTTCTGGCCTGGGGCGCTGCCACAGCCTGGAGATCCTCTCCGCCCGAGAACAAACACTGTCCAACGAGCACAACGGCGGCTTCTTCGACGTGGATCTAGGTCTCGTGAAAGACGTCCGCAAAGTCTTCCTATCCTCGAACCACCTCTCCATGCAGACCCTCTCCCCATCCGTCCCACTCTCAAGCCTCCAACTCCTAGACATCGCATCCTGCAACATCCAAACCCTCCCAATCGACTTCGCCCTCAACTTCCCCAACCTCAAAGTCCTCAACCTCAACTTCAACTCCCTAGCCAGCGTCGCCGAACTCGTCGGCCTAAACTGTCTCGCCCGTCTCACAGTCGCAGGGAACTGCATCGCCCGTCTGCGCAAATTCTGCCAGGTCCTCAGCCGCCTCGGCAGAATGAACAAGAGCAAGGTCTCCTCCCTCCAGAAGGTAGACACGAGGGGTAACCCCCTCACCGTCCGCTTCTACCCGCCCGCCATCACAGGAAGCGGTCGCGACAACAGACCGGACGCCAGGAAACTCAAAGCCAAGGAAGAGGAGTCCCCGGCCACAAGCCCAGCCCGCAAAACAGGCCTAGACCTCCCCTCCGTCCTGGCCGACTTCAGCCACTGCCACGAACTCTCCCGCATCATCGGCAATGATGACGATGAAGATAACGACGACGAGGCAGACGGACCGGAGATCGACGACCCGTACACCCTCCCCCTGGCTGACGCCCTCGCCGACCAGAAGTATGTCTCTCGTCTGGATGAGTCCACGCGTCTCAGACGGAGAGTCTTCGAACTCATGCTTTATGCTGGGACGGGCGGATCGCTTAAGTTCCTGGATGGGCTTGAGATGCGTCCTACTCTTGAGGAGGGGTCAGATATGGATCGTGCTTGGTCGAGGCTGGAGAAGTTGGGCGTGTTGAAGAAGAAGGCTATTACTGCTTGATGGCTTCTTCTATTCACTTTGCCTTACGTTCGCTCTCTCCCATTTTCTCAGTCCACGAAGGGTTCTCATCTCCTACCCTCACTTCCTCCTTTTCATATATTTAGCGTTTGTTTCTGGTGTCTGTCGGTTGGTTGGTATTTATCTCCCTGGTGCTTGGTTGTCGATTTATTCATTATCTATTGTAATGGGAGGTGCGCTCACTACCTACCTACCCTACTTGACACTTCTATGGCTGTACCTGGGGAGCACTGTCTATTCATTTCTCCTGCATTCTGCTACACTGCATGCTTTTGTCCTCCGTGTTCGTGTTACTTGCTTGCTTTATTTTATCCTTAGTCCACTGTCACTGACTTCATTTGATGGAGGACTTACTATTGGGACCCTGGGGCTAGCGCTGGACCAAGGCGGTGTTGTGATTAATTGATGGATGGATCATGGCATTGCATACATGCATACTTACATACCCGGAGTTTTTTTTTTTTTTTTTTTTGCCTGTTTTCGTGACTTATTTGCTGTTTATTGTTTTGTTGGTATCCTTTACGAGGGAGGACAACTGTTGTTCGCTGGTACCTGCGTGCATACATATTCATTAGGTCAACTCGAACTTTTTACATCAGTGGATTGTGATTCATTTGGCGGTGGTGATAGTGGTAGTAATCGTAGTACCTGCTAAGTCTGATTCTATTCCTATCTCTGGCGAGAAGATAAGGGTATGTTTTATTGTGGACAGTGGTCAGTGGACAAGTCATGCCTGTCTGCCTTGCTGTGACTGCCATCAGTCAATCCCAGCGTAATATCGTCTGCATTCATCATTTACTCGTAAGCAGCACCGCACCCTCACTCTGTTGCCTTGGGAAGACAAATGAATAAGAATATTTGCCATAGTCTCTACAAAGTTAACCACTTTCCTGCCATCTCTTGTACTTTCTTTTCTCTACTTCCATATCCGTCTCAAAACTCCGCATCGAGACTCTTCAGCTGCGAAGTGAATGTCTTCCGAACCCACTCCATATAAGCCTTCCACTTATGATTATCACCGGATGTCTCAGCGCTAGGGAACGCCTTGCTCAGCTCGCGGCTGATCTTGAGAACGCCCATTGAGGCTTCCTGTGCTTTCTCGAGCTCTTGCTTGACGGCGTTGTCCTTGGGTTTGAATGAGAGGACCGCCGTGTAGCGCTCGGAGAGTGCGTTCAGCTGTCGTTGGGTCTCGTCAGGCGAGAGCGTGATCAGTTTCGAGGTCATAAGGTTGCAGATTGTGCGGATGTCTTGCTCGTCGTCGATGCCGGCGAGGATACGGTCGAAGAATTCGCTGACGTGCGAGAGCGAGAAGGTCGTGTCGAGGGAGGCGTAGAGTGTTTCGTAGGCACTCTGTTTTTATCCGTTAGATGGAAGTTGGGAAAGGATGGTTGGGGTGTAGGATGAGACATACCTTTCGAAGTTCAAGCCCATCGTCCACGCGGTGCTTGAATGGCCCCATTTGAACCTCCCGAATGAGCTCCGGTTTGATCTTCGTGTCGCCGAATACAGCCGGGAGCAGTTCGTTTAGGTGCGGCGAGATGATGTCCATCTTATTGTGGATGGCAGAGTTCAGCGTTGTCAGGGCTAGACGATGGTTGCCGAGATCGCGGTCGCTGAGCATGTTGACCAGCAGCGGCACAATCAATGGCCTCAAGACGTCATTAAAACTATCTCTCGCATCCGAAAGCGTGTACCGGAAGGCGGAAATCACAACACCGCGGATGCTGGGATCAGGACTCGACAGGTATTCCTAGTGATGTTTAGACATGTCTCTTTGGGGGGGGGAATGGAAAGTAAACTCACCTGGAAATGCGGGATGTACGCCACAGGATCAATCAACGCCAGTCGACCGATGCATTCGGCACCGACCGCTCTATTATCTTCCTCTTCCGACACAACCAGTAGAGCTTGCCACAGTTTCTGTGCAGAAGGAGCAACGTCCGGGCGAACGATTTCAGGATGCTGAAGCAATTCCTTCACGGAATGCAGGGTCAGGTAACTCTGAGGACTCGACTTGTCCAAACCTCCCAAGATCGTCGGCAGGTATGCTTTCATGTTGCCCGCAGCTGCGTTTCCAAGCGACGTGGCCGCAGCCAGGCGGACCTTGTCGGATTTGGAGTTGAAGTGGTCGATGAAAAGCTGGGGCGTAAGCGAGCAATCGGAGCCCATCCGGAGGCCGACCTCTCCCAAGATGGCGAGTGCGAGGCATTTCCGCTGGGCATCCTGCGCGGTTTGGAGCTCCGCCAAGAAATCCTCCATCTTGACCCCCAATTTGGGGCCACCGTGCACCAGAAGCGTCCCAACCGCCCGGCCGACAACGGAGGTGTCGCCATTGATGCCGACATCGCGCAGAAAGGTCTTCATTAGATCAGCACCGGCGCCCTCTTCGCCAATCACCTTGACCAGCAGGAGCAACGCTTTCAACACGGTACCGACAAGAGGGGCGACGACGATCGAACAGAGAGCGGACACGAGCTTTTGGTTGACCAGAAGTGGGGCGTTTCCGGGGATGAGCCTGGCCAGGATAATCAGAGACGGGGCGAGGAAATGGAAATCCTCGGCGTTGATGAGCGGCAGCAGGGCATCTTCCAGTTCCTGCCTCGTCTTGTCAGTGTAGTGAGCTCTGGTGGCAGAATTCATGGCCAAGCTCCGCAGGGCTTCCAAGCTGGCACCACGAAGGACCCGGTCAGATTTCCGCAACTGGGCCCCGAGCTCCGCCGTGACTTCGCTGACCCACGCGGCGGTCACGTCGACTTCACGAGCACACAGAACGGCGACGTCGTCGACCGCCCGAACGGCCGACAGTCGAGTGGTCTCGTTTCTCAGGCGATCCACCAGCACCGACAGCCCCTTGGAACGACAGTCTGACGGGAGGAAGGCTGATCCTTGGTCACCCGAAGTGCGAGCGAGGAGAACCCCGAACACGTGGATGGCGCGCTGGCGCACCTCCAGATCGGCGCTGGTGTCGGTGATCCGCGCGAGGACGATATTATACAGCTGCTCGAGCTGCGATGCGATGTCCTGAGACGGAGCAGACACTCGGGGTGGCGTGAGGGCCTTGACAATCTGCTCGACCGCGCCCAGAGCTTCGCTGCTGACCTTGTAGTTTCGGTCGTTGACCGCCCCGGTGACGCCCGGAATTAACGCAATGAGGAAAGGCAAGAGTGCGTCGGACGAATGGGTTTCGGCAACGGCGGCGATGAGAGTGAGTGTCTCCGTCTGCAGAGTGCCTGCGCTGGCTGCCGCGCCGGCCGGTGCGGAGGAGCTTCCGGATAGGGAAGAAGACTTGAGCACATCGACGATGGGGTCCTCAATTTGCTGGAGGTGGTCCGCCAACCCGCCGTAGCGAACCAGCGCTAGGCTTTTGAGCAGCACAATGATGGCCTGCTTGAGAGGCACCGACGCCTGCTTCCACATCTTGACCAAGCTCTGGACAATCACGGGCACCGAGCGGGCGAGGTCTGCCTGCGGGCCGGACTTGGGGGATGACGGCGTGATGACCGGGGTGCTGGCGGCCGACGAGGTGCCAATGCTCGGCTCAAAGTCCACCATGCTCGCATCACTGTCTTGCCGTCTGCGTTTCCTGGTATTCTTCGAGCCACTGACGGACTCCAGATAGCCATTCGAGGTCATGATCATCGACCCATCACCCGTCTTCCGCACCAAGGCAGTCATGGTGGAGATGACTTCCAGTTTAACACTCTCCTCGCGTTCCTTGCCGAATCGAGCGATGAGAGCGGGCGCGATTTGCTGGTACAAAGAGCTATCGTCCAGAGTACGGCCGTGCCCGAAGTTGGAGATGAGGGTGTAGAGGAGCTTGGCTGCACAGCGCCGGACCTTCCAGCTCATATCGTCCATATCACTGTAGCCCCCCTCTTCTTCAAAATCCTCAAAGTCATCATCCTCCAGGTCGGGCTCCTCGGTGTCATCATCTTCAGAGCCATCGTCTTGTGTACCACCCATTTCCTCGTCCTCCTCGAGCTCCGCGACATTCGGGTCGTATTTCAGGTATCGAAGAGCGGATCGGAGGGTGTTCGGTAGGTACGGTTGCATCTGAGGACCGCAAGAGCTAATCAAGGACTCCAGGGTAACCAAGGCGGTCTCGCGGAGCTCGTCCGCCTGGGGATCGTGGTCGTCATCCTGGGAGTAGGAAGACATTGCGGGGGAGAGCAGTGGAGGGTAGTGTAGTGAGGGGTTTGTCAGATGTCGTTGAAGGAATCAATTTCCCACCAGAGCTCGAGGTGGTCCTAGAGATGGGGAAGAGGGATTACAAGGGGAAAGAGAAAGGATGAAGGAAGAAAGCTGGAGTAAGAAGTCGAGGCTAGGAGGATCGAAGCAACGAAGTTCCCCAAATTCAACAAGTGACGATATGCCCCGCCCGTGACTTGGATGCCTCAGGATGCAGGTCCGGGTTAACTCCGCTCCGATGCCGAGTCTTGGCATAAAAAAATAACCATCATGCACAAATAACCTCATTGCTGCAGAAAGTCGAACAGATCCAGAGAGGAGGTATTGTTCTGGGTCTTTTGTTTGGAAGCCATCAATGCCTGCAGTCCTCCCTGTTTCCTGGCCTTGGCTCGTTTCTTACTGCTGGCATTGTCCACCACTTTGCGGTCATCTGGCAGAGGAACCCCAGGGGAGTCAACAGGGGAGGCTAAGGCTGAAGGATTCGTAGTAACTTTAGTGGCTCTTGTTGGCAGTGAGTCTTTACGCCCAGGCTTCACTGTCCGGCTGTGACAGCGAAGGCAGGTGTAGACTGTTGCCCCCTGTGTCTTTGTTTTCTTGGCAGGTTTCGGATGGACCTTGCGGGTTCTGGTCCATTCTGGCCTCCTGGGACTGCCACAGGCACCACAGTAGTTCTCCTGGAGCCGTGGGTTTAAAGATCTACATTCCTCATGGAAGATGTGGTGGTGGACCGCCATCAGATGGGCTGCTGTAGACGGACTGAGCGAAGCCAAGGAAGAGGCCGAATCCTTGAGGAAATTCAACCGGGGGGCATGATCACTGATAGGCATATTGAATTGACTGAAAAGAGAAAAGATGTTGGGCTGCTGTAAGGAACCATGTAACAATATATGAACAATCAAACAAGAACCAAGTAAGCTGGTGAATGAAAGTGGAGAGTATTGCAGTGGAAGAAAGTGATACTGAGACGGATCTGATAACCGGCGCAGATCTAGAGGGAAAAAGCTCGGGATCTTCAATCACTTCACTTTCTCTCACTTCTTCTCCCTTACCCTCTCCCTCTCCCACCCATCCTATTGATTTCTCTTCTTTTATCTTCTCTCCGTTTCATTTATCTTTGAACATCATATTTCTCTCTATCTCACATCGATTGCCCCTACCCATCTCAACTATTAGCACGGATTGACTTGTCGGAACCGTTTGTTGGATCCATCGCGTTGTACTAGGCCAATCTAACTCTTCTTAGATTTAGCCGTCGCAGTTGATTTGCGACTGGCATTCCATCTCTGCAAATAATGGAATCCGCTCAGTCCAATCCGGCGTCAATCAGAGTCGCTCTGGAAGGATGTGTAAGTCTTCATTCGTCTTCCTTGTCGGGGCTCCGTCACTGTCATTGGCGGGGACGGTGGAGCCGTACTATAATGCCACGATCTACATGCTAATCGACTGGACACACAGGGCCACGGCTGTCTACACGACATCTATGCCTCCGTGGAAAAGTCAGCTGCTCTCAAAGGATGGGATGGTGTTGACCTACTCATCATCGGAGGCGATTTCCAGGTAAATCATCCCGTTCCATCTTCCTCTTCCCAGGACTAATGTAGACCAGGCCGTCCGTAATTCCAACGACATGGCGTGTATGTCTGTGCCAAACAAGTATAAGCAGATTGGCGATTTCCACGAATATTATAGTGGAAAACGTACGGCGCCGTACTTGACGATCTTCATCGGTGGCAATCACGAGGCCAGTAATTATCTATTCGAGCTGTACTACGGCGGATGGGTCGCCCCCAACATTTACTACCTCGGTTCCGCCAACGTCCTGCGCTGTGGTCCTTTGCGCATCGCAGGCATGTCGGGCATCTGGAAGAAGTATGATTACCGAAAGCCCCATCACGAGCGCCTCCCCTACAACCGGGACGACCTCCAGAGCATCTACCATGTCAGGGAGCTGGACGTTCGCAAGTTGCTCCAGATCCGGAGCCAAGTAGACATGGGCTTGTCGCACGATTGGCCTAAATATGTCGAATATGGCGGTGACCACGAAACCCTGTTCCGAATCAAGAGAGGGTTCCGCGAAGACTCGCAGACAGGGAGGCTTGGAAACACGGCGGCGAAGCATGTCCTTGACCGGCTACGCCCGGCATACTGGTTTTCGGCCCATCTCCATGTCAAGTTTGCTGCCTCGATCCAACATGGTCAGTACACCCCCGCTGGAATTCCAAGTGCTGCAAGCCAAGCTCCTGTGCCCTCGCACCCAAACCCCGCTCATCCATTTGGTTTCGATGGCTCCATGTCGTCCCTCATTACCATCGATGAGCCACCAAACAACAATGCAGCCCCGGATACGACCAACAATGAAGGCCCCCAAAACACAATGGCAGAGGTCGAAACTCCCGGTGGCAACACCGCGGAGCCCACGGCGTCTAAGTCTGAATTGTCCGAGCATAATGTGTCAGAAGTCAACACCCAACAGCCGGCTGAACCTATTGAGGCAGATCGCACTGCTTCTGTAACCGGAAATGATCCTCTCCCCCAAGATCGCTCATCCAGTCCTCAGGGAAACACCGGCGGAGACGCGACGACAAGGCTCTCGGCGTGGAACAACTTCCACAGCGTTGCCGCGCAAAATGAGGCCGCCGAAAACGCCCGATACCTGGCCGAGTATGAAAAAAATAAAGGATCTGCTCCTCCTGAGCTGCAGCATAGCCTCACTTGGCGCAAGGTCGACGTGGGCTCCGATGGCGTTGGTCGCACCCTGGCCGGGATCGAGCGAGATGGCGAGCTAGAACCTCCTGGAAGCAAGAAGCAGAAAGTCCAGCACGAACAAGAAACCGTGAAGAATGCTGACGAGATCGATCTGGATCTAGACAGTGACTCTGATTCGGGCGCGCCTCAGGCATCCGTTCCCCAAGCGAAGTCGCATGAGAATACTTCCTCCCATCCAGCGACGGCCCCGGCTATGCCTTTTTCGGCGCCTGAGAAACCGTCTACTCAAACCCAAAAGACCGAGACCGATGTATCTGAAGAAATCCGAAGCCAACTGCCCGCCAGCTTCGCCCGTCCACAGATCCAGAAATTGCCTGACCCGGTTTACGAGGCGCTACCGGAAGCTATTTCCAACAAGACCACACAGTTCCTTGCATTGGACAAGTGTCTCCCCGGGCATGAGTTCCTCCAGCTAGTCGAGATCCCCACCATTTCCACCACCGACAACTCTGCCCCTGAAAGACCTTTCCGCCTGCAGTACGACAAAGAGTGGCTCGCCATCACGCGGGTCTTCGCCAACGATCTCCAATTAGGGGACCTGACAGCCCACCCATCACATGATCTTGGTGACGGAGTCTACAAGTCACGGATCCTCGAGGCGGAAGAATGGGTCGAAGAGCATGTTGTAAAACCCGGAAAGCTCGACGTACCGGAGAACTTCACGCCCACCGCTCCAATCTATGACCCCGCCGTCCCGATCACCACCGAGGATCTTCCTCCAGAATACACCAACCCCCAAACCTCTGAATTCTGCAAGTTGGTCGGGATCGAGAACAAATTTGACATCAGTGAAGAAGAACGCCAGGCTCGTGTGGCTGCTGGTCCCAGACCTGAAGAGCCCAGATATGGCTTCCGAGGAGGTGGTTTCAACCGTCGCGGTCGCGGCGGATATGGACCTGGTCGAGGTGGTAGGGGAGGAGGCGGGGGTGGCGGTAGAGGAGGCGGAGGTCGAGGGGGCCGTGGCAGAGGTGGCCGACGTTACTAAATCTTCTGGCCACAAGTAGACACCCACACCTCTTGTGTGCTGCGCGCTCATGCGGCTGTCGACACAATTTGTTCTGATATGGGAGGATGGAGATGATGACATGGAAGTCTATGCGCGTGTCCAAGAGAGGATGATATGCCATGTCTGCATTCTGAATTCTCATTTCCCCCTCTCTTCGTTATTTGCAGCCATACTTCCCTGTTTGTCTTTCACGTTGAATGCTCTAAGCCAACACCAAATTCCCGCCAGTGGTGCTAAATGATCATGTCGTCTTGAGAGGGATGATCTTATGCAGTGTGGACATGCCATGCCACATCTGGGGATGGGTTCAGGTCAATCAACCAGATACTCTACTAGCTAATTGAAAAATTCTATTCCTCTACCATTATTACCGTAAGCATGGAGACAGGCACAGATAACCATTAAGAGTGTAGCGCCAGTTGTAATTGCCTTCTGTGGGTTATCCTCCTTGTAGTTCTTTCCAATATCAACCCAGGTGAATGTATACGGTGGGTATCATAGAAATACCCCTGGACTGGATTCTATTGTAGTTGTGTTATTCATTCATCTACTTATTCCTTCACGAATATTTATCACTACTATATTTCGTTCACTCTTGTTTACTTCTAGCACTTGGTGCCTTTATTACATATATTATTTAGCCGGTCACACTCAAGAATCACGATCCAGTTTCGAGACTAACTCTTTCAGCTTGGACACAGAATTACATTCTCCAAACAGCCCAGCAATTATTAGATCAAAAATACACTGACACTGGCTATCCTCCCACCACTTAACCAACAAACTCAAGGCATCACTCACCTGCACACTACCTGGACCAAATGCTTCGCCGTAGGCCGAGAAACAACGCATCAAGCAGCGATCAATCAAAAAGCCAATCCATCGCAAGCACCTTCCCGGGGATAAAAGCCCCTCTCCTCGATCCTGAACTCGATCAAGCGGATAGTCCACCCAGCAAAGACTCCTCCCCGGGGAAAAGAGTGCCCGTGCACGAGCCTGGGCTCGATCAATCGGAGAGTCAATCGGACTCAAGTTTCGTGCTGCAGGAAAGCTCCTCGGCGGGGGAAGAATCGCCCCTGCTCAAGTCTGGTCTCGGTCCAACAGGGGACCATTCAATACGCCGCGGAGAGTCGATACCAAAGCTTAGTGCCCAAACAGGTGACGCTAGACAAGAATTTTATCGACAGAGTACCCAGGTACCATATCCAGACCAACAAGTATCAGGCCCATAGCTGACGCCCCATCGTGTCCCAGGTGGAAAGCAGCGCACGATCCCCTGCCCCTCCGGCCAATACTCCAGTGGACGACAGTGTACTTGCCCCCAGGCCAGGTCGGCAGCCAACACCTCACAGCCACTGTAAGTAAAATACTACCACCCATTATGCCTCAGCCAGACATGCAAGGTCGAAAGTGAGAATAACCAAGACAAATCGAACAGATACATCCCAGGCAGATCGGACGGGCACGGACTTAGTCCACCAGCAGTGGTTCCAGGGCCGTCCAGGCCACCACTACCGGCGAAAAAAGGGGGTATATCGATGCTCATGGATCAATTGAGATCGGGGCCGGGGAACACGGGGGGACCGAAGAGGGATTCGGTAGTAGCGATGTCAGCCGCGTCAGACACGGGAGACACGGGATATGCAGCGGACGAGGGGTCATCAGAGGAAGCATCGAGTTCATCGGTACAATCACCGAGTCCACCGGGCCAATCGTCACAGACATCACCAAACCAGTCGCCAAACCAGCCCCCGGAGCAACCGCTGCAAACCCAAGAGCAACCCCCCAAACACCCCCCAACGGAATCCTCGAACCAACCCCCAAATCAGCCGCCAGATCAAACCGACGATTCGCCCGCAGATCGCTCCCCAAGTCCAAATGCGTATGTCTCCTTTGTGCCGCCGCAGATTATTCACCCAAACGCATTTGGAATCCGACTACGACGCTGTGGAAACAGGTGTACTTTTTTCAATGGTTTCGTTACGAGATGGAAAGCTTTCTGGAGTCGTGGGAATAATGGCGACAACATTGACAATGCCGATGGCAATGGCGGTGGAAATCATAATGATAGACAAGCGTGAATTGGGTTGGTGGGTTTGAGCGGTACTTTGTTTGACAGGGTGGTGGAAGGCTGTATGGAGCTATCGTGTTTCAATCATTGTCAAGGCTGTTTAGAATACTTGATATTGAGAATATCTGGATAGTCGTTATGCAGCTGCATCTTAAAATGATCAATCAAAGCGATACTGATGGCTTGAGACTTCCACATATCAACGGGCAAGTCCAATCTGATAGCTCGAAATAAATAGGTAGTACTAGCATATCGAGTTTATTGAACTTTCAAAAGCATTGGCATCAGCCCATCTTGTTGTCGTCGTGCTCGTGGCACTTGGAAGCTGTAATTCTACATGTGGCTGCCGTTCAACTGTGAAAGTCATGTAGCCACGAGATATAACCTCTTCACGGGTGTACTGAGGAAGTGACCGGCTATGACTCCAGATTGAACAATTCGTCTTAGATATGAAGTTGATAGAGTTGTGGAGTTGATCGACTCCGGGATGCGCAGTTATGTCCGATCCCTCCGCGTCATGTGACACACCAGATTCCCGCTCCAACAACGTCAACCTCCGACATCGACTTTGCACAACCACCAAACCACACAGATCCTCTCTCCAGCACCATGTCAGTTACAGTGAGTACTCATCTGCCATCGAAGGGCAACCGCATATTTGCTAACAACCACCCACAGCTCCACACCACCCAAGGAGACCTCAAGGTCGAGCTTTTCTGCGAAGCCGTCCCCAAAACCGCAGAAGTACGTCCCACCATCACTCAGCTCCCCACGTCCAAACCACACATCTAACCTGGTCCTCTCCCTCTAGAATTTCATCGCTCTCTGCGCAAGTGGCGCATACAACGACACCCCTTTCCACCGCCTAATCCCCGGCTTCATGATCCAAGGCGGCGACATCTCCCTCGGCCCCGCCGCATCCTCCACCTCCGGCAACAAACCCGCCCTCCCCTTCGACGACATCCCCAAAGGCGGCACCTCCATCCACCACCCCAGCGCGCTGAACCAAGAAATCCACCTCCCCGCCCTGCGCCACAACACGCGCGGCATGCTCTCCATGGCTGCGCGACCTGTGAAAGACCGCACCGCGCCCGGGTCGCAGAACGCGACCGGTACGTCGATCAACGGGAGTCAGTTTTTTATCACCTTTGCGGCGGCGCCGCATTTGGATGGGGCGAGTACGGTTTTCGGGAAGGTGTTGAATTTGGAGGCGCAGGATGAGGGCGGGGATGTGCTTGGGAGGTTGGAGAAGGCGAATGTTAAGGTTGATAAGAAGGGACGGGTTGTGCAGCCGAAGGAGGGGGAGGAGTTTGAGCCGTTGCGGATCAAGAGTGTGACGATTCATGCGAATCCGTTTGCGAGGTGAGGGGGGGATTGTTGTTGGGTTGACTGGCTGTTTTGGCTAGTGTGCATTTGATTGCCCTCTGGGGAGGGTCCTGAACGGGAAGTGGTTGAGTGTGTGGCTCCGCGAGATATCGAGCGGTATCTGAAGTGCCAGCGGCGATCAGACGTTGCGACGCGTGGACACCTAATAGACGAGACTATCGTCCGGCTTCGGCGCCACTGAGTACAACCCTTGCCTAGAGTATATGGGTTACAGCTCCGTCGGTTGAGGCCGTCTTCCTGGACCGAGTCGGTCCAAAGAACTATCTACCTGCACCTCGTGTGGTGCATGTACTTCTGGGCACTCGACATTCCCGGACTGGATCTGTACGAGCTAGCTACGTTGAAGGGAAGTGTGTAAAAACTAATGTCATTAATGACCTCATGAAGAATCCACGTCTATAAAGCTGAATACTGCATCAGCTGATATCAAACTTTTTCGTGTATCACCGTCATATCACAAATACACCTCAAAACCCAAGGGGATCACATAAGCCACAATCTCATAATCATCCATGACCGGATATCGAACACAAAAAGAAACATAAAGGGAAAGAAACAGAAAGATTAGAACAGCCGTTAGGAAAATTTGCAAACGTCGTAAAGGGGGAAAACTTCATAAATCAGCCCGTGAGATCCAGACCGATCTCATGTGCAGTAAGTAGAATGATCATGCCTTCTGCTCGTCAGCTGCCTCCTCTTCGTACCCCTCGACCTTCATATCCTTCAAGCCCAGCTCTTCCTCCTCCTCGTCTGTCCGCGTGTACTCCTCGATCGTGATCTTCTCGTCACGCGCAGGAGCACACAGATCCTGCACGTAGCTGCTGGCCATGGGATCCTCGAGAGTGATGACGAACTTCAGATCTCCCTTGATGGCGGCGTCGAGGCGGTCGAAGAAGCGCTTCCACTTCTCCTTGTCGGAGCCGGCCATGCTGTCGCCGCCAGCGCTGGTGGAGTCGTCGACGTCGAAGATCTGGCCGTGGAGCTGGTCGCGGATCTCGGTCAGCAGGCCTTCAACGGTCGTGAAGCGACCGCCCAGGGTGCCGGGCTGCACCGTGACTTCGAGTTCGTCGCTGTGGAGCGCGCAGCTGTCGGACTTGAGGATATCGCGGTGGAGGTCGACGACGGTGTCCACGGTGAGCGTGATCCGCTTGCCCTTTTCGGGGACCTCGCCGCCCGTCTTGACGTCGCTCGTGCGGTATCCGCAGTGGTCGCACACGGTTCCGAAGAGATAGACCTCCTTGAAGTACGGGATGTTGACCTTCTTCATGTTGATCATGCACTCCTTGGCACACCCGGGGCATTCGGACGGAAGGCTGTACGGCTGTCCTTCGACGATGTCCAGATCGTCCAGGCTCTCCTCGCCACCCTTGCCTTCGTGCTGCACCGCTTCGGCGTCACCCGCGATGCCGAGCGCTTCGTTCTGTTCGTGCGTACGGGGGTAGTCACGGCGGCGGTACTTGTTTCCGGTCTCCTTGGCAGACGGCGCAATCCACGAGTTGCCCGTCGGGTCATCCAGGGAGATCGTGAAGGGGTAGCCTTCTCTGTCGATGATCTTCTGCAGCTTCTGGATGATCGGTTCGAGAGCGTCGTGCAGCTCAGGAGCCTGCTCTTTGCGCAACGGTTGCTCGCTAGAGAGCGACTCGTGGATCCTCTGAAGGACTCCCTCGACGGTCGTCATTTGACTCTCGCCCTTGGGCATCTCGATGCCGAGCGTTTCCAGCTTGAAGATCGACGTGTCGCTCCTGATGACCTGGCGTCGCATGTCATTTTCGTCCTCCACCTCCAGCGTGTATTTCGATCCCTTCTCTTGGATCTGACCGGCGGCCTTGACCGAGTTGTCTTTGAAGTGGCAGTGTTCGCATTCGAAGGACTCGAGGATGATGTCGCGGAAGAAGGGAACTCGAAGAAGCAGCAGTTTGGTCATGCCCTGGAACGTGTCAGCGAAGACCCCATCTAATCTATCCTGAAAGACTTACATTCTCATGACAGTTCATGCAGAGACTCTCGAGCGACATGACTCCGGTATCCTCATTTCTCTCCACCAAGTCGCTAGGCTTCTGGAACTGCGACTCGCCATTGGCCTGGTTCTCTGCGTCGGCGGACATTGTGAAAGGTTCTAATATGGTATGATGTAAAGATTTGAAAATCGCCCAAGAAAAATGTGGAAAGAGGCAGTTTATACTCCACCCGAAATGATAGTGTCAGCGTAAAAAAAAATCTGGTAGTCGCGGGAACTTTCCTTTGCCTTCCAGAGCAGCATCGCCGGTGGCGGCGGGGCAACTTTTTTTTTTTGGCGGGGCAGCAATTAGTCAGCCGCATCGGTGTCATCGCGATAGTGTCAAGTTTGCCAAAAACAGTAAACACAGTGGATCTCTACATGGTTTAGAGGTTGGCTTGATCACCAGGAGACTCGAGGTCATGGCTAAAGATATACTTGTCTTGTGTATACATCTATTTCGAGGCACATTTCAGCATTCCAAGAGCTCTTTTTCCACCACGAATTCAAATCCAAGTCGTTTACGCCACATGAAACCAGGTCAAAAAAAAAACATCAACCTTCGAGTAGTTAGCCAAATCACAGACAAATTGGAGTGTAGGTAGACTTATAAGAAAAAAAAAAGGGCCGCTCCCTCGAAAGGAAACGGCCATCCACGACCCAAAATCAACCGTGACGTCAGGCTCAAGCTCCCAAAACCCACAACAAGTACCTTCGCCTTGCATTCGAGAAGCCAACAACCCCACGTACTGCTGATGCCCAGATCCGTCTCTTCGTTATCTTGTCAACTGACCCCTGGATGATACCCCGATGCGGAGACTTGTCCGTCCAAGGATGACTGACAGAAGCGGTGCAGACAAGCCTGGGCTTTGATCCTCACTCGCGAGAGGTCCCGCAAAACTCCGTCGTGCTTGTCTACCTTGACCGAACGAATCCCAACAAGGCCATCACACAAGTGGACAATGTCAAAGTGGCAACGGAGGGGAGAGAACCTAGCGGGCTTCAGCTATGGTGATTGCAGTCCCCAAACACAAGCGCTAGGCCGTGGCGAAAGAAATGCCATGAAGCTGTGGAGCAAGAGATGAACCTCTCGGGAAATGATAATGGGTCAATGGACATGACGAACGACGTTCCCTGCCCCGTGCCCTCTGTGATGGTAGCCAGCCTCAAAACGTTCAACAAGCCGTAGTCTTGGTCCTTGAAAACGGCGCATCAATTCCCAGTGTCTCGTGAACGTGTCATCCCAAGAATCATGGAGTGGTCCAAAGTCCTCTCGTGTGTAACACAGCGCCTTCAGGGACAAGTTTTTGTTTCCTCTCCTTACCGACTGGCGTAGGAGGGCATTCGTAGAAGCGGACAAACAACATCCGTAAAAACCGCTTCCTTCTTCCCAAAGGAAGGAATGATGAAGCTCATTCATCATCGTTGTCGGCGCCCATCAATCTATTCGCAACCTGCGTCGCAAAGAGATGGTTAACGCGGGTGATCCGGACCTCCATATGGAGCGAAACCGGTGGCTGGTGCCGTGGTTTCGGGTCCACTGGCTCTGTGGTACAGGACGTAGATTTGGAGACAGAAGGACGAAAATGGGTACAAGTTGCCCAGGTAACTCGAGGTTGGAAGCATGTACGGAACACTGCACCGGCACGTACAAAAAATCGCCAAAACAACCGTTTCACCATTACATATTTTGCATTACAACCAGACAATCAACCGGAACGTGACAACAAGCCGCATGATTGAATTATCGCAGAGCAATAGTTCAACGGGGCCATTCAGCACAGCAGCCAAAAAAAATCTCGCTACAGGTCAATCATCCAACCAAGGCCTGGGCATTGTCCGGAGATTGCACTGATTCCGACGAGTAGATTTCTCAACATGCCAGCTTCATGACCGTGTGTAGGCACTAGTCCAAGGACCAGATTTGTTGTGTTCAGTATTGCCAGCGTCAATGCAAAACAACATAATGACAGTTGAATCGGATCCTTCCTGCGTGGCCAGATAGCTCCCAAAGACAACCCTAATTACCAGGTGCCTGCCATGCTTCACCCATGTTCTCTCCTAACCACCAATCTACCAAGCACAGGAGACCATCCTCGGTGATCAGCATGCAGCGTCCAGCATAAGTAGACCGACGCGCGTCCTTTTCAGGAGCTTAAAGCGCATGGTAAACCGTCTTTTTCTGCCGCAAGGCTCTGGACATCGGACACCGTTCGTCCCTTTGATCCGTTCTCGAATCAAAGAAAGTAGTGGGTAAGCCCGCCACGCGAAACCGCGAAACTGTTGCCTGAAAAGGCATCGAACCGACTAGGGTATTAGGGTCAGATTCCCAATTACCAATACATCCGACAAATGCTTTTGGGGATTGGGAAGCTATATGAAAGCGCGATCTGTGTGATTGATGCCCTGACGGGTCAGAGAGGTGACAGTGGAGCTCGCATGACGACGGAACGACACGTTCGGAACAGAGCAATGGGATCAAAGATGGCTTCGTAGATCAAGAACTGGAATCAAACTAGGATTGCGTAACGATAACAAAAGCTGGACCTGTCCAGCAGGACTGGATAGGGGTGGCAAAGCCATTGCCAGGATGGATTGAAGAGACCAAGTGCGGAGGGGAAACAAGGGGTTTTAACTCCGGGGATGATGGGGAACGCGCAACGCGTTGGCACGTGACTTTGGAATGTACACCGCCCGAATCTCCCTCTTGATACATGGTCGATTGCTTTGGTATCCAAAGCGCATTTTTGAAAAAAGAATTTAACTGCTCAACAATCAACAACACTAGTCTGGGTTGTAAAGAAGAATTGGAGTTCTCCCGTGTATAGCTGTCTGGAGTCTCAGATCGTAGTACAGAGAGAAACGCCTGAACAGTCAGATTTCTTGTGCTAAGAGATGCCTATTTTTTAATGCACAGATAATCCCCCTTCTAATTCATTCGCAAGACTCTCCTGTGGAAGCCACGGATGGGAAAGCAGGTCCTCCGCCGTGGCCCGATCCTCCGGCCTCCAGCACAGCATTCTAGATATCAAGTCTACGAACTGGAGCTTTTCGCCGTCATCATCAATTTCTTGGGCCATGGAGAGCAGGTCAAATGTGTGGGACAAGGACTTGCAGGTCAGCTGACATGCCAACCGATTGCAGTCACTTCCAAAGGTTTGACAATACCTTGATCGATCTTGATCGGCGCCTTATTCATATAGGCGGCCAGCGCGTTTGGGGGGGACTTCTTTGAACGGATGACTTGGTGGAGGAAGTACGTGTTGTCGTGAACGGTTGTCATATGGATGGCAAGGGGCATGGTTATCGATTTGATAAAACCTCGATGGGTGACAGAAAGTTAGAGCTGATAAGTAAATCTTGACTGACAATATCTCAAGATCGCTACGCCAAAACGTTGACCAACGTTTGGTATAGGGCTTAGCCTGCATGGTATCCCAACACAATATAAGCCACCAAGACAGCCTCTAAAGACCCGTCCAGACCTTGTATGTCTTTCATTAGCAGGATGAGCCCTCCTTCAACAAATAATATCCACGGTTGGCCGACGATAAAGTCTTCAATCCAGTATGGATTCTGGTATATTCGAGTTTGGTGGCGTATAATGTTACAAAGAAAATAGATGACAGTAAAACAATCGCCCATAAATCACTCGATTTCCTCAATTCTGGGCCTGCCGGCTCCAGAAGTCCCTGCCAATGGATTAATACCAAGACCAGCTATCTGATCTCCCAGCTCCAGCCGCGGTTCGTTCTCTTCGTCCGTTCCTTGGGCTCCAATTCCCCACAGTATAGATTTCTCTAACCAAGCCTCCAGACTTTCGATCAGAACGCGGACGTGGCCACGTACAATGGCGTCCGTCTCGTGGCTCTCCACGAACTGAAGCACACGTAGCATATACGGAAGGTTTCCGACGGTTGTGGGTCCACGATCATTAGGATTGCCGGTTGTATGATGCTCGTCTGAAAGAGAAAATCCGAAACCTAACGCACCACTTCCACGGGTTTCTCGGGCTGTGTCGATGGCTTTCAAGATATCAAGAAGGAGAACAACACTTGCGCGACGGAGGATTGCAGCTCCTTCTTCCGATTCTAATGTCAGTGTTGACAGAGCAAGGTCAACAGCGGATGCGACGATGGAAGGCCCAAGGCCGGCAATGTTGGTCTGCACGGCAGTGGCTAGTATGGACATTGCGGATGCTCTGACGCGCAAGTCATCCGGCTCCTCGTCAGAAGATGCGCCTGCCGCCCAAGCAGCAACGATATTAGCTGCATGTGCAGCTTTTTCAGGAGACTCGGATTCCGAGTCCTCTTCTTCCATGAGTTCGTCAGACGCAAGGGCGGGCGAAGACACCTTCCAGCCATCTGGCATCGCGATGTCTTTCTCACGTTGGCGCTCTTCACGCTCTTGTTGCCTTTTTTCTTTTTCGAGCTGTTGTTTTCGGCTCTTTTGCGTTTGGGGTTTGCGTGCCCGTCGTCCCGCAACGGCAACACTGCCCTCGCCAAGAATCTTTGCTGTTTCCCCCTGTAAGGCTTCACCGAGATCCTGTACAGTCCTGAGTAAGCATTCGCCAATCTTGAGCCGCTGGTCTAGAGTCATGCTCTCGGTCCTGTCCGAATAGCGATCGATGAGAATTTTCACAACTGTTCGTGGATGTCGAGAAGCCAGCACAGCTACCAACTTGATAGCGTTTAGGTATACGAATTCGTCGTTGGCTTGTGTTTCAGAGGAGTCCGTGAGGATGGATAAAAGCAGGGTGAGTGTGGATGGTACATCAAGGATGGGTGAGGATTTCGTAATCAGGTCAGAAAGAAGGGAGAAGCCCTCTGCTTGGACGGGGGGAAGGTCGGAGTTGAGATTGGTTAGTGCTCGTCGATGCGTCTCAAAATCTGAAATACCGGGAGCGGATTTCTCTTTGTCAAGCCCTTCTGGGCAAGCGATGTTGATTTCTATCAGCATCGACGCGGTTGTTGCCGGCTTTGCAAGTGACTGCGGGAGACTGGGGATCAATTGGTCTAGTTCTTGTTTGACACTTTCGAGACTTTCCAATATCTCAGGCGAGACGGAAAATTCAGGTGATGCGAGAACAGTGGACAGCAAACTGAATACTGCTGGCAATGATTCGTCCGAGTCTGTCGCGGTTGAGTCTTCATCCGGTTCGCTGTCGTCCTTACTGACGATGTTGGCCAAAGAAGACAAGGAAACCTGTCCATCTCGTCGATCTGCCGACTTATGATGCTGCGCGTTCACCCGGCTCAGTTCGCCACTGATGATCTGCTTGACAAGTATAAGCACTTTTAATGGACGGCGTGAAAGAGTGTCCTTGAAGTTGTCTAGCAAAGACTCTGCGAGTTTCGCATTGACAAGGCTCTGCAAAATATGATCCTGCCCCTCGCCTGCTGACGGGAGCTGTAAGTCGGACAACGAGCCCTCCTTAACTGATCGTTTTACCAGCCATCTTTCGCTCACATGAAGGAAAATATCGCCAGTCCGTTCTTCACTGTTGGGATCTGCACCCAGTAGATTGGCGAAGAGTTTGACTCGCAACTGTAGGGTGTCGATCAATTGGACAATGTTGTGTTGCTCGGAGTCTGCACTGCGCTTTATCAACGATACGCTTGATGTCGAATCAAGGCCATATGTCCAATCAACCCCGCCATTGTACAGTAGGTTGTCGGCTATCTTCTCTAGTGGTTGCACACCCACTGATATACCAAAGTATGTCTTCAATATAGTCATAAGTGTATCGTGAAATCTGTCATCCTGGTCGCACGCAAAACATGCCAATCCCCAAAGTGGGAGGATAATCGGATATACGACCCTTTTCACCAGTCCCGGGTTTGAATGTTGAAGAACAAGGGCTCTCAGGCGTTCGATGGCCAGGCTCAAGGTAGGGTGGTTGACAAGATTGTGCTGTGGTTTCCCATCATTCTTGCAATCTAAAGGCTGCATCCACCGTTTCGAGGCATCGTCGAGTCTTGCCGTCAGCGCTTTGAAAATAGGCTCCACGAATATCTTGTGCCCTATTGTGCCAACTGCTCCATAGGCACGCTTTCCCAGAATCCCATTACCGATAACATAGGCTGCAGTCCTCTTCAAATCAGGATCATCCCCGTCAAGAAGTGCCAAAAGCTGCGGTGCGATTGATGAAAAATAAACACCTGCATCCATCCCCTGCGGTACGGAAGATAGTAGGTGGGATGTTTGCATGATAGACTGGACGGTAAAGTGTGGCCCTCTAGACGTCTGGTCTTCGGGATTCTCTCCCAGTGAAGGGGAAAACTGCGACGCCAAAAACACAATCGTCTGCAAAACACCATCATCGCGTAAAGGGATGCGTGACAAAGCGGCAGATATCACGGACCTGAACCATGGCACCGGCTCTGCTTGGAGAAAGTTCGATAATGTCGGCAACAATACCGGGCTAGGAGTGCTGCAGTAGCTTAGTAGATACACCCGACAGACAAGGCTACCAGTACATACTCATCAATTACGGTTTCCAAGCCTTTGCGGTATCGATCTTTCTTGTCTTTTGGTAGACTTTGCGAATGAAAGGCTAATTCAGAGGCTGCACTGATTATATCACTCAGGATACGACCGCGAACGACGGGCTGGATACTTGGTCGGTCATCCAAAACGATGTTCATTAGTGTCTGTACTATAGAATCCAATAGTGCTTCATCTTGAAAAGTGCCGTGCGCGGGCTTCTGTTGCTGCTGAGCAATGACGCCAGGCGGTAGGACAGAAATCACCCTCTGTTGTAAAGGGATGCCTACTCCAGCTGAGAGTGAAGGGTAGATCCCCTCCAACGAAATCAAATCAAGGAGGGCATGTAGCATCCGACGCCGTTTTGCATCCTCTAGAGCTGGATCGTCCGGTACTTCAACGATTTGGGAAGCTTGCCCGGCATCATTGTCCGGGGCAACAAATGCGGTATGAACGGAGAACAAGATCTGCAGCGCTTTATGGACGACAACTGTTCTAATTGACTCATCTGAATGGTCAGCGGCTTCATGTCGCCCCAGTATCTCCAAGAGAGAGTTCCCTCGGTGTTTTTCAAGTTCCTCTTCGATAGAGTTAGCATGTAATTTGACGTTGTCTTGTAAAGATCTGCCTGCCTGGTTGAAGGACCGGGTTCAAGAACTGGCTTGCAGCGTCAAACGCCAGCTTTATGGCTATGGGTTCGCCCATATTAAACTCGGAGATATTTTTCAGTATTCTTAAAAATCGGCATGACTCTTATTTCCTGACTACAAGCTTGGAATCATGTACAGGATGGGTGTCCAAATCTCACCTGTGATCTCACCTTTCACTGCTGGGTGACATAATATTAGTCATCCCAGATAGATGCCGCTAGTCGAATACGGTTTAGTCATGTTCAGAGCACGATCTATCATGCTCTGATAATAGAACATCTACAGGCATCAATATCAATTCATTATTCTTTTCATATTCCTATTTTGATACTGAATAAGAAATGAGGAATGGGGCGTATTATCTTAGGGGTACACTCGCAAGAATTCAAAGACAGGATGTTCGTGTCAATCCCAATAATCTTACATATCACACCGGATGTATATATTTTGGCTAGAAATATTCTACGGAGACCAAAACAATTCAATTCAAGTACCAAATCTATGTCCTAACTAATTTCATGCATGACAGGCAAATATTACTGATTTCGACCATAGACTACTCACACCAGGCTTGACTTTGCAATTCCTCTATATTCCTTACATTGAGGGAAGCCGGTGACAGGATCTTTTGCTGAGTGGCCTGTTGCGTTTGTCTCCCAGGTCCTATTCTTTCTGCTGCGGAATTCACTGCTGAAATGACCTTCCCTTGTCCCAACAACTTAGGACATTGTATCTGGACGACGAAACAAGCGTCATCTACCCATGGGTCCACTCCATCGAAAACTCTCGGGTCGGATGGTTGGTCAAACAGGGTAGACTCCTTGGCAATCTTACAACGTGCTTTGCTTTGACATTAGATCAGCCCTAAGTTTGACACTAGGAGCACCATGCTGAGAAGTCAACCGTCCTATGACACAGGTAACATGGGTTGACAAGATGCGAATGCAGTGTTGCAAGGAAACGAATGCACTATTTGACACTGTGTTCCACATTTCTGGAGCAATGATCGATTTTCTTTGGATCGAAGACACTCTGTGATACGCCCCCGAATTGAGCCTGGGGAGCGGCGCACGTGTTTGATGCGTAGGGTTTACGGGCATTCGTGCAGCCCTCATATCACCTAGATTGCCCGATCTATTTTGGCTATGCGAGTCTTTCTCATATACCTTCGACTGCTCATGATGTGGTCTCTATGGTCAAATCAAGTAGCTTCTTGCCAACGAGCGATGTCAACGAATGAAAACCATCGGCGCTGTCGAGGATTTGTGAACATGGTATCTCGATGCCCCTTCGCCTGGGACTCTTTGTCGTCGAGCGTATTTTCGTGTCAAAGCCTGTCTGTACTTCATAATGGAATGAGGTCGGAATAGAGGAGGTCTCGCGGCAATTAGACCCTGGCCGGAATGGATAGTCCGGGATTGAAGTAGCTCAGCGAGGGAAAATCGTCGAGAGATGTTATTGTGGGTGAACCGGAATTTGACAGCAGTCGATCTCTTGATTAATTCAACTAAATTATGATTGTTAGCTAATCAGAACGGTAACCGTTGTTTCTCCATCCATCCAGATTTGCTCGATGCCAAGTATCGGTTGTGCTGACTGCTGACTAGATGACTACGCGGAGGGAGTCTAGACAACCTAGACTAGGGCTATATCTACTATGACGTCGACGGATCCGTGCATTACATGGGCGCAGGATGTGAAAGTCGAATTGTTTAAGCTTCACCAAGCTTCTCCTGAGCAGAATCAACAGAATTCGTACCATGTACCAAAATGGGGAACTGTGGAGTGGACACGGCCAGCAGGAAAGCCGATATGCGCCCGAATCTGCTGCCGGTCCACCCCCCGAGCTGTACCTTTGGTATTGACTGTTCAGGTACCGGGGATCCGGGGATGGCTATCCAAAAGGCATATGCCATTAACGCCCAGGGGGGAGGCGTCCATGGCACCGTCTGGGGCTGTACTCGGGCCCCCCATCTTGTAACAATTTTGATACAAACAACAAAGGTTTTCTGTGAGGAATGTCAGACCATAAACCTTAGCAAATCAAGGAAAGAAGCCACCGAAATTACTTACTCCATCGTAGACTAGTCCGTTCTACGGTGGGCGCAGATCGCTGACGGCAGAAGCGAAGAAAGCTCAGGGACTCTCAGTCTCGGACAAGAGAATTAATCTCTCTAGCCGCCGCCACTCTTTCTCCCTCTTGTTTCCTTTCCCCCTCCCCAGCTCCGTCACCTCAACACTTCCCCCCCCACATTGGCGCTAATCCTCCCAACTCCTGCATTTCTCGACTTTTTCACCCTTTTGGGTTGGGGGAGGTAAACAAAGGAAATAAACAATTTAGAGACCATCAATTCTGAGACATCCACGCGCCGAGATCTACCCTGGATCGGCATTCTACTATCCCTCGAATTCTCACCCCCGACATATCCCGCCTGGCCAGTTGACCGCATCGACAGCCTCGCGCAACCAACACGAGTTGTCAGCCTCACCAAATCCATTCCACCCAGCGCAAACCGTGCAGGAAAAGGTGGGACAAGCTGGCATCTATGGTCCTGTCAAGGATTTCTAGGTCGTCAAGATCACAAACTTCCCCGCAATAGTCCCGGAGCGCATCCCTCTCAACCGCCGCCAGCCCATGGTGGTGCGGGTACTGCGCTTGCAAAATGGCCGCCTTCGTGCGCGTTTCAGGCCCGCCGAATGGCAACTTTCTGATTGGATACCCTGGTATTTCTGCGACTATGGTGAGTTTGCGGTCGTTGGGGTTGTTATCGTCCCAGGGAAGAGAGCGCCTTGCTAACCCACACCCCCCGCGCGTCAGCCTCGTGTGGAAGGTAAAGTCGAGATCAGGCCTGGTGTCGGTATTACCGCCCCCGTCAACGTGTCGCTGGTCACCATATCCCTTCATCGTCGCGAGACAATCCATCCCTCGGCCGACTCGTTGACTAAGAGACGGCTTGCGCCGCCCCGAAAGGAGATCACGGATATCGTGGGCAAGGAAATGCTCCTGTTTCGCTGCCCGGCTGGTCGAGAATACGAGGAGGTCATTTCGATGGACCTCCCTTTCGTCCTATTTATCCCGTTCGGGCGCGGTGGTCCCGATGCCTCCCGACGAGTCCCCCCGGCCAGTCTACAGCTTCCCAGTCGCACGGCCGAGACTTACTACGAGATTGTTGTGATGGTTCAGCAAGGACATTCGGAGCAACGGAAGTATGCGTTTCCGGTCCCCATCGCTCGGTACGACACGCTGTCGACGTTCGGAATGTACAATCGCCCAGAGTCAGCAGAGCGAGTGTCGGATCATTTGGTGACGCTGGGGATATCGCTCCCGCGTTGGTCCTACGGGCCGCTCGACCCTGTGAGCGTTTACGTCAAGCTATCTCCCAATCCCGAGTGGATGGCGAAGGCTAGAAAGGTCACGATCAGCAAAATCACCATCGGCATCGACGAAGAGATTATATACAACCACGAGGGCGATGAGCCCCAGCGCAAAATCAAGACACTGACCAAGCGGACAGAGGCCATTGGTGTCAAGATGCCCCCTACGGGGTACCTGACCAATCTTGGTCTCGTATTCCCAGCCAAGGACATGCGAGATGCAGAAGGCATCCTCCCCAGAGGGAAGGCGGCGTTTCCGACGTATGCGCTCAGCGGGTTCACTACCACGGCCAGTCTCTACAAAATTGAATACTATTTAACCGTGAAGGTACGGCTGACCTTGGTGTAATGGCTGTTATAGTTGAGGAGGTTCGTTTACATTGTGGCTAATTCATATGGGAACAGGCACATCTCACGTCCGCGAGAGACATCATCATCCGACAGCCGATTGTGGTCTGCCCACTCGATCATGCCGGATGCAAGGAAGAAATGGAGGCGATTGAACAGGCAGCGCGCGATGCAATCCATGTGAACCCCGACAATCCGATGTTACCATTACCTTCGATAGTGCGGCCGGCCGATAACAACGCCCTTCGTCATCTCGGGGCGGCGATCGTGGGCAACCAGAAGAAGCCCCTGATCGATTGAGCGCGATGCGGCACCGGATGGAGAGAGGTCAGATATACGCGATGGATGTCAGAATTCGCTGCGCATGTCACCTTCTGACAGCTTGCGACCACACGACAGACACACTAACGCTTTATGAATGCATGGGACCCGGAGTTTTGTTGTTGCATGGTGTTCGTGTGAGCCTTTATTGCGTGTTCTACTGGCCCGGGGGTTGGCTTTGTTCGTTTCCACGAAGAGTCCCGTTAGGACCAGGGGCGGTTGCTCCCTAAATGATTCCCCAGTACTTGGATTAATGTGTAACATTTATACTTGAAGATGCTGTATGTGTAGTCTGTGTATTGCCAGTCCGCGACGGAGTATGTTCTGATTCTTTGTAGTGTGGCATGATATTTGCCTTGTAGAGATCCCACAGCCCAGGTCAGCTCTTGGATGACTCCCGTAATTTGTGCCTATCGCGTCCACTCTGCAAGAAGCTTCATCCAACTGATCGAGGGGGAGACTATTTCCCGATCTCCAAGAAACCCATTGCTAGACTCAGGGTATCCGGATCCAGGTCGTGTGTTTGTCGACCATCGCGCCCATATTTCTGCAGACAATCCTTGAGGATCGAGAGGATCGTCTGATACTGCGAAGACGAAGCACCGTAAGTGTTTAGAGCATTATTTAAGCTCACGGAGATCTATATATCAGCGGGGTCAGTGAGGGGCTGTTGACAGTGTGCAGTAGTGGTGATAGCGCACTTGAGAGAGAATTTCATTGTAATCAGTGTCATTTCCAGCCGCGCACATATCCATGAGAAGTTCCTCTGGCAAAAGATGAAATCCCCGCCGTTAGATTACTCGACACGAAGGTGGAGCAGGAAACAACATTGAAGCGAACCCCGCGAGATGCACCGTGGATGACTTTGGCCGATAGGCTGATATGCTCCAGCACGGACCACCGAGATTTTTTATCGCGCATCGTTATCAATCCAGCTCTGCAGCGCATCATCGTTGCTCACCTTCCCACATTCCCTACCGCACTTATTACACTTATCGCGGGCTTTATATTTCGGGGTTAATATCTGCGACCGTCAAAATGGCCGACATAGACGAAGCGGCCATTCACATGCCCTCCAATGACTCCTCCGCGCACATCGACGCTGACCTCTCCGACGAGACGCAGGACTTCCGCATGCTGAACCACCTCACCTTGTTCGTCCCCCCATATTTCCCAACCCTTCCCTCCAGTGGATATTAGCTGACAGAATTCAGCCTCACAGATGGATCCCAAGGCAGTCTCCCCAAACGCGGGGAAAAGGACTTCGAACCGAACCCGACCCTCTTCCAAGCCGACATCCTCTCCGCGTCGCGCCAAGCGATGCACAATGCCCTCGCGTACCCCCGTCTGCATCACCCCAGGAACCAGGTCATTGGAATCTATGCGCCCGACGGACCCGCGCCCCCACCGCTCGCGCAGCCGTCGAAGCAGATGGACACCGTTCTAGAAGATAACGACACCCAACCGCAACAACCAGAGAATACCACAGCCACAGCCGGGGATGCTGGGCCCCCCAAAGCTACAGGGGCGGAGATGGGCGTCCCCGCAGAGTCTTGCGTCTACGTGTCGAACCCCAAGGGCCAGTACTTCAAAACGATCGGTCGCGCAGATCGGTGGAACCGCGTTTGGCTGCTCCCCGAGGAAGCCTTGTACCTACTTGAGCGAGGCAGCTTGGACATCAGATGGCCGGTATCGTCGACGGGGTGTCCCGGGGAGAGTGAGACGGCGGATTCGGGGATACCGATGAGCTTGCAGGCTGCGTATGCGTGCTTCCTTGGACACGGCGGTTTGAATATGGAGAGATTCTCTGTGTATACTGGGCTACGGCGGTTGGGATACACGCTTGTGCGCGCCCCTGGGTGGTACGATGATGCCGATGAGGGGGATTGCAGTGCAGAGGATGCTCAGGTGCAGTCGCGAGGACCTGGCTTGGCGGGGGTATTTGGTCGGTTCATGCAGTGGCTGTCTGATTCCCCGCCTTGCCCTGTGGCCGGACCTCTCGCTGGTCTTGGAATCCACCGCAGCTATGGTGGGTAGTGCTTTACAGTCCCTGACTTGCTTCTCAGCTAATTTTTTTTCCCGTTTAGATGACATATACCGCAAACTGTCCATCATCCCCTGGCAAGATCCTACTGCCCCGCGGTCTGAATCGCGCCCGACATCCCCGCCATTCCGCGTCGTCTTCCACGTGTACAAGCCTTCTACTCCGTTCCGCAAATCCGCTCCTCCAGCGGCCGATTTCCGAGTCGCTGTCGTGAATGCCCGTGAAACCGCCGTGCCGACACTGGCGCAGATGAGCGCTCTGCTCGAAAGCACGCCGCTGGACCCTCCCAAGGGTCCCAGGATGGACCGGGTTCTGTCCCTGCGGCTACGGCAGGGTTACCGGAGTGTCATCTTGGCCGTCGTGGACCAAGGTGTCGTCAGTTATCTCCGGGTTGCCGACTCGGCGTTCGGCAAGGAAAAGCTCTACAAACTGCAAGGGCCGAAGCCAAATCAGAAGAGGGGACCTCCCCGACCTCGCTCGAAGGGACGTTGACACCCACAAGGTCCAACGATATAGATTACTGGAACGAATCTTGACACGAGCACTGTGCCCGTGAGACTCTCAAGCATGTCCCCCTTGGAATAAGGTCCTCATATCCATGACAGTGGGATGAGGGCCGAATAGGAGGGGTTTGCACCGTGGGCTGATCTGCCATCATCTTTAGAACGACCGCCTATATGTAGAGGTGGCCGTTGATGCTCCGATGGCCAAGCCGTGGCTTGCGATTGTCTTCACTGAGACTTTTGGACAGAAGAAAGGTAACCATAGAGGTAACCGAGGCCTGCCAACAACACCGTTGGAGGCACTTGGCAAGCAGAACATGTGTATATAATTTAGGATTAATCAATATAATCCATACCTTAACCAACGCCACGCTGTAGGATATTCCGACCGAACTCCACCAAATGTACAAAAAGGAAATCTTTCCCAAGCATTATCCAGACTCGCATCTCTTGTCATCGTTTCGCGTAATATCTGTAAGAATCATTATCAGTCAGATGAGAACCCTCCAATTCAAGACCCGACGCCAGGAAATACGCATACCAATCACGTATCCAGATAATCCGCAGCCATCAACAGTTCCAGACACAACTCCGGGGGAATATCCATATCCGGCACATTGGTCTGATTCTTGTTTTTGAGGTTGTAGCAGAGGTACTCGCAGACCTTTTCCAGCACCAGGCCGCTCATGTTTTCGAGGACGCAGCGCCCGGTCACAGCTTCGGAGAACCTGCCTGTATAGCATCATTAGCATTTTTTATTCCAAAAGGAGAGAGGGACAATGATGGAGAAAACGAGAAAAAGCGTACTCGACGGATCCAACATGCGACGGATTGTGCCTGACACGCAGGCGGTGCTTCGAGGCACGATGAACTCGAACCCATCCCCTGACACGAGAGTGACATATTCTGAACTTCCGGGGGTGGATTCCATGGTTGTGGCTGTGGGTGTGTAATTGAGACGGAGTGAGGTCAGGGTTGAAGTTGACGGGCGATCCAAAAGGCGGAAAAGCGGGGATGACTCGGCATCATAACGCGGTTTCTGGCTGGTTAGTGCGGCCGCTTCTTCTACTGTTACTACTGTGTCTTGCTATCAACCAACGTCATTTGGGATATACTTCATAATTATGTTAATCTAATCGCAAGGGGATCTAGTTATTCTTTCTCCCAGTTCACGACTCGTCGCATGCCTCTTGTATGATTCCACCGACAGGTCTACGAGCTGGTCAAACCATCCATTGGATCCATTGGACGTGTACATCTACTTTGTAGAGAGCGTTATAGAACCCCAATATCGCGCAACATGCATCAATTACGCATATTCTGCCTCCGCAGCGGTCTACCAGCCATGCGCCCATCATCATCACTTCTTCTCTTCTCGGCGCATAGGACACCCCCAGCCAACGCGCAAAGGCGCGCATTCCTCTCAACATCCCCGAACAACGCCCAATCTGCAACCTGCACGTCTAATCGACTCTCCGGTCGAACATGCATGATCACCGGCGGGTCATCCGGCATCGGATTTGCCATCGCGGAACGTTTCCTGCGCGAAGGCGCATCGCGCGTCATCCTAGTCGGTCGATCGTTCGATCGTTTAGCAAATGCTGCTGCCCGGTTGGAGACCCCGACGCGGACTGCTGGGGAGGACAGCAGTACTGACGATGTGGCGACCCGCGCCCCAGAAGAAGATCGTGAACTATGTCCGAGGCATACACCTCCGACGGAACCGTTATTGCCCGGGTCGTTGTTTGAATCGTCGGAGCGTCTCCACCTGCTCGTCGGTGATGTCTCCGATGCTGGATCCTGGAGTCGTGAGCTCGAAAAGGCAATGGTAGGTCTTCACCATCAATTTGCATGTATCGTATATTGATATCCACAGCAACCCGTCGACATCCTCGTCAACGCAGCCGGGATCTCCAACTCCAACATCCTCCCCCGCACCGAACCATCAGACATCTCATTAGTCCTCCGCACAAACCTCGAAGGCGCCCTGCTCACCTCTCGCGCGCTGGTCCGCGCCTCCATCCGCAGCAGAGTGAAGATCCGATCCGCAGCCGCCTCATCGGCGGACGCCCGTCCCCCTTCGAAATGCATCATCAACGTGTCGTCCCTGCTGGCGCTTAAGGGCGGGACGGGCGCCGTCCCGTACGCGGCTTCCAAGGCTGGTGTCCTTGGGATCACGCGGTCGATGGCTGTTGAGACGGCTGAGTCGTTGAGGGATGTGTTTGTAAGGTCGAATGCTATCGTCCCGGGGTATATTGAGACGCCTATGATTGCTGGTACGTTGTTTTTCTTTCCAGCTTTTCCGCTACCTAGCCACTGTTTTTTTTTTTTTTTTTTTTTGTTTCACTTGGTATGTGTTGGGACTAGCTGACCACCCTGCAGATTTCACCGAGATCCAGACATCCAAGCTTAAAGAGTCTATCCCGCTTCGGCGGTTTGGTCGCCCCGATGAAGTAGCTGATGCGGCGGTGTTCCTGGCGCATAACGAATATGCGAATAACTGCGTTCTGAACCTGGATGGGGGGCTGAGCGCTGTTTGATATTATTATACAGGCTTGCTCATCCGTCGGAGCTCCAAGGTCTATACCTTGTGTAATTGTACTATAGTGAAGTTGTCAATCGATAATTGCCTCACATGCAAATGTTGCAAACTGCTTAGTAGTACCGGCGTCGGCCGTCACTTATTCTATTCCAGAGACCGTAATATGTATGATACAGACGAAGGGAAAATTTTAGAAGATGGGGCTGACAAAGAGAAAGAAAACATGCAAGATTGGGTGACGACCCTAGAAACAAAACCTTCAGATAAGATAAACATGCCTGTGTACTCCGATTTAACTCCTCTCCACAACCCCGTTCAATCATCAATGAGAATCGCGCCTCCCGGTGCTTCGTCCAAGACGATCGGGTTCGCGCCGTCGCCGTCGGCTACGGACGCGCTGGCAAGGCGTTTGGCGCGATCGTCTCCGTTCGCGAGTCCTGCCTCTTCCAAATTGCGCTTCCGTTTTCCGGGCCCGGAGGTGCCGTTGGTATGCTCGCTGACTTCAGGGGCTGGCTCCGCCTGTGTCTTGGGTTTCCGGGGGATTTCAGGGATCTTTTCGAGGGTGATGGGCTTTTGCTCATCGGATGGAGAGTCGGTTCTGATGAGCTGTTAGTGTGTGATCCGGTGGGTAATGAATCACTCAGGAAACTCACTTCTCGGCCACGTGAACGACAAGTTCTAGGTTCACACGCGGCTGATCATCATCGTCATCAATGACCGTGATGAATCCGTCATTTTCGACACCAAGATCTGACAGCTTTTTGGGCAAATTGTCCTCTATATCAGGGTCGTAAAACGTGCCCAGTTGGTTATTGATCGAGAATTCTTCACCGTACCCAAGCTGTAGACGGAGAATATCTTCCACCAGGTCCTGGACGGTGGCGCGCTGGGGATCAATTCTAAGTCGGCCCTGGGCAACCGAACAGACCGGGCAGTTTGGATTCGGAGGTTTTAGAGAGTCGGAGTTGATCGCGCGGGCGCCAGAACGCTCGAGGAATACCTATCTGGTGGTTATTACAAGTCGCAATGGATGGAAAAGAAGCCCGTATACCATTTTCGCGTTGTCATACTCCCCTCTGAGGACCTTCATAGCCTGTAGAACACAGAGCCCGGCGATCATTGCATTGGTAGTCGCGATCGCTGGGATGATATTGCCAGCCATTTCTGCGCATTACGTTAGCGCGACCTTCTAGACCATCTCCCAGGGAATACGGAATGGGCTCACGCTTTGTATCGAACTTTGACTTGGGGTCGATCCCGAAAACGGAGGCTCGTAGGTTGGCACAAGCGGTCACGAAGTCCAACGTGTCAACATCATCCTTGTCGAAAACCAGGATAGGCTTCACATCTCCGGTGGGCAACGCCTGGAGACTCTTCAATCGTTTACTGAGTCGGTCCAAGCTGGAATCTGGTCAGCAGTATTCCACTAGATGTGAAAGGCACAGAAAGGAAACCGCACCTGTCTCGGAAAACAACGAAATCTTCGGCCAACGTCCACTCCCTCTGGTCCGTTTGGGAGATTGTCGGGTCGATGGAGGAAGACTCCTGTTCCAACGCCGCCAAATCCAACGGCTCCGGGGCCTTGCGGGTCTTCCACATGTCTTCCATGCCCCGGAGGCGGTTGATGTCTTCTTTGAAGATCTTATCGAAAACCTTCCCAGCAAATTCCGGGGTACCGATGGACTGACGAATTTCCTTCAGAGCCAGTGCTTCCTGGCGAAGGGTTTCAATCTCTTCCTCTGGGAAACGTTAGCCACAACCACTCCAGACTCTGGGAAATCGGCTGGAACTGACTATTCTCGGCATCTTCCGAATGATCCAACTCCTCCGTCTCCTCCTCGCTGGTCCCGAAAAGCTCCCTGGAAGGATTAGCATGGAGCCGAAGAGAAAATGATACCGCGGCAACTCACGGAAAGATGTAGCTTTTCGCCCAGACAATGCAGTGGATGGGCTGACTGGGTGTACTGCGGATCGTGCAGACCGGGAAGGATTTTGGGACCTCTTTGGAATTGCAGTCGTAGCACTCTGTCTGGCCCTGCTGGTTGTCAGCCCGACCGGCCACCCAGAGGAAACAGGAGGAAGTGCACCCACCTTTTTGATGACCTGGACCTGTCCGTTAAACCCCGTTGTTCCACTCTCAATCAACGGCACATCGGCCGCTAAGCACATCCGGTTGACATGACGGCGCGCTTCCAGATTGTCGAGGGCATTGAAGACGGCATCGAACCCCCCAAACCAATCGACATTGAAGCGGGCATCCTTGATATTCGCATGGTAGGCTTCTAGTTTTGCGCGCGGTTGGAACTTGTGCGCCGCTTCTTTCGCAACCTAGAGAACTCGGCACCCATCCGTCAGTCATCTAGCTAGGTCGGGTGGGAGTTATGTGTACAACGGTTGCGGAAGAAGCAGGGGATCGGGTAGACGGAGACGACGCACGATAGCTTTTGGTTTCTTGATGTGTTCGAGGCGGAAGAGGAATTGGCGATTGAGATTGCTGAGGTCGATGGTGTCGAGATCGATGATGTGGACTTCACCGAAGCCGGAGAGCAGGAGACATTTGAGTAGTTCACAGCCGATCCCACCGGCACCGACGAGAAGAACACGGGACTAGACGAAGGAGACATTAGAACATGTTCAGAAGCTCGAATACAATCATTCCGTCAAAAGAGAGACGGCCATACCTCTGCAATGCGCCTAGAAAGCGTGCCGACGGAGCGCTTCAGGTAAGTATCGCGCGGCATGATTGCGGCGACCACGGGGGAGCTTGGAGCAAGTACGGGATGGAGAGGACGGTAACGAGAGTCAAAAGAAGTCGAACGGCATCGCCAATAGGTTGGAAAACTGCAAAGATAAGAATTGAAGAGGGAGAAGAGGGGAGGGGGAGAAGGAAGGAAAAGATGAAGTTGAAGATGAAGTTCAGCTGGACTGAAGGAGAAAGGTGGTCGGCCTGGGGTTTCAGGCCACCGCGATCATGAGAATCCGAGCTGACAATGACGGCATTTCTCATCCTCACTCATTCGCTTCTCTTCCACACTCCACTCTCCCCATCGATTCTTTCTTCTGATTCTCTTCTTTGATTCTATATTCTTCTCTTGTCCTCTCTATTCTACTCATCAACTTCATTCTCCTTATCTGGCACGCGCGTGCATATCACCACCGACTCTCCGTCGTGGGATCTACATGAGACTATACTACACTCGGCCTACTTACATATCACCTGCATCTTTCCTGAGCTTGGACTATCCATCCATGTCCTCTCCTGATATCTTCTGTCATCTATTTCGGTCTCCCAAGATTTCCAAAAAAGAATGCGGCGCACTGGACGGCTCCAACATTCTCTCCTGACATTCCAGGCCCTTGCTTACATAACAGCCTCTCAGCAAAGGTTGGAAACATGAACGAATGAACGAATGAAAGAATGAACGTGCTGAATCTTCCAAGATGCTTGTCACCACTGTTCTTCGCCCTTGGTGGATCCTTCTCCCTTTGTGGATTGCCATTGATCAAACCAGCTGGTCCAGCGTGCGATTGACCCTGATCGTCTGGAGTTAATTCATTGCGACTACTTCAAACGGTTTTCCCGTTGGTTCCGGTCGTGGAGAACCCAAACTCCCTGCGGGCCCAATAGAGTACGCTAAACCAGTCCCCCTCCTTTTTTTGACCGTTTTTCCTTATCTGTTTGTTTTTTTTTTTTTTATGATTTTTTTGTGTTCGTGGTTCTTTCGTTGTCGACGAGAATTGTTGACCATTCGGGTTGATCGTTTTCTTTTCTTTTTCTCTCCCGTGTGTACCCCCGTCAATCTCACTGTTGATTCGACAGATACTTGTTGCGCCGTCCAATTGCTCTCTTCGCAACCACCGTCAGATCGTTATCGGTGGTATCCCCCCCTCCCGCCATGTCCGACGATGAAGCAGACCCCGAGTTGCTCGCCCTCCTTCGCAAATCCCTGGGGTTAGGTAGCGGCCCGGCCAATCCACGAACGGCAGAGACAAAAGTCCTGGAAAATGCGCAGCACGTCTTCGACAATGCCATCGATGTCGCATTGAGTCCCATCAAAACAAAGGAGGCCGCGGAGACCATCTGGCGCCTGATGCAGAAGAAGGAATACTCGACGGAAACCTGGTCCGATCATGAGCTACACCCGCAAGCGAAGGACGAGGGCACGGTCGCGTTCATCTTCACCATGGATCTGCTCAATTTCAGCTTCTGGTCCGAACTTCCCGAGGCCGAACGGTTTGCGATCGACTATCGCGGGAGACGCTGGACCGGGTACTGGAGCTTGGTGGCCGCCCTGCAGCGGGCGTTGGATGAAGGTACGGATCAGTGAGAGGCGGTCGGTTGCAACAAGGATGGTTGACTTAAGACTCGCAGGGATCCCAATTACGGACCCCGAATTCTGGGTGAACGAGGAGGCGTGCCCCGACGAGAAGCTCCAACATGTCTTTCGGTCCGCGACAGAAGAGCCGATCCCTCTGTTCCGAGAACGAGTGGACTGCCTGCGCGAGGCCGGACGGGTTTTGTGCAAGGACTTTGAGGGCAGTTTCCTGAACTGCATCTACAACGCCAACTATTCGGCGGCAGCCCTGGTCAATATTTTGGCGGAGTCGTTCTCCTGCTTCCGAGACGAGTCCTCCTTCCATGGACGCAGGGTCCGACTGTATAAGAGAGCGCAGATCCTCGTTGCCGACCTGTGGGCGTGCTTCAACGGTGAGAGCTTCGGCGAATTCCACGACATCGAAAAGATCACCATGTTTGCCGGTATGATGGACCCACGCCCATGCTCCTAAATTCGTGTCTGATGAACATCTAGACTACCGAATCCCCCAAATCCTCCACCAACTCGGCTGTCTGGTCTACTCTCCGCCGTTGACCAGCCACATTCGCGACCTGAAGCCGCTGCCCCACGGTTCGACCTGGGAAGTCGAGCTCCGTGCCACCAGCATCTGGTGCGTCGAGCTCATCCGTCGCGAGATCGAACAAAAACACCCCGGGTCGCAGTTTCGAACGACGCGCCAGGGATCGATGGACAAATCCAATACCCTGTCGCCGGAAGACGACCCCGCGAGGAAGTGCTCGACCCAGAAGCACTTCAAGCAGAAGAGCGTCCAAGAGCACAAGACCTCGAGCGTGAACGCCGTCCTCATCGACTTCTTCCTGTACGACACCATGAAAGAAATTGAAGCCGACGGACAGGAGTCGATTCCCCACCACCGCACCAGAAGCATCTGGTATTGAAGTTGTCCCCTAGGGACACCCGAGATCGCACCATCTACTCTGGTCCACCACCAGACAATGGCTTTCTTTCCCATTCACTTCTTCACTACTATACCCTCGCTATTTGTCCCACTTTCCGTTTCCATAGATAGACATCACTGCTGTCCCTGTGCTGGCCACTAGGACTGTCGTGGTGAATTTTAAGAGGCACACCGTGCGGATCGCTTGATTAGCCGGGCCTCGCGCTCTTTCTCTGCAGTATAGAATACAGCAGGACTCTCATCCAATACCGATTTCGAACGGTAAAAGAACAGCATTAATAGAGAATAATATTCGTACTAGTAGATCAGGGTATCATTCTGAGCATATGGATCCCTACGGACTAAGACGTAAGTCTTAAGCTGCACTCTTCATCCGCCCAATCCGAGCCATCACATCAGCCCGCCACTCCACATAATCCTCCCGCCGGTCCTCACTCAGATAATCCACCCGATCCTGCATCATGGTCCCTAGACCCGGAAGAAGGCCCTTTCTCGAGTCGCCCTGTAAAAGAGACCCTCCCATGGTCTTCTGCCGCTTGCTTCCGTGCGGCGTATTTACCCCTCCCTCCTCTCCGGAAGCATACTCTTCGTCCAGGCTCGCTCCCTGCGGGATGTTCTCGAACCACTCCTGGCCGTTGGCCCAGCCCTGCTCCATGATCACCGCGATCCACTGCTCGACGTTGTCTCGGTGTCGTCGGTCGGTGGAAGGTAGACTCAGGCTCGTGAGCGCCGTCTGGCGCATGTCCCAGAACGTCTTCTTATCCAGTTTCGGCGCCTCTGCTGTCTCAGCTCTTTCGGCTATCGGGTTGCGTCTGCGCGCGAGAACCAGAAAGTATAGCGCTACGAGCAGGGACTTGACGAGCTCCTGGAACTCCTCGTCTGTTTCCTTGTCCTGTGTGATTGTGATCGGCTCGATGAATGCGAGGACTTCCTCGTCGAAGTCGTCGGAGCTGGCTTGCGAGATGAAGTGGAAGATGGAGGATGTGCCGGCGAAGATGTGCGGCGGGAGCTCTCGTGAGACGGGAGGTCGGGACCAGGTGCTTGTTCGCGGCGCGGGCGTGGAGAGCGTCGTGCACATGGTGCGGATGGACGTCATCACCCATGAGGGCGCGTCGGCGATGATAGTCGAGGTGGAGAGCCCATGTCGGCGGGGTTTGAAGGATTTCTGCGGCGAGTGTGATGCTCGCGGCCTGTCGGCGTTCGTTACTGGCCCTTTGAGCGGTGTGGATTTGCTGGGGGTGTGTTGTAGTGCCCGCGGGGTGGCCGTTTCTTGTTTCGACGGAGTGCGCGTCAATCGGGGTTCTTTGATCGGTGTTGATGGGTTGGAGCCGGCACGCGACGGGGTCCCTGGGACGGAATTGCTTCCGGATCGTTTCACGCCCGTTCCACCGATAGACTGGTCGAGGAGCTTATATAGGTTCTTGTAGGCGCGTGGCGGGCACGGCGGATGGCCTAGTAAAGGGGGGAGGTTGAGGTTGCGACTCAGTCTGGAGATTGTAGAAGAGTATCTTTGTTAGAATCGTCTGGGAAGTTTGGGGCTGCCAAGGTCAAGTGAGGTTGGACATACCTCCGACACGCGATCTCTGAGCAGGCAAAGGGTCGCGCAATCTCCTCCTCTGGTCGCAAGCTAGACGCAAAGCTCCGCGACTGTGCTACTAGAGAGAGGGCTAAGCTGACGAGCTCTGGAGGTAGATCATTTGCGTGCGTTGGCACCAGCGTGGCCAGCGCCTGTTCCACTGGTCGGTTGTTCATTGCCTCTGGTGGGAAAAGAATGTTTAGGAAGAGAGCTGAAGGTGCAATCGACACCAGTAGTGGTATATCCACTAAGTAGCTTCAGTCAGAGCCGATCATCAAGCCAAGGAGTGACTAGTTCCTATCAACGTAGTCAATGTCGGTCACTGGTCAGGTTGAAGAACAGTCGTAGATGAATGGAAGAAGCGGGTCTCTGATAATCAGTTGGGCTAGACCGGTTCTGGACATCCCTTGGCACGGCAGGTACCTTGACTATTCGATGCCTCTCCAGCGGAGGTCTTTGAAAGCAATCCAAAGTTGTATCATTCAGGGTTATCTGTTTGATATGATCATCCACCATTTGGGGATACTGGATATGGATAATTAATTGAACAATTGGATAATTACTCAGCAGCACGTGCCACCGGCCTGGATCCGCGGGGAATCGCCCGAAACGGTTTAGCGCCACGGCCTTAGGCCAGCGACGGTGACGATGGAGACCGAGAACCTCAGGCCTCCGACTCTCTTGTTTCTCCCCCTCCACTTCATCCAGATCGACACTCACTTTTCAATCTCACCATCTGGTCGTGGTGTCACTCTCGCTTCATATCATGTGCTAAACTTGGGAGATCACACACTATGCCGGCCACCTTCATCGCGTGTCTCCATCTCTAGGGGTCCTACTCCGCCACGTCCCGTCTCACTCGCCCGCCGCAGATGTCGTGAGAGTACTACCTCTAGTGTTGGGTAGATCTCGAAGACGTGGATCCGGATCATAGACGGAGGGATGAACATGTCCATATTACAGTCGACTGGCACCGTACCAACCTCCGCAGTTACAAACACCTCATTACTCGCCGCGCAATCTCTCGGCAACTCCACCGCTCGTTTCTCCCTATCTTCCTACCCGCGCGAACTGTTGACACTGCCGCTTCGGGGCCTCTATCAGGCGGAGACTCTGGCATTCTCGACGATCCCTCGACAGATTGCCGGGATGGCGACATACCTTTGGCGCTCAGGGCCGGCCACGGGGCCAGGGAGTGACGCCGTGGCGGCCACAACGCAGGCGGTTGCGGGAGCCGCGCAGGACGGAATGGCAGATGCCGCAGACTCGGGTTTGCATTTTGCGGACTTTTTCCAGGCGGTCGTGAAGTTCAGCGGGCTCTTTTCTTATTTGACCAGTCGCTGGTCGTTGGCCTGCTTTACCGTGGTATGGTCCTCCCCCGTGGCTATCAAAGTCGTCTGGTTCGCTACGAAGGAAGATGCTTACTCTGTTAATTAGGGCCTCGTCTTGAATAGAATCACCATCTACGCATCCACGCGCCGCCATCTCAACCTCGACTGGCACCGACGGCTCTCCTTACGCATCATCCCCATCGTCCTGTTCATAACCCAGATCTTCACACTACTCCGCGCCATGCGATGCCAGTCCTCCCCGGATTATCCCCTCATGCGCTACGGCACTCCCGGAAAGCGACTCTCGCTCGACCATGCGGGTGGCGGGGGCTTTCTCTACTCCCTCGCATCCACTCTGATACCGTGGGAAGCAGACGACCAATCATGCAGTGCGGTCCATATGTCTCGTTCGGTTAATTCCACCGATATCCCCTATGGCTCCTTTAGGTTCTTGTGGCCGGTATTTTTACGCCTCTGTCTAAGCCACTTTGTCGAAACATTGTCCTGCGCGCTGCAGGGGAGGGTGGTTGTCACCGAAGCCGGCATGTCAATCTTCGAGCATTCCCTGGCCTTTGCCGAAGCAGAGTCGACCATCTCGCAATCTCTTGGGCTGGGGCTGTTTGGTCTCCCCAAGGCGAATATTTCCAAAGCCGATTCCGGTGCATCCAGTCAATCGGCGCTACATCTACTCACCCGGGCTCAGGTCTTGGAACGCATGAATGTGACCCCGGAGCTACTCCTCATTGCTCTGATATCCTGTTGCAACAGTTTGACATCGAACATTCTGGATGTCTTTGGGAAGCAGAGCCGGTATCGTTTGCTCAACACCGGTTTCTGGGGGTTTTGTTACATGTCCGCGATGGCATGGGGTTTGATGAGCGGCGGCTCGGCAGGGGCGGAGGATTTGGTTCTCAAATTCCCCACGGTATGCATCGTGGGATTTGTCCCGCATCTTCTCATTTTGCTGGGGATTATCATGTGCGGGGTGATTTACGGCGTGGCTCTGTTTATTACCGCCTTATCCCTGCCTACCGACGGCTCCGAGCCCCTATCTGTCCGACAACGACTTGCTCTGGCCCACGAAAACATGCAAGGGTCCACACAGATGCACAGCATCCGCCTGAACAGGCATGATGACTTTTACACAACGCTTCTGAGGATCGGATACACCGTCCTCACGGCTGCCAGTGAAGCTGTATTTCTCAACGAAGGCCAAGGCGTTGTTGCGCGGAACATGACGTGGCTAGAAGATGAGAGACTATCAGAACTCGAATCCCTCAGGAAGACCCACCCGTCTCGACCTAGTCACGATAACACCACGGGAATGGCTTTGGAGGGTCAAGACGCGATCGAATTCGCTATCCCGGAAGCACCCTCGGAATGGGAGAGTGGATATGGGAAGGAGAGAAAGATCGAGAAACCGAAACATGGCACTCGACCCGCGCGATCTCAGATCGACCCAGGTGTAGGCGCACTTCGAAGCGCCGCCAGGTATTACCACGGCTTCTCTTTCTTCCGCAGCATCTTCTATCTTCTTCTCCGGTGGATTGCCTACGGGCTTGACAAGTTGTTAAGCAAGTGCGGCATCAGTCGCCGACCACAGTGGTTGAAGACAATCCTGGGAGCGCGCGTAAGAGGGCCGCAGGAGGCTGTCCGCGCCCGCCGTGGAGAATCCCTAGACTTCTGGATCCTAGACGACGACGGGGGGTTAGAACTGCCCAGCAACCACGAATTTGACGTGGAAACGGAAATGCGGAAACGGGAGCGCTTGAGTCTAGCCGACTGGGAGCAGTCAGACGAGCGCCGGCTGGACGAGAAACTCTACAACTGGTGGAAAGCCGGGGGCTCTTGGGGCGATCAAGACCAAACGCCTGACTTTGCCCCACCCAGCGACGACTGGGACGACACAACCAGCGTCGTGTCAATGTCGACCACCACTGACTCGGAGTGGGAGGATGAGTCCGACGGGCGCCGCACACCCACCCAACAAGACCCGTACCCGGGCCGCTTCTCCCGCGAAAGCACCCCGCCCCAGGAACCGCTCATGGACATCAGTTCCTTCGCCCGTCTCCTCGACCCACGAGACCAGGAAAGCCGACAGGAGGCGCGCATCCTCGCCGCGCACCTCGCAGCAGGCCAAGACGGACGCATCATGACCCGCCGCCAATACCAAGCGCAGGTCGAACGCGACCGAGCCAAGGTCCTGCTCTCCCGAGTCCAATCCCAGCGCTCAGGCCGCGACAAGCGCAAGCCCACCCCCGAAGAAGAATCCGAGCAACTCGAGAAACTCATCCTCTCGCGCCGGTCCGAACCGGCAGCTTCATCTGCCTCCGCGTCCCACGAACAAACCTGGGAATCGGGCGCCTCCGGCCTCGGCCCCAGTGGTCCCCCTTGTGTAGTGTGCCAGACGAGCCCCCGATCCATCATCACCTGGCCGTGTCGCTGTCTGTGCGTGTGCGAGGACTGCCGAGTCAGCCTTGCTATGAATAATTTTGGCAGCTGTGTTACTTGCCGCCAGGAGGTTGGGGGGTTTGTACGCTTATGGGTGCCGTAGATTTGTTTGTTGTACATGTCTTCTTATCTTCGTCTATTACTTTACATTAATCAATGGTTTTACTATAATTTTTTCGTTGCTTATATATTGCATTTGTTGCTATTATGTCGCTGAGTAGAGTTGAACAAGCCTTGACGTAATGTGGAACGAGCCCTACATGCGCCAAGGGTGCCGTATCTCAGCTCCCTGGTAGTGCAAGGTTTGAGTCCGCTGTGGCTTGGTCTACACCGTTATCGCCGAATGGGATTGTACTTGCTAGGCGTGCCGGAGATGCTCAGCACTAACATCTACCCAACCACTACCAATACACATTGCCTACGTCGAAGTTCACAATACAGGTCATCAAATCATATTGAGTCGATCAATCTCGTGGTAATCTCACAACTTGAACATCTCGCTGCGGCTGCGCACACCATCAAAGATACACGTGTTGTCCAGCGGCACGTACTGCCTCGTGATCACCTTGAGCGCCTCCTGCGCGACCAGTCCACCCGTTAGAGCCGAGGTGTTGTGAAGCTCTCCGCCTTCCGTCCGCCGGAGCTCCTGTGTTGCTTGCACGATCCGCTCGCGCGCCTCCTCGTCAACGTCAGCGGGGCTGTCGCTGGTGATCACCCCGATGGCGCGGTCGATGTGGGTGTTCCACACGGCGTCGTCGTCCAGGGACTCGTCCGGGGCATTGCCTTGTTGGATGTCTGTCACGATGTCGTCGAGGATCTGGAAGGCGAGGAACAGCGGGATGATGGAGTCGGAATTGGTCAGGTTGTTTTTGATGATCTTTGTGGTCCGCGCGTCGCCGTCGAGCCGGGGGATGTTTCGGCCGTGGATGACCTTGACGTGGGAGGCGTTCTTGCAGAAGATTTCGATATCCTTCTCGGAAATCTCAACTGGGCGTGGACCGAGCCGGGCTTCGATCGATCGGACGAGTCCCACGACCTCTTCGATGTCCTTTCGTGCTTTCGTTTTGTAGATGTTCTGGAGTGCAATGTAGTCTGCCGACTGGGCTTTCATATCCGGCAATGAGCCCGACAAGGGGAGCAGGTTATCTTTCTTGTAAAAGTCGTGGATCGCCGCTGCAATGATCCAGAACTCGGCCGAGTCTTGTCGCAGGTTCTTGCATTCGTCCATTTCGAATATCTCGCGGAGGGAACTGCGCAGGCTGAACGGATTCAGGGACTTCAATACTGCCGCCACAGCCTCGTCAAAGTTTTCTTCCCCGCCTTCTGGATTGTTCGTTCGTGCGCCTGACCGCACCATATCTCGGAATTCGGTCTTCTCCTTGTAGTTAGATGGAACGGCACCATTGTGCAATTGCTTCCACTTTTGCAGGTAGTGGAGAAGGAGGAGGATGTACGGGACGTGACCGTGCTCATGATCGTCTAGGCTCTCTAGATTCATTACGCGCGCCCCAGCCATGTCCAGCTCCGTCCAGGGGTTGAGCAGTCGCAAATCCTGGGTGGTTTCGGGGTCGGGGTGTGTCTCCACTATGGGGAAGACATCCGGGAGCTGTAATGAGAAAGTCGACGTGAAGCCAACAGACCGCGTGTACAGGACAGGGATGCCGTTGTCTTTCGCGGCGGTGCAGAGCATGTTTAGTGAAGACCGTTGGATGGGGCCTGAGATCAACACCAGCTGATGTCGCGAAATGAAGTCTGGATCTTCTTTCACGATCTCTGCTATCGGCTATTCACAGGTGAGCGTCGATCTACAACGACAATCAAGTTGTCAATACGTACCTTTGCATGAGAGCTTCCCTCTACGTCCGGGTTCAGTTCCCGTAGCAAGCGACACGTTTCCTCTGCCCGAGACTTGCCTAGACTGTCCTCTTCCAGGAAGAAATTCAATCCGAGATCAGGTTCGGTCACCATCGCAGGATCAACAATGGTGAAGCCTCCAATTCCCGGAAGTACGAGGTTCTTCAACGTCTCGACGCCGACTACGCCTGTGACTCCGGTGCTCTGCTTGCCCCACGGACCATCCGAATTGACAAGTAGCACGCGGGATTCCTCCAGAGACTGCTGTCCACTGGCGGCCCATAGACGAAGCTGTCGGTCGTACTTCCTCTCCTTTGAGGAAGGCCCCGCCAGGGCCTGGGGGAAGGCGTCCGCCATCTGGGGGTTTGGTGGGGTTGAGCTGAGGGGAAGAATGAGGGGTAGACAGGAGGAGGTCGGCGAGTAGAAGACCAGCGTCTATCTCACCAGACCGGACTGTAGAATCTCCAGGATTGATGAATGGTGTGTAGTTGACAGGAGGAGAGAGTATGGACATCAGACCAACTGATATCCATCCTCAGGCACCAAGCTGGACATCCCATCACGTGATAACACCTGGTCCGTGCGTGCTGTTCGCTGCCTGAGGACGCAGCGCGGGGATCGCGACAGATGACGATGACGGCATCGATCCTGTCGCGCAACATCTGCTCCCCAGGTATGCGGTTGATCGTCACCACGAGTGGACTATCCTTGTAAGTGAACGAATAATAGGTCTCTTCGTTGCATTTAGTTCCGGAGGTGTATTCCTCAGCCTCAGAGAGCCCCTCCTCCCCCACTTCTTCTAGGGTCCCCCGTTCCCCTCCGGTGGGCGCCGATGGCCCGCTTGCCCAAGAATTTTTGACAGCCCCGCTGGATACTTCTTGCGATCTAATAAACCCTAATAATATCTGAAAAAAAGTTAGACTGACCTTGTCCGTCAGATTCTCAGCTTCCTGTCTGTCGTCTAGGTCTTTCCTGTCATTCCCTCTACGCTCTCATCCCCGTCTACACTCACCTCCGGTCATCCGCCGTCCCTCGGCTCGTTTCCAATCCACAATGTCCAACTCCATCGAAGACGCAAAGCGCGCCGCCGGTAAGGCCGCCTTTGACAACCACTACCCCAAGGATGCCAAGATCATCGGCATTGGCAGCGGCTCGACCATTGCCTACGTCGTCGAGGCCATCAAGAAGTCCGGCGTCGACACGACCATGACCAAATACGTCCCCACGGGCTTCCAGTCCAAGAAGCTCATCACCGACGCCGGATTGACTGCCGTCGAGTTTGACGGCTTCCCCGAGGATGCAGTCCTCGATGTCGCTTTTGACGGCGCTGACGAGGTCGATGACGAACTCAACCTGATCAAGGGCGGTGGTGCCTGTCTCTTCCAGGAGAAGATCGTGGCTCTCCAGGCTAAGGAATTCGTCGTGGTTGCTGGTGAGTTATTCTGTTGAGCTTGAATATTTTTATGAGCACACGCTGACTAGACATGGCAGACTCCCGCAAGCTCCAGTCCCGTCTTCTGACTGCCTGGAAATACATCCCCGTTGAGGTCGCCCCCTTCGCGGCCAACCGCGTTCTCGCGGCTCTGAAGCGACTGGGCGCCGTGGATCCCAAGGTCCGCGATGAGTCCCCCGGCAAGCACGGCCCCCTGAAGACAGACAACGGCCTCTTCATCGTCGATGCGCCGTTCCCCACCAACTTGCTCACCAAGGCGGATGTCGAGGGCGGCAAGGATGGCAGCGGCAAGGGCGGTGTCTGGGAGGTGGACGTCCTCGCCAAAGCGATCAAGCAGATCCCCGGTGTGTTGGAGGTCGGTATCTTCTCCGGCGTGACCGGTCCCCAGGCCCAGGCCGAGGGTGGCATTGGTGGCCAGAAGCCCATCGCTGCCTACTTCGGGATGCCCGACGGCTCTGTATCGGTCAGGAAGGCTTAGGGGACTGTCTTCGAGCATCTTGAAAAGTCTCATATATAAATGATACACCATTTTACCAATTCGTGTTTGTCTTCGTGAGATTACTCCATCTACAAGTGTATACTTCCGGGAATGCGTAGAGTCATGAGAATTATATTCAGGGTGTCGTAAAAATCCATGCACGTTTATTTGGGGCCTTTCCCCCGAGCTTCTGTGGGGCCCAGTTCACGCACGAAAATCCGCACCGTTCCCTCGGCGACCTCGTCCTTCCCATCCTCAAACCCAGGGCTGATCGCGATGGCCAGGTACTTCCCGTTCCCGCTGAAACACAACGCCGCCACGCTCGCCGGGTACTTCTGGTACTGCCGGATTCTCCGCTTCGCGATCCCATCCCACAGAGCTACAACGCCGTCCCCACCGCCAGATGCAAACGTCCCGAATACCGGGTGGAACGCCAGCGCATTGACGGGGTACACCACGTCGACGTCGTCCGCCGTCTGTCGGTGGCACTTGAAGGCGTACTTCCGGGCCTGCGACTCTGCCGACGGGTCGAACCACTCGACCGCCACTCGGCCCTCGATGCTCGAGGAGGCGTACCCCGCGTCGTCGGGCATGCACGCCACCGAGCGCGTCATGAACTTCAAGCTGCTCTCCCTCCGCTGCCACGGCTCAACTTCGAGTTTCTTTCCAGCCTCTGCTTGGCTGGCCAGCATGGCCAGCGCCTTCAGGTCGTAGATGTGCAGCGAGCGCGACGCCATGGCGACGACCAGCTTCGTAGGGCTCAGGGACATGGAAAAGGGCTTCGACGGGAGGGGTACGACGGCCGGGGCGGAAATGTTCTCCCCAATGATGTGCACGTGTAACGTCGAGTCCCACGAGGCCGAGACTACCATATTATGTTCCTTGCTGTAGACAACGCTGCGGACTCCGGCGTCGTGGCTGCTGATGACGGTTTGGGTAGATGATGTTAAGTCGATCCTGATAGGCATTAGTTCCATCGCCAACACAAACCGGGAGAGAAACCCAAAGTCCTGAGGATCCAAGTGTTACCTTCTGACATCCCAATCTAGTCCCGCGGTGTAGATCTCATCTTCGTTCGCGCCAAAGCACACGTCCAGCACCGGGGCGCGGTGCTCGAACTTCTGCAGCATCTTCCCCTCCCCTATATTCCCATTCTCATCGCGCAGCTCGTAAAGGTATACATTCTTGTCCCACGACGACACCACCACTCGTGTGGACTCGGGTTCGGGGGAGAATTTCAGCGCGGAGATCGCATCGGTCGGCGGAGACGCAAGCGTGAATTGATCTAGAAGAATCAGCACACCCTGTCAGACTCAGCGGAAGCGCAGCACATACTAGTCGCCATGGTCAATTCCAAAATGTGCAAGTGGCAAAGACGAGTAGAGAGTCGAGAAGTTGCAGCGTTGTTGATCGATCGTCCCGACGACGCTCAAAGCTTGGGTCCTTTCCTGCCGCCCGTCACCGCCCTGCCACTTTCTCCCCGCCAGATCCGATATCGTCATTGTCTGGACTAAGAAAAAATCATCCCACTTCGCGTGAACAAAGGCTCTACAGGCTTTATCTGGAGATCTGCCGTGTCATCATGCCGTTTGCGCAACTGGTCATCGGACCCCCGGGGGCAGGGAAATCCACCTACTGCAATGGAATGCACCAGTTTCTCGGCGCCATCGGCCGCAAATGCTCCGTCGTCAATCTGGACCCCGCTAACGATCAGACTTCATATCCGTGTGCGCTGGACGTCCGCGACCTCGTCACGCTGGAGGATGTCATGAGTGAAGACCGGCTAGGGCCGAATGGGGGGGTTCTGTACGCGGTGGAGGAGGTGGAGCAGAACTTTGACTGGCTGGAGGAGGGGTTAAAAGAGCTGGGTGGTAGGAATCGCACTCTGTATCCCATCTGTCAACGCGTGCTAATCTTGATTGCGCTGTGGTATAGACGACTATATCCTGTTTGACTGCCCTGGTCAGGTAGAGCTCTTCACGCATCACTCGTCCCTACGAAATATCTTCTTCAAGCTCCAGAAACTTGGATATAGAGTTAGTCTCCGCATCCCCCTCCAAGCATCCCTCCTGCTAACAGGGTGTCTACTACAGCTCGTCGTAATACACCTCATCGACTCCTACAACCTCACCCTCCCATCCATGTACATCTCCGCTCTCCTCCTCTCCCTCCGCGCCATGCTCCAAATGGACCTCCCGCACCTCAACGTCCTCACCAAGATCGACAACCTAACCAACTACTCCCCGCTCCCCTTCAACCTAGACTTCTACACCGAGGTGCAAGATCTCAACTATCTCCTGCCGCATCTGGAAGCCGAATCGTCGCGTCTGGCGCACACCAAGTTCGGCCCCCTCAACCATGCTATCATTGACCTGGTGGAGGAGTTTGGGCTCGTGAGCTTCGAGACCCTCGCTGTGGAAGACAAGAAGAGCATGATGAGTCTGTTAAGGGTCATTGACCGCGCTAGCGGGTACGTGTTTGGGCCGGCGGAGGGCGCCAACGACACGGTGTGGCAGGTGGCTGTGCGCGAGGGACTGGGGACGATGGACGTGCGGGACGTCCAGGAGCGCTGGCTGGATGCGAAGGATGAATATGACGATCATGAGTTGCGAGGACTGCAGGAAGAAGCCAAGGCACGGGAGGAGGCTGCCGGCGGCGATGGTGCGGGACCAGGTGACGAGGACTTCGACGAGGATATGCCGCAAGGTCCGCTACCGGATAGCGGGGTGAAAGTTGTACGAAAATCATGACATTGCATTGTACATATAATAATATAACGGGGTATCTCAACAAAGGAAAGACGACCGAATGCCAGTAGACATAGATCCGGCCACCCACAACACAAACACTCAATCATCACTCTCCATCCCAACATCGCCATCCTCATCATCGTCCATCACATCGTCAACCCCCGCCAACTCCCCAACCAACCCCCCCAAAACACCCTGCTCATCCACGCCCCTCAACCGCAACGTCTCCCTCCTCGCCCGCCGAATCGCCTCCTCCTCCGCCCTGCGCATCGTCCCCGACACCTTGACCACGCGGAAAACGCACGGGCGAGAAAGAACCGCGCCTCGAGCTCCCTTCGGGGCCCCGATCTCCGGCACACGAGACATGTAAGACAGTGCCGTCCAGACAAGCCGGAATGACGCCCGAGGACACCGCACGATGGCTGTTGATGTAGCGGGGGAGAGATATTTCACTGTACACAAGATACAATTAGCCTTAATCCTGTCCGGCTCAATACCGCATATATGCGTGTGGGGGTAAACAAAAAAAAAAAAGATAAGAAAATGAGAACGAACCACTAACACCCCCGGCATTGCCACCGCCCAATCGCCCAACACCCCAGTCCCCAAACATATTATCGACTTCCTCCCTCAGCATCCGGGCCAACACGCTCGGGGTTAACGCGTCGGAGGTGGGCGAGTGGATGCGCAGCTGCGCTTGGGTCTGCGCGGTCGAGCCCGCTTTGCTGGGCGGTTTGGTGGCGGCCCAGGAGGCGGGCTCTGGGTAGAGGATTTCGACGAGGAGGTAGCGGTGTTTGACGCGGACCATTTTCAGGTTCTGTGTGGTTGGATAAGAACGGTTTATTTCAGAGCAGTTGGTTTGGAGAGTGGTGGGAGGTGAGGTCTAGCTGCTGACTGGTTGACTTTTTTTGGGGGGTGGAGCGCACGTGCGATAAGATAAGGTGCGGAGATCCGATAAAATCAGTTGGTATCTCCAACTCCCCATACTAACTAGCATCTCAACCAGTACAATGTGCAGTGGCCCACAACCCTGTTGTTTCTAGGAAAGGTCAATACCAGTCATACTATAAGCACAATTTGGCCAGCTTCAAGATTAACATGATCTGCAAACATCACTCGGACCAAACCAGTGGACGGGGCGATTACTACAACCAATCAATATGTGTTAAGTGGTCAGTCGTAAGGAGGGCTCTTCTCGCCCCGCTGATCATGGCATAGCCATACGGTTGAATAAGCCCCGAATCCTAGTTAGCCGTTAACTTTGTATCTTGAGTGAAGGAGCTCGCCAATGTGGACGGGATAAAACTGGTCCGGTTTGTAGAATGGGAGGGTCTCCTCTTCGATGAGATGTGTTGGGGTGATTTGGGCAGCTTGGGTACTAGCCATGCAGCGACTGTGGTTGGTGGTGGGATGCCAGGTGACCAATGGATTTAACCTGGAAAACATTGCTCTTGCTCTTAACATGTCAGTGGTTGAACAGGTCAAAAGTGTATTGGATGACGGGTTGTACGGTTGAGATACCGAACAGGTGAGCAAGACAGGGATTTGCCCGCGGAGCCAATCCAGGGTGTGACAGACCCAGCTGGGCCGGTGTGGTGGGCATTCTTATGACTACGAGTACAAGGAGAGTCCCTCGCACTACTATACAGTTGGCTTTGCTCAAATCCGATAATTAAACGTAATTCTGGTCGTCATGCTAAGTCTAACATCTAACGTCGAGCGCCACTGCGCTGATAATTCATCATCTCGATCAGCGGACGTGACTTTAGAAGGAAAAAAGAAGATTCGAAAAAAAAAAAAACAGATGCAACGCAACCAGTCATAACTCCAACGTCAAAAAGTGTCCCACACTGGCCATTCCAGGGGATGTCGATCATGGAAAAAGGGAGGATTAAGAAGAGATATTAAACGGTGTAGAAAATTAGATGTTGACCTCGACACGGCCCTCGGAGCCACCCTTCTGGAGAGCGGGCAGCAGGTAGGTGATGTCATCCCACGGGTGACGGTACAGACCAGTCCGCAGACGCTTCTGATCCAGGTAATGGGCAATCAGACCGATGCTGCGACCCAGCACGAAGAGGCCGTTGAGGACACCCATGCGCATGTAGTCCTCGACCTCGTCGGGAGAGAAGGCACCACAGTTGCGCATGAGATCCACGAAGCAGACGGCGACGCACCCGTCCACGTTGAGGATCAGGTTGTCCTTCTTGGAGGTGGTGACGGTCTCAACGGCAATGGCGTAGTCGAGCAGCTTGGTAGCGGGGAAGTTCTTCTTGACAAACTCCTTGACAAGCTCGACACGGAGATCAGGGTTGTTGCGGGACTTGACACGGTGACCAATACCGGGAACTAAGAAAATTAGCGTCACTCATCTATCAGAGCGTAGTGGAGAAGAGGAACATACTCAGCTTGTTCTCCTTGCGCATGCCGTCGACAAAGTCACGCGGGCTCAGGCCCTTGTCAAAGGCCTTGGTGAACTCCTCGGCGGCACCGTCGAGGGCACCACCGAACCGCGAACCGATGGTCAGCAGACCGGAGACGAGGGCGCTGATGAGGTCCTTGCCGGCACGGGTAGTGATGATGGTGTTCATGGCCCCGGAGACGGCAGGACCGTGGTCGGCCGTGAGCATGAGCACCATCTCGAGGAACTTGCTGGCGTAGCGGGGCAGACGGCGGCGGAACCACAGCAGGGACATGACACCACCGATGCCGATGTCCTCGCGGAAGACATCGGAGATGGGCATGCCGGCGTAGAGCAGCTCCTGGCCACGGTCGTCGGAGATGGTGGAGATGAAGGCGGCGGGCTTGCGGACGAGACCCAGCTCCTGGGCCCAGGAGTAGTCGATGGGGATCTTGGGGACCACGGGCTCGGGCTGGGGCTTGATGGCGCCCTTCTGGACCTCGGCGTCGTAGACCTGCTTGAGCACCTCGGGCAAGTCCTCGAAGGTGTCGGGGACGTGGATGCCGGCGTCGCGCATGGCCTTGTTCTTGGCGACGGCGGTCTCCAGCTGGGAGTTGGCCGAGGCGCCGGCGTGGCCGAACTGGACCTCGGTCTTGAACATGCTGGCGCAGGTGCCGATGGCCCAGGCGACGATGGGCTTGGTGATGATGCCGTTCTGGACGGCCTCGATGACGCGGTACTCCTCAACACCGCCGACCTCACCCAGGAGGACGAGGATCTTGCACTCGGACTCGGCCTGGTAGCGCAGCAGGTGGTCGATGAAGGTGGTACCGGGGTAGCGGTCACCACCGATGGCGATACCCTCGTAGACGCCGTCGGTGTTCTGGGAGATGATGTTGTTCAACTCGTTGGACATGCCACCGGACTTGGAGACGTAGCCGACGGAGCCGCGACGGTAGAGCTTGGAGGCGACGATGTTGTCCATCATGCCACCGGTGTTACCGATCTTGAAGGCACCGGGCTTGATCCCACCGACGGTGGCGGGGCCAATGATGGTGATGCCCTTTTCCTTGGCAGTCACCATGATCTCACGAGCACGCTAGACAAGTCAGCTCACGTGCCTCCACGTGCGGTCTGAGATAAGGTTTACTTACGCGTTCGGGAACACCCTCGGCGATGATGGCAATGGAGCGGATCTGGGGGCATTGCATCAGCTCCATGGTGGAGCTGTAGACGGAACGGGAGGAGGCAAAGTTGACGACGGTGTCGACGTCGGGGTGCTTGGCCATGGCCTTGGAGACATCCTGGTAGACGGGCAGGAGGGTCTCACTGGTGCCCCAGTACCTGTTTTGCTATTAGCAACAAGTTTGCAAGCTGATGGGAGGGAGACGTACATCTTGCTGACGAACTGACCACCGAACGTGTAGATGATGCCGGCGACGGAGGGGGTGGAGCGCTTGCAGATGAAGTCAAAGTCGAGCATACCCTGGACGGCCTTGGGTTGCATGCCACTGGTCGAGTCAGTCAGTCGATCTGGAATGATGGGCCAAGGGGATTGGTAGACTCACTATACAAAGCATCGGGTCTTGTTGTGGAAGAGAGCGGCGCCCTGAGGGGAGCGGACACGGCTGGGGGGATCAAAGCGAGTGATGTTGTCGTTGGCGTTGGAGCCGCCATTGGCGGTGCTCACGAGGGGAGCAGAGGCAGGCATGGTGACTGAACAGAGATATATCAGTCGGTGTCCTGAGGGGATGGAGGTGAGAGCTTCGTGGAGTACATACCTGTAGGGAGCTCCCAGGAAGAACAATGGAGATGGGAGGACAGAAGGGAGGTAAATGGGGGGGGGGAGAGGGTATAAGAAAGGTGAGAGTGGGGGAGAGGTCCAAGGAAGAGACGTGGACCGGAGGGAGAGATTAGATGGGAGAAGCGAGAGAGAGAGAGGAAGAAGAGAAGGAGGAAGAGAGGAAATGGAGGTGAAAGTGATGAGGGAAAAAGAAACGGAATAAAAAGAAGAGAGAAAAGAACGAGAAGAAGAGAGGGGGAAGAATACCAGAATACACGATAAGATAATATAATACAACGATTTTATTTATTTCCTTCTATTTTAAAAAAAATTATAGTCTGTTGGAATAATTATAGAATAATCAATCTGAAATCACCAACCACACCGTGAACGATATCGGAGACATGCCCATCATCCTCTTCCCTCCTATTTCCGATTCTTCCTCTCCATTCCCTGATCTTTCCCACCCGAATCTCGCTCTCGAGCGACTTCCGGAGTGAAGAAGGGAAAGTGATGGATTGTACATCGTAGCTCTGATCCCTCCAGATTCGGTATTGTGACCGTATGGCCCGATGTGGGGAATCTGGTCTCCCTTGGTTTTGGGTCCATGGTTCCTTCACCATCACCAGCCGGGTCAACCGGCTTCTCAACATTTCATGCTCTCGGGATTAGAAGGGTATCTTTTTATTTTTTTGGATCAAATCGGATTCTACTCAGTAAACTCTAGACATGAAAAGTACTACATAGTACATACTTGGTATACTGGAGAGTAAAGTGTAGAGTAGGAGGTGGATGTGGGGCGAAAGGCGGTGGAGCCCACATCATACTAGATGCCTGATCGAACAGCTTGTGGCTCACCGACTTCCACATCAACATCCAATTCCATGGGATTACGTGGCAGATGGAAGATTCCATGTATTGATTCAATTGACTGATGGGTGGGAGACGAACTCCCGACGAGTAGTTGGGTGACGAGAAGGTGTATCCCGGAATATCTGACATCAGCTCTTACTAGAGATCTATATCTTACCCAGGTACGGAGTACTCCGTACCCCGTCCTAGACCAGATACTACAGGATCCGACCCCTGGGCCAAGAAAAAGAAGAAAGAGAAAAAGGAGGAAACAGTATTCAGTCTACAGCGTAGGGCCGATACTGCGGACCGAAATAGAGGATGATCGCATCCCAACCGGACGGAGGAAAATAAACTTGATGACAGTTTCGGGTGGGAGTCCCACCGATTCCCCATCCGTCCCCACTCCAGTCCCCACCCATCTCAACAACTCGGTGGAGTTCATGCTCTCTTCTACCGTGTATTTTGAGTCCTTTGGTCTAACCCTTGGAATGATCATGGTGGACGGATGGAATTGGATGGAAGATCTCCTGTCTTCTTTTTCTTCTCTCTCCCAATATACGAGGGATTAATTAAAAGGAGGAATAATATACGGTAATGAATATCCTTCTCTACCGTAACATGTAATACCGATAAGGAAAACGGGTAATCCAGGTACCGCCCCATTTGCCCCTCTTCGTGTTATGATTTAGTATGTTTATTTATCTTCTCTTCTGAATAAAATACCAATACCATCCATAATACATACCCAACTCCGCCTATCCAGTTTCTGTTCGGCCTTTTCTTCTCTGCTCTCCTCATCTTCTCCCATCTCCCTCTCTCTCCATCTCTCGCTCCATATCCTTCTCCTCTTTCCTCTACCTCTCCCTCGTTTCATTCTCTCCTTGAGGTTCCTTGATACTACCTATCTATCTATCCATTCAGATCATTCACCCACATCATGTCCGCCAAATCTATCCTCGAGGCTGATGGCAAGGCCATCCTCAACTATCACCTCACTCGCGCCCCCGTCATCAAGCCCTCCCCTCTCCCCGCTCCTACCACCCACAACCCTCCCTCTCGCCTGGCCTCCCTCTACTTCCCCGAAGATGCCGCCGTCAAGGATATCCTCGACCAGGCCGAGGTCACCTACCCGTGGCTCCTCGTCCCCGGCTCCAAGTTCGTCGCCAAACCCGATCAATTGATCAAGCGCCGTGGGAAGAGCGGTCTGCTCGCCCTCAACAAGACCTGGGCCGAGGCCCGGGAATGGATTGAGGCTCGCGCCGCCAAAGACGTCCAGGTCGAGTCCATCACCGGTGTCCTGCGCCAATTCCTCGTCGAGCCTTTCGTCCCCCACCCCCAGGAGACCGAATACTACATCAACATCAACTCAGTGCGTGAGGTAAGAATATCATGTCTCCCTTCTACATCCATGTTTACTGGTAGATGGTATCTAACAAATACAGGGTGACTGGATCCTCTTCACCCACGAAGGTGGTGTCGACGTCGGTGATGTCGACGCCAAGGCCGAGAAGCTGCTCGTCCCCGTCAACCTGAAGAACTACCCCTCCAACGATGAGATCGCCGCGGCCCTGCTCAACAAGGTGCCCCAGGGTCTCCACAACGTCCTCGTCGACTTCATCACCCGCCTCTACGCCGTCTACGTTGACTGCCAGTTCACCTACCTGGAGATCAACCCCCTCGTGGTCATCCCCAACGCCGATGCCACCTCCGCCGAGGTCCACTTCCTCGATCTCGCGGCCAAACTGGACCAGACCGCCGAGTTCGAGTGCGGTACCAAGTGGGCCGTCGCCCGCGCCCCCGCCAGCCTGGGCATCACCGCCGCCCCCAAGGACAACAAGGTCAACATCGACGCCGGCCCCCCCATGGAGTTCCCCGCTCCCTTCGGCCGTGAGCTGACCAAGGAGGAGAAGTTCATCTCCGACATGGACGCCAAGACCGGCGCCTCCCTCAAGCTGACCGTCCTCAACGCCAGCGGCCGTGTCTGGACCCTCGTGGCCGGCGGTGGTGCCTCGGTCGTCTACGCCGACGCCATCGCCTCGGCCGGCTTCGTCAGCGAGCTCGCCAACTACGGCGAGTACTCGGGCGCGCCCACCGAGACCCAGACCTACAACTACGCCCACACCATCCTCGACCTGATGCTGCGGGCCCCCATGCACCCCGACGGCAAGGTCCTCTTCATCGGCGGTGGTATCGCCAACTTCACCAACGTCGCCTCGACCTTCAAGGGCGTCATCCGCGCCCTGCGCGAGGTGGCCCCCGTCCTGAACGAGCACAACGTCCAGATCTGGGTGCGTCGTGCGGGTCCCAACTACCAGGAGGGTCTCAAGAACATCAAGGCCGTGGGCGAGGAGCTGGGTCTCAAGATGCACGTCTTCGGGCCCGAGATGCACGTCAGCGGCATCGTGCCGCTGGCGCTGTGCGGCAAGAAGACCGACATCAAGGAGTTTGGTGCCTAAACGAATTGCCCATGAGATTTCTTCCATTTACTTAATTTAATCTTCTTCCTTTTTTTTTCCTTCTTCTTTTTTTGTCCTTTTTTTTCTTTTGTGATCTTTTTTGTGTTGAATTTTCTGAACGCATGGCATGACACGGGTTTTCTTTATTTTGTTTGATTTTTACCCTACTGGAGCAGGGATGCCGAAGAGACGATATTAGCGAGACTGCCTTGACTTAGAAGAGGCATGCGGTAGGGATGGACTTTAGATCGGGTTTAGATCAGCGTCAATCTAGTATCTACCAGTGTCTAATAGGTTTGGACCATACATCGTCGGTAAAAATAGAGGTATAGATTATCTTGCAATTATTTCTTGATTATTGCCGTAAAGTGCATTGAATGATGAGATACGCAGGTAGTCAATATATAGTACGTGACATCTTCCCCAGGGGGGGAGGGAAGTCTAGTACAGTATAGCCTCAAAAGATAGGAAAGGAAACGTCCAAATAAGCATCAAATAAATTACCACTAACAAACCAACCCACAGACTCCACACAAGCTGTCAAACGCCCGATCGGATCTTGATCCAAATAAACTAAATTAAAGTAAGTGTCATTTGCGATCTGAGCACCGACGTGGTGGATTGGATGGTGGTGGTGGTCTCGGAGAGATGGAAGAGTCGTTAGTTTGTCGTGCTGGGGACTTCCGCACGTCCGAGATTGGGGATCGGGGGTGATTGGGGATTGATTGGGGATTGGAGCGGGGGATCGGTGGGGGTGGGCCCTAGACTTCTTCCTTTATCTATTGATTTATTTATCTTCAAGATAAGCTTGTGTTATTTGATATCTGAGGTGCTGCTGTTTGTTGCTGGATATGACGACCTGGTTTGATCCAGATCTTTTCCGCGAAGGTAAGGTGGTGAATGGGCGCTTGATATTGGCTACGCGCCGAGTAGTATTATGGAGTGGGATTTACTTCAACAACCATATAATCCACTTACCAGATAAACTGGAATATGTCTGATATGTCTTATGCGATCGCAGAATTCAAGGTTCGTGGCTTTTCCCAGTATGCGTTCTTTGAGTTGAATTGTTGTTGTGGAAAAAAGTGGAAAAAGTGAGGGCGGAGTAATTCCGTCGGGTGAATGGATGTTGCATCTATGCGGAATGGTAGATATCCTAGTCGACTATCTACTACTCTAATATTACCTGTTGTTGGGTTCTGAGGCCTTTCGAAAGGCATTTGGGTGTATAATATTATCCTGTTCTGGAAAAGATTCTTTGTTCTGGGATACTATATTGTTCAGTGATATTTGACATGTTGCACTGGCTATTATATGGTTGAAGATATCGTATATATTTCCACCTTAGCGTCTCTTAAGCATCAACAATCAAAGGAACATGAAAGTCGCGTCTCGTATGATCTCGGTTTAATGCCTCCTGTCACTCCCTATACTACAGTCTGTCGAAATACATCCTCATCCCAGACCCCTCCCTCGGATCAGGAGGAGCATGTATACTACCCCCGCCATTGCATACCCGATGATCCACGCCTGTATCCCCTTGGAACCGTTCGTACATGACTCTGTCCTGCGGTAACTGCGACAGTCCCGTCGAAGGACGTGACGAGCGAGGGGGTCCCGTAAGGCGCGTTCGGTGTTGCGGCGTAGCCTGGGGCATTTCAGCTAATAAACGTTAGTCCATATCATCACATAACATTGGAGACCGGATAAAATGTACTTCTAACCGCTCCCACCGGACGACTGGGCGGAGCCATAGCACTGACAGCCGCCCTCCGCTTCGTCCCCCGAGAGCTCCCCGTCCCACTCCGCTGGTGCCGGTGGAGTTGCTCTACGCCATCCGTGTCAACCGGAAACGCGCTCTGCTGACGCGAAGAGGGTGTCTGGGGCGGAGGCCCTGTGACCGCTGCCGATAATGGAGGCAGCGTGTTGTGTGGTTGAACCTGGGGAGGCGGCGCCAGCGTCCTCAACGCTTGGGAAACCGATTCTGACGCAGCGGTCTGCATTTGAGACCGCATCGCGCGCGTCTTGAGCAGATTGTAGAGGTTTGTGATCTGTGTGAACTTCTTGCACTTTTCGCGGTAGAGGTCGGCGAGTTCTTGGTTTTTCTTCCCCAGCTGCTCGTGCGTGTCCTGCATGTCTGATGCTACTTAGTGGAGATACTTGGTATTCGAGATGGCGGAGTATACCTGATAGACTAGCCTGTAGAGTTGCAATTTCCGTGTTCGCGTTATGAACAACTTTATCCATTTGCGTGTTGAGATTCGTGTATTTCTCCGTGAGCGTCTTTCCGAGGAATTCCTGGTAGAAACTGCCGTCCGTCAGTAGACGTCCTGTGTCTGGAGTCAAAGAGTCGCACATCTCCTGGCTCGATTGGTATGTCCAGAACAGCAAGGCTCTCCCCGCACACTCCATGATGGTGTTCGGATCGAGTCCGCTGAGGACGCTCGTTTTGTAATCCTCCGTTGGGTTCAGGATGGTCGCTACTGCGTCGTCTGGGTTGATTAGGATGGCTTGACATGCTGGACAGCGACGTTCGCCCGCGTTAGGACGAGAGAGTCCGAGATTCTCAGCGCATTGGAGACAGAAGATGTGTCTAGACCACGGATGCAGTCAGCTTAGAGTAGGGAAATAAGAGATAGGACAAGGTGGTTAGACGTCGTACGAGCAGGTGGTGACAACGGCTCTCTCCTTGAGTTGAGAGCGGCATGTGAGGGAGTTGCAACGAAGATAGAAATCCATGTTGTGAAGTGGTGTTCAGAGAGAGCGTAGAGTCATTGTGAGGGAAAAGAGGGGAGGTCTGGTGAATGGCAGGTCATCAGCGGAAGCCGTCGACGCTTTCATGTCCACTGGACTGGCTGTTTACATTGTACTATGCATTGTTTTTCTTCATGGAACAGTGTTCGTCTCAATCATTTAGCACTATGTATATAATGTACATGCCAATTCTAATAATATCATAAGTCATCTAGAAGAAGAAAGTATTCCCCGAGGCATCGCGTCTTGTCGTACGCATCTTCTCCTCGAACTCTCCCCCCGGTTCATACTCCCGCCATAGACTGGCCGGGAAGATATGCTTGTTCCTCTCGTACCATCGTCGATCGACCACTTTGGTCGTCGTGGGGTCTTTGTCCCCGCCCTCCAGCTGTTCACTATCTGGGCGCGACAGGGGGTCATCTGTCGCCGATGCAGAGGGTTTGTCGGAGTAGTCGAATAGCAGCTCGCCGGGAAGCGAATAGTTCGGCACGCGGTTGGCGATGAAATAATACAGCTCGTAATGCTAAAACGCAGGTCAGCGGACACGATCGGGGTATTAAAGAACACCTTCATGAACGTACATGTGGGATGATAATCTCGCCTTTCACCAATATGAGATCATCAACACTCACTCGGGCCCATTCGCGACGGTTATCCTTCCGTCCTTTCGACGCATGGCTGCCACCCCCGACGCCTAGTTCCGCCCCGACTTTGCGGCACCGGTCCAGGAACAGCCACACCGGGTCGCCTTTCTTGACCTTGACCGTCCCCGCCGGGATGTTCGTGCCGTCGTAAAAGATGAAAGGTATTAAGATCTCGGTGTTCTTGACCGCATCTTGCATCACCAGGAATTCCTTGCGGAGGGCATCTCGCGCTTCCGTTTCTGCTTTCACAGCCGCTTTTGTGATGGCTTTGGGAGGAGGAGGGGCGTTGGGGTTCGGCGTGATCCGTCGCGATGCAGGCAAGGAGTCATCCGCGGGGGTTTTGGAGCTGGACCGCGGGACACTCAGCTCGCGCGGAGTGGCCGCAGACTCTTCACCGGTATTCTCATTCTCCTCCTCTTCATCAGCAAACGACAGCTTGCTCTTGGCCAGCGGCTTCTTCTTCTTCTTCTTTTTGGGGGGACCCTCGCTTTGCGACCTCGAGCTACTGGCGCATTATCGTCAGCATGAGAATGGGGATAGAACTGCGCCTTAACTCACGTGTCAGTTACATCGCCCGCCGATGGGGTGGCGCTTCTCGAATTACCAGACGCGACTCTCCCCAAGGACTTATCGTGTGCCTCCCGTTCCTTCTGTTCGAGAACCTCGGCGCGGCGCTTGCGAAAGTCGGAGAGATGGACGAGACCGACGGTTTGCGATTTGAGGAGCTCCTCCGCGGAGGCTGACTGGCTGGTAAATGACCGAGGGGTCGAATTGTGACTGGGTGGTTCTGAGGGGGGCATTATGCAGGATGTGGCGGTCTGATGTTGGGAGTGGTGAGATTCTTGTCGCATCGCAAATGGGGGAAACGACTGACGTCTGTCGGGCACGTGACCTGGCTCCACACTGTACTATACAGCTTCAACAATAATGTTGGCAGGATAAATTTTAGGTCTACCCAATCTTGTAAGAAATTGTTTTCTTTCTCTCTATGATAGAAAAACACGCGGGTGGTTTCGTTGGTGGATTAAATGCCTGGTACTCTGGATTGAGGGCTGTGATGTGTACAATATAAACTCTGTACTCTCGTCCTAGAGATGCCCGCCTGCCTGAGAAACTAGAACAACACTAATGACGAATTATACAGGTTACTGTTATTCAGATAAAATTAGACTTCGTCATGACAAACTAAACAATAGAGACAAGCTACAGATTAAATACGAAGGAGTCTCACTGGCTAAAGGAGTCTTACTATATTATAAAGTGTGATGTATAAGCCACGATTCGAGAATAATTCAGCAGAATTGGTCTATGATACCCTTGTGGCCGAGTGGTATAGTGGCCGCTCGGGTATTTCTATATCTCAAAAGTAAGAAAAAAACATATCTTGCAAAGACCCTGCAACTGAATTATCAAGACAACTACAACTCAGCAAACATGCAGACGGACATACTGACAATCCTTCTTCGGATATCAACGACTATAAAGTCCCCTATTCATACCCCGGATCGAAGATCCTCGCTTTGTAGAATTCTGCATTATCCCACCCTCTCTCCGTCGTATTCTTCCCTGGCGCTTTCTCGTCACTGAACCGGACATACTGTCCCATCTCATGATTCTCCTCCACCCCCCTGATCCAGGCATATTCTCCCGACGAATGCTGGACCAGCGACTTGAGCTTACCGCCCATTTCTAGGTCGCGAAATTCACCACTCGTCGTGTTGTATGCGTACGCCGCCGCGGTATGCGTCAAGAGCAGGATATCATCGTGCTTGTAACTCGCCGACAGATCGTGGCCGTTCCGGGCTTTCTTCTTCTTCGTCTCCTTATCTTTGACAACCGGCAGATCAATCTTTTTGCCGACTTGCTTCAGCTGCATGTCCTCCCCTTTCCCCACAACGTTATACTTGTACAGATAATCCTTCCCAATTGCCCACAGATTGTCCCCGTGCCACAACACGCCATGCGCCTTGGGAACCTTGTACCGGTGCGTCCTCTTGATCCGCTCGAGGTTGTTGGCTCCGTCCGTAGGAACGTAGAGCGTCAGTTCGCCTGGGTCGGAGCTGGCGGCGACAAACGCACCCGAGTAGGGGATCCGCTCCAGCGAGTGCGGATTGTCCCCGACAAAGGCCTCCCAGACGACGTCCCGCAGCGAGGTCGATCGTTGTCCGGACTTGATGTCGACCATGCCGACCATCCCGCCTGAGGTTGCGACGAGCGCGACCATACCGCGGTCGGCCGTCTTACGGATTTTGACCTCGGACAGATCTCCCCAGATGTCTTTTTGCCAGGGCCAGGGGTCGTAGTCGCACTTGAAGGACCAGTAGATAGCGTCTTTATTCCAGGTCACGACATCACGTGGGAAGACGCGGACGGTTTTGGACTTCTGGTCTGTGACGGCGAGGTGGTAGGTTGATGCGAGAGGTAGTGCAAGGGAGAGGGAAAGGAGGGCGCTTTTGAGATGCATGGTGGTGGGTACAGGCTTTTGTTTATCTTTGTGCTTTCTTGACTGTCTTGGGAGGATGTGAGGCTGCTGGCCGAGAAGGCAAGATGGCGAGGAAGTATGGTCCAATTTATAGTCCATCATCGAGAAGGCTGTCATGGCTGCCTCCATCTTCATTCATATTGTAGCCTTGCTCCCGTGGAAATGAATCATTCGCCAAGCCTGTATACGTCTTGGCCATGGCGTCGCTACGGCCTCACGCGAGTTCAACCATTTCCTCTATGGTGCATTTTCCATCCTTCGTGCACAATTCAATTGTCCCGAATCTATTTTAAAATCCTTCGTAGATACCTTAGACGATGTTGAGCATATTTGGAGAGAAGATGCTAATATTAGGGCTCGTATCGCGATAGCATCAGGTGTCCTAGGCTGGTGGCGTTCGGAGTGGCGGTCTGTTCTCCACCCTTTTGAGTTTAGAGGTCTTGCCGCAGCGAATGATTCTGTTCGACATCTTCTGGTGGCTTGACTTCAGCCTCGTGAACTAGAGTTTCTCGCATCAATACGGAGGGCGTTGGCCATTGTGCTGCCTCGAGCAAGCAGAATATTCTGCCTTGCGGCGGATTTCATTCCCACTAGATATGGTCGAATGGAACACATGGGAAGCCAGCTGGGAAAGAGAGCATTTCTCCAAAAACCAGATATGTTCAACAAATACTAGATATAATCTTCGTCAAAAGAACCCAGAGACTTGCTCCAATTCTCGGTGTAGTCTATCCATCTGCAGGCAACGTTCCTGGATGCACCAAGTTTTCTGCAATCCGGATACTTTTCAATCCTGATTACCACCGTAGCAAAGGGCCAAAATGTCTGGTAACATAAGAAGTTGTTCTTTATCAGAATGGTTTGATCTGGAAGCCCGAGATGCCCGACCAGTTCGGATTCCTCAACCCGTACGGAATTGAGACTTTGACTACTGGACCAGGGCCCTTAGCCCTGAATAGGCATCATCTGCCATGTACATGTGTATGTCAACAACGACCCCGTATTCAGCTACTGATGAACAGGTCTGTAGATAAAATATCGTTACATGAGCTACGGTAGGAGCTGCAAGTAATTCGATGCCCTTTACTCACTACCACTGTGGGATGCTACTTCTAGTTGGATGATTAAACAGTGTGGGAAAAGGACTGCAAATGCCGCAGATCAGCTGATTGTTTAACTGATTGAAGTCACCAGTCTTTCACAGTTTCCAAACTTTGTTGACTCGGTTCTTATGGGATTTGATCATCGAATCTGAAAGAGTATTGATCCGGGGGTATATACAACAGTGAATATGAGGGTAACAGGGGTGAATGTGATAGTGAACCTAAAGATGACAGGAGTGAGCATGATCATAAATTTGAGACTGGCAGAATAACAGAGTAGAAAGATACTGTTATTACATAGTTATGATCTCCTGATAGAACTCCAGTTGTCGAAATCCCCAACAAATTACCCTATCAGTCCGCTAATATCCTTGAAGGCAAGTCAATGCTATTCTGGTTAGTATAAATGGTAAATGGACATGGCCCGAGACATGAACGATAGGGAGTATGATGACATCGTGGGAAAAGGTATGATTTTCTCATATTACATGTGTATCAAGAGTGTTTAAGTCAATAGTGCGCAATTATTATAGGACCCTATTGGCATAGTACACACACTCAAGGGGTTGCTCATAGAGCACACACTTCTAAGGTCTCCCTGGGTAGGTATACAGACCCGACCCTGTTCCAGCCCATCTTTGCGACAGTTGTTCTTTCGATGATTAGAGCAAACCCATCATGAATATCAAATACATCGATGAGGTTGACCATCGCCTGAGACAAGGTAAACCCCCGAATGGTTGTTTTCGAGCTGACCCACATGATGGATCACTTTGTGATTGAACTGATGACTGACAACCTCTTGATTGAAACCATATCACGACAATGGTCTTTTGGGCTTCGGAGAGGAATCTTATTCTGTATCATTCAGCCAACCAAGTGGCTGGGAAGTCGCCCCTGAAGTTTCATCCACCTGGAACCGTTGGTTTCTCCAGCCTTCAACGGTGGAGTTGGGGCGGGAGAGCGTCCTTATCCCAATCCTCAACGCGACTTAGTGGACGAATACGAGCCAAGTGGGCTGCTCAAGTGTCCTCCCCGTCGTCACTTCGTCCTGGGGGCGGGAGCGATCTCTCGTGTCTCTGTCGCCTACCTCGTATCCGATCATCTCCGTTGCTGGTCACGAGACATTTACCTGCTAACTGCGCCACAAACCGATTAGATGACTAAAGACTAAGTAAAAATAGTCGAGCCAAGGAATCACGTCAAATCATATCGAAACGAGGATCGACCCCCCGCTTCCCTGGACACGGCCCGGCGCGATGACCAAAAAGCCAGTGCGTATACTACTCCCCGCTGCTGGTGGTGTTGGTTCTATGTCCGGCTGCTGCGAGTATCTGTCCGCGAGCTCCAATCCGAAATCATGTTCATCACGCTGAAACGCCCCAGTGCCGACGGGGATACGGAATTGGAGCAGGTTGCGTCGCGCGGTGCGAATTCAAACCGGGACAAGAGCCGTATGCGTCTAGGGCGGCGACCAGCGTGTTTAACATGTCAGACACGAAAGGTGAGCGCTATGAAAAGTGGTATCTTTTTTGCCCAACATCGGCGCTGTTTTCCGTGTCGTCATCTATTCGACTCCAACTCACGATTCCCGATAGCTGCGATGTAGCGGCCGCATCGGGGACTGCGACAGATGCAGAGCCAATTCTATCGCCTGTGCGCTTTCCTCCAGCCAGGCAAAGCATGGTAGCCACAGCAGCAACTGGTCCGTCTCCAGTACGGCAACTTCACGGACCAGTCGAATCGGAGGGGCGCCGGCACTTCCCACTGTAGATACAGTGTTCGAGCCGCCCAATGGCCCAAAGTCGCCCATTCGGCAGGAGGGTGAAGCCCCTGTGCCAAGTCAGATTCGAAATTCCGGACCGCAGGGGGAATCTCTGTTCAACAGTACGTTGCCCTCGCCCACACGTAGTCGAATAGATTGCTAAAACACGACAGTAAACTTTGACAATGAAATGTCCCATCTTCTGATGAATGTCGATGCGCTCAGCCGGGCGAATCCGCAGATCAAAGCGACCGATATAGTGAGCGCCTTCAATCTACCAAATCATGACGCGTACGATTCAGGTGATCTGCAACATGGTGCGGTATCCGCCCCGGTTGATCTGCATACATGTACATACATTGAGTGACTGCATCCAACGGGTGTCGAACTACCTGGCTAATTGAAATAGTGTACCAGCAAGCCCAGAAACCTCCCACGCCGCCATCCGTGTCGATGCCGGGGCCAAGCGTGTCGGACGACTACTTGCTCGATTCCCTAATTGCTACCACTGAACCCGCTGCGGAACCTGCCATCCGTGACCTGTTGATGGACGAGCTCCCCAATCCCAGTCCCCCTGCGCCGATGGCGGAGCCCCTTATGGATTCTGTGCCGGATCCCCCCGCAGCTTGGGCCAAGAACGACGAGTGTCCCTGCACGTCCAACGCCGTGCGCGTGGTCCAGCAGCTGGACGACGACGACTTCCGCATCACAACACTCCCTCTAAACCAGGTGCTGCAGCTCCAGAAATGGATTATTGCCCAGTGCTGCAAACCACTGGACTGCGTGAACTGCAAGTTTCGCCCCACCGTTCACACCGTCCTGGTAATCATCTGTGACCGCCTGGCCGAAATGTTCGAGTGCATCCAGAAGCGCCTTCAAAAGGATACCGAGCGCATCTACGGGCTCAGTAATTCCAGCGGCGGGTCTTCGTCGGCCAGCTCCGATTCGCTACCCTCAACCGAGCGCTCGGGAGAGCTGTATTGCATCTCCTCGCGAGGCCCGGCGAGCAAGGCTAACTGCAACCCCGAGCTATTCTCGACCGACCTCCAGGCCATGTACTCCAGCGAGGAGCAAGTCCACGTCATCCGCGTGCTTTTGAAACTGCAGGTCCGGAATTTCCGGGCGCTGCTGATGCGCGCTGGTAACGCCAGTCAGATCACCGGCAGCGAGGCCCGCAAGGCCCGGATCAAGTCGATGATCATCCGGCTGGGGTGTGCCGCTTCAGATATCGATAGAGCCTTGCAGGCGATATTGCAGCTTTTCGCCGCTAACAATCCTGGGATCGCTTAACATAATTTCTCAAGGCCGCTGCGCCATAACGTTGGTCAACGATTGGTATAGGGCTCAACAGGACTGATATACCCAACATAATCCTTCCCGTTTACGAGACTTAATGATGACCGTGTTTTCACGTTGTTTACCTATTTCTCCACCTACCATCTGTTCTTGTACCTCCTGACTTGCTTTGTTCCTCTGTCGTGTAGTTTCAGCGCAGGTCATCTTTTCCCCATTGAAGTATAAAGTACCGATTTCCTCATCGGGCCTTGGGATCTCGATCGGCGAATATCCCAACCGGGCATAGGCTGGGCTAAGTAATGCTGCATTAAGTTAGGTGCATTGCATGAGCTGACAAATGTCCGATGACCAAGCCTCGGGATCGCCCAAACAGGAAATCCAGGGTTTCTAAGTTCCAACCAATAGATCACCCTGTCGGATCCCAGCAGAAGCGTAGGGTGACCACAAATAAGGCGCTCTCAAAGGCTCCCAAGGCTAACATTGAAAGAGGCTAAGGATGTATAGTCGGTGACGTGGAACAGTGCTGACGAGACGGACTACATGGTGGCCCATGGTACAATTAACGCTACAGGTGGTGTGGTGCTCTATCTTTTCTCCCGAAGGATCATCGAAGGGTGGTTATGAGGAATCGGTGGTCTTGAAACCCTGAATCCTTGCTTCTTCCTCAAGCTTATCGATCTTCCCTATGATGAAATAGTTCGTTGCGATAACAAGGTCTTATATTGACCCAAGGTTCGTGATACTTCCAGAAGCTTGTTAGTCGTGACCCGCCGAGAGGGTCATCAACCCAAAATACCCATATCGAGTACTATCAAGGCCTAGTCCCAGTAGATTGGAGTAAGAAGTGGGGTACGGATCACAATATACGGGTACAATTCGAAGGTCTCGCCTCTGAATGGAACTGTTACCTTTCTTCTCTTACTCACCGTTTGTGTTCCTACCAGTAACAAGTCACAAGATTCATTTGAACGGATTTCGGGACTTTACACTCATCTAAGACAGATCCTCTTGATTCATTCTTGCGTGTCTCTACAAAATTGAGTATATCACGAGTCTACATCAAGCTTCCTGCGTAAACTAACTAATTCTGAAGGCTCGAAAACTTTCCCATAACTGACAACGGGCGGTATGAGTGACAAATCATGGACCGAGGAATTCTTCTTCCAATGGCCCCGGACAGATAGGATGAATGCAGTACAGAAGGATAGGCAGAACTTCAGACCTTTTCTGCCGCAGCGAAACTGGATGTTGGGAAGGTCAGTGGGTACCAATCTACGCTCCAGCCAAGATCAGAATCAAGTCCTATGGCTTTCCGTTCAACACCAAGAGACATATCTACCCAAATACGTTGCTAAAGTAGTAAGTAGGTGAGAAACAGGTTCTTTCGGGAGATAGCTGATAACAGATAAAGTTCTCTGAATACACCGAAAAGGATGCACAAATCCAGCTCCGACGCTTTCCACCCCGCATATCTAAGAAGGTTAAGGAAGTAAAAGATGAACTTGACCCGTATACTAATGAAGCACGAGCATACCACTGCATTGAGATGTCGTGTCCAAGCTCAGAAAGGATATATTATCCTGAATTTCACGGTGTTATCACGGAATTTGAAAGATCAAGGTTCATTTACGGCTTTATTAATCCTCGGGCTATTGTCCTCGAGCCCATCAGGCCAAAACTTGCCTCACGACGAATTCTAGCAGCTCACAGTGACGATGCCTGTGAGATTTGGAATCGGCTGAATATTATTGGACTTCTCAGTGACTTCGAATTGGAATACTATCATAGTCTCTTCCATGACCGCATCCGCCGCCTGTTGGCATTACACAGACTCGGGATCACACATGGTGATGTACGCGATGATCATTTCAGGTTACCAGGAGATTTCCATGATACAGTCTTATATGACTTTTCTATTTCATATACTTTCTCTCCAGTCATGCCTTACTTGGTCAATTTCCGTCCACCATGTTCTTTGAAGAACATCTCGGAAATTGAACAGGCCATGGTTGAGCAACAGATATTTGAACGGTAGGCGACACGATGCAATACCATTGACAGGAAGCTAAAGTTCAACCAGGGCCAAAAACCTAGACTTCCGTGATCATGTTGAAAAAACTACTGGGCTCAATCCAGCAGCAGCTGTGGATGCGCTCTTCCAACCTCTCGAAGATGAATCATTGGAGTTGATATTTCTGCGAGTAAATTTCCGCCCTGACGTTTAGTCCCCCCCCCCCCCCCCTTCCCGTTTCATTATCTACGGATATTATTTGATACCCTATAGCTTTTTCTATGCCTTCGGTGAACTCGATTTTCCCTTTTCTTGAAGATATTCGTCCAAAGGATGATCATACCTGGCATATCCGTAGAGGTCGGCTGTTGAAATTCTATGAAGCGGTTTGGATAAGCTCTTCAACGAATGGTTCAGGCCAAACTGACATGAGCTTCGTTTCGGACTTTGACTATACCCAAAACAGTACGGGCGCAAAACTCAGATACCTACTCTGCTTAGTACCGAAGGAGTGGGGAGTTGAGGTTGTCCGCAGTGCACTCATGAGTATCTGTTCGTCCTTGCCGCGTGGTGCTCACGGCTGCATCAAGACCCGAATCGATTTGTAAAACTATAATTGACCATAACCCATGGTATGTTCTACCTCTGATTGATATTTGCTCGACTACTCATCAGATGGATCGCCAGAGCGCAGTCGCGCTACTCATTTTCGACCGTCATGCTCGTGTCAGGTTGGGAGCCACGGGTAGCAAGAGTTCAACATCAGCAGATAACGTGTTTTTTTGTCCACAATGTCAACTCCTCGTTGTCAAATGTCCAAAACACCTGCTTGTGTCCGCGCGTGTCTTTCAATAGGTAGAATACATGGGCAATATTGGGATTTTCTCAGTCTAAGATGACTCCTATTACGTCCTAGTTTATCGTAGACAAGGAGTTTAGAGGACATAGAAACAATCCAGGGGGGTTTCAAACCACATAACAATGTGAAGTACTGGTCCAACAGCTAGAAGTACTGTATTGCAGCTCCATAACATGACCCAGTCATCGGTGGCTCCCATCCTTTTTGAACGGAACGATTGGGTGCCTGGGGCCTTATATTAGGGCTCGGCGAACTTCCTCTTTGGGAACCCCGGGAATAGTTACATCAGACAGACCAAGCAGGAAGCCCAACGAGCCACAAATTAACACACGCTTGTCAGTCTATTATAAATGGGAACAAAAAACAGACATAGCCTAGTACATTCCTTGCGCGCAATTATTCAGCCACCGATTTCTAAGCTCTCGAAGGCTTAGTTATAGCTTGGGCACCCGTCTCGTCGCTTCGTGGCGCGTACTTATTGCCTCAATGCTGGGTCAATTGCAGTCGGTGTTTTGCAGTGTCTAGTCAATGAAATTTGAGGTCTCTACAATTTGCAATGTCATCTACACTCTCATCCTTCGACAAGTCCCAGGAGGCAGTCAATGGCCACCGCCATCTCTCCGAACTGGGAGGAAAGGCCCCAGGAGAAGAGCCGGCCGATGCGGCAGACCCAGATTCCTCGCCGCGACAGCTGCATGGACCTTTGGTGAGGTTCTTGGAGAGGTCATCAGATTGCGCACATATGCTGACAGCTTGCAGTGGTTCCTGGTCGTGATCAGTATCCTGTCGAGCATTTTCTTGTACTCCTTGGACAATACGGTGGTGGCCGACATAACTCCGGTAGGAGCTATATGCGGCAATGTGCAAGCTGGCTGGCTAATTGAGCTCTAGTCGGCAGTAAACAGATTCGGAGACGTCGTGAAACTTCCCTGGCTTTCTGTGGGGTACGATCCTAAACCATATCCTACTAGATAAAGGCCCCAGTTGACCGGTTACCACAGGTTCCTGCTCGGTGGAGCGGCAGTCGTCCTTCCATTCGGCAGGTTCTACGGTCTCTTGGACGCCAAATGGCTCTATATTATTTCGTCCATTGTCTTCAACGTCGGTTCGGCACTTTGCGGCGCGGCACCGAACATGGATTCTCTCATTGTCGGGCGTGTCTTGGCTGGAATGGGAGGAAATGGCATGTATCTTGGAGTCATGACTCTGCTGTCCGTCAACACCTCCGATCGTGAGCGGCCGGGATATCTGAGCTTTGTGTAGGTGAGCCCAGACAGAGACCACAGACCATGTCGCTTCAAACTGACAGTCGCGTAGGGGCCTCGTTTGGGGGGTTGGAACCGTCTTGGGCCCCGTTGTTGGAGGCGCTTTCGTGGAATCGCCAGCGACATGGCGCTGGGCCTTTTATATCAACCTCTGCGTATCCGGTCTCTTTACTCCGGTCTATCTCTTCCTAATCCCGTCCTTCAAACCGCGCAGCGGGACCAAGATGACCTCGCTGCTGCGCGAATTCGATGTGGTGGGGACCATCCTCAGCATTGGGGCCATCATTACTCTGATCATGGCGATCAACTTTGGCGGTGCTCTCTACCCGTGGAATAGCGGACCGACCATCGCGCTTTTCGTCGTGTCAGGCGTCCTGTTTATCGTGTTTGGCATCCAGCAGGGCATGACAATCTTCACCAGCATCAGCACTCGCATCTTCCCGTGCCAATTCCTGCGCAATCTCAATGCAGTCTTCCTCTTTATTTGCGCCTCTGCTGTTAACACTGCCGGATTCATTCCCATCTACTACGTACCCTTGTACTTCCAGTTTACAAGGGGTGACGATGCGATCAAGGCTGCTGTGCGCCTCTTGCCATTGATCTTCGCGCTCAGTGCCGCTATTCTCGCCAATGGACATCTTATGTCCCGCTTCAGCTACTTTCAGCCGTGGTATATCTTCGGTAGTGTCCTGACTCTGATCGGTGGTGTCTTGCTCTGTAAGTTCCATTGGTGTCCTCTTATCGACTCACTCTTATGTCCTAAGCCCTAACCCTGCACAGCTCGCATCCAACCTGATACTCCCGAAGCGAACATCTACGGCTATGAAATTCTTGTCGGCATCGGTACTGGTTGCTTTATCCAAGCCGGCTACGCTGTGATTCAAGCAGTCATTCTTCCCGCCGAGATGGCCTACGGAATCAGCTTCATGATGCTCGGTAGGTCAACTCCCAGCCAAAAAGCGAAAGATTCAAGTTGCGTTAACCAATAAACAGGGCAGCTAGGCGGCATTGCTTTTGGCCTGGCCATCGCCGGTGCCGTCTTTATCAACGACGCTGTATCCGGACTTGCTGCCTTGATCCCCGACGTCTCTCGCTCTGAACTGCAGCGGGCAATCTCCGGTACCAGCGGCACATACTTCCAGTCCCTGCCAGAACAGCTGCAAGCCAGCTGCATTGACGCGATTGTGGGTGCTTTGCAGAAGGTCTTTATCCCGGTGTATGTCGGGGCAGCTGTGAGCTTGGTGGTTTCTGTCTCTTTCACGGTGAGTGCTCCGTCCCGGTCAAATGCTGCGGCCATGCTAACGCTCAACTATAGCAACGGAAGCTGTTTAAAGATGCTGTGGTTATCGCGGCGTAGTAATCCGACTGTTGGTTGAAAGCGGTCCATTACAGGGGAGATTGCTGTTCTATACTCTCGCTCTTCTATAATATAGACCTTTTCAGAGAGCAATTGGAGGATAAATAACAGCATATCCAGGACAACTATCAGATATAGAGAAACGAGGGAGACGTTGTTGTTACAATTTGGGTCTATGGGGTGGGGTGGTCATACTCAGCATGATAATTTTCTTCACGTGGCAGTCACAAGTAGCTCATCATAGACCTCATCTCATCGCTCATCGTGTTTTAGTTTGGTGTTTTTTGAAAGTGAAGACAAGTTTGAAATGGCTAGACGATGCGTATGATGACGGGATCATCTTCCGAATATATATAACCGAACAAATGACATTGATAACCACTCGAACCCCAGAAAACCATAATATTTTATTCCGTAAGTAATTCTATCTTCAATGCAACTGCATATGTATATAATATCCTGATACTGACCGGAATCTTCTCCCACCAAAAGGTTTAACCAATCCTGGTCAAATTCCAGCAGAGATAAAAGCAATCGGGTGCAAACAGACCAAACTCAGACTATCGCGGTCAACAACCGCCGACGGTTTCCTCCAACCTTTTGACCTCCTCCTCTCTTCCATCCAATTGCTTCACCACGGAAAAAGGAACCATGGACGAAGACGAAGATGATTTTTATGATCCTGCGGACTCTGTGCCGGTAACGCAGTCCCAGAATGCCGGGCAAAATGTCCCAACCGATGCCCAGGCCAACGAGGGCGACGAGGAAGAAATAGAGGTCGAAGAGGATGATGTACGTTCCCCATTTTTGTTCTCTCTCAGTGGTGGAGGTTTTGGCTTATGTTGTCTTCTAGGACGATTTCAACATTATTACAGAGGCGCCGCCGGATGCGCCGCCGGTCGAGGTGTAAGCTTTGATGTTTCGTTCTTGGTTTGCGCGCATCGCGCCTACTAACAACCGCCCTCTAGGTCGCACCCCCGTCATGCGAACTTACGAGAATCACAACGTCCGTCGGTAGATTCGACGCCCATCCCCAAGCAAGCCACCCCCTCCGTTACTACCCCGAAGGTCGACTCGGTGACCCCAGCGCCCGTCCAGGCCAGGACCCCGGCCGTAGCGCAGAAACCCGGCTCGGCCTACCCGCCTGTTCACGCGTCCACGATCGACGTCCATGCGAACCCCATTCATCCTAGTACCGGCAAACCGATTCTACTGACGGATATGGATACGGATTTCCCGGAGGATGATAAGCCGTGGCGACGGCCGGGGTCGGACATCTCGGATTACTTCAACTACGGGTTTGACGAGTTCACCTGGGCCAGCTACGTGTTGAAACAACAGGACTTGCGGAAGGAGGTGGGAGACCAACGCAAACAGTTGGACGATATGCAGAGTTTCTTGACCATGGGACTGCCCCCGATGCCCGGTGGTCCTCAACCGGGGCCCGGCGGTCCTGGCCCCGGCAGCGGGCCACCGCCGATGCCGGGGATGCCTGGCATGCCCGATATGCCGCCCGACATGATGCAGGGCATGCTGACGGGGATGATGGCGCAGGGGATGGATCCCGCCTCCATGGACCCGATGACCTTCATGCAGCAAGCGCAGGCGATGATGGGCGGCCAGGGCGGCGGCGGCGGCGGACAGCCCGGACAGCCCGGATTCGGGGGACCAGGTGGTGGACAACCCCAAATGGGATTCGGAGGGGGTGGTGGTGGTTATGGGGGAGGACGGGGACGGGGGAGACGGTGGTAAACGGGATGAACGAGTTGTTGTTGTTAAAGGGGGGGTTTCTTATTTGGTCGTAACTTCTATAATGCCTATGGTACGAGCTTCGGGAAGGGACTGATATCATGGAGTTCAAAATGACATTCGATTGATTGTTTGGGTCACTGCTGCGATGTGGGTGAGTGATGTCAGCTCGGAGAGACGGAGCTGGGGCGATCTTCAATGAGCTGTGGAGGGCCATCAATTGGCATTGACCCCTGGGATTGAACCACCGTAGCTTTCACCAGCAGCAGCAACATTCTAAGTCTGAAGATATGCCAGTGAAAATGGAAGTGTAGGGCAGTGTAGATGGTAGAAGTGTAGATGCAAGAGAGATTGATACCCTCGGCCGGAGCAGCCGGTCTTGGCATTCTGGAAATTTCTCCGGTCTTTCCCCAGCTCTTCTTTCTCTTCCGCCTTTTCTTCCTCTTTCTTTCTCTCCACTTCAACTTCATTCCTCCCATCACCTATCCACTCTTCCTCACTCTCGACAGTTCTTGAGCTTAGTCCTCAGCTAATCACTCTCATCCTTCAAAATGGTATGTCTTTGTGCTCACCAGGCGCATTGGAGCTTCCATTGGACTTTTTTTTTTTTCGCGCTCTCCCAGGAGCTTCCATCCCAGTCTCGCGCTTTGCGATGACACAAACCATTCCCAATCAGAGTCATATCGCTGACATATTCTTCCAATCTATCTAGTCTTTCCTCCGTAACGTCAAGAACCTCGCTCCCCTTCTGGACCGCGTCCTGGTCCAGCGCGTCAAGCCCGAGACCAAGACCGCCTCCGGCATCTTCCTGCCCGAGAGCAGCGTCAAGGAGCAGAACGAGGCCAAGGTCCTCGCCGTTGGCCCCGGTGCCATCAAGGCTGATGGTCAGCGTCTGCCCATGGGTGTTGCCGTTGGTGATCTCGTCCTGATTCCTCAGGTATGTTTTTGTGCCTTTCTTTTCTCTCTGGGATAGCCTCATTTGGCTACCCGACGCATCGGGGAATGAAATCGCTAATAGGATTTGCAGTTCGGTGGCAGCTCCATCAAGGTCGGCGAGGAGGAGTACACTCTCTTCCGTGACTCTGAGTATGTTTTCTCTTTTTCTATAATTTGTTTTGGTCGTATCTCAATTGCTAACACCGTCTAGGATCCTGGCCAAGCTCAGGGAATAAATGATATTCCGTTAGCTCGTATGATATTCTGCCTTCGCTCCACCAGGCCTGAACTATCGCCGCCTCGAAGACCTGTATAATACCATGCAAATCGTGACACTCAGTCTCATCCCCCCCCCACCACAACAATACAAAAAAACCACAAAACGCATAAAAAACAAATCCACCGGAGGGATTCGTGATGAATTGTTTGGACTATCGTCGACATTCGCGCGTCTCTCTCCTTGGTTTAATGTTTGCTTTCCTCGCATCTGTGTCTACATAAAGCGTGAAACGATCTGTGATTCTCTTTTGCATATTCCTTGATGTATTTTTACTCCGAGCTTCTACCGCATCACCTTCTGTGTGATGGAGGCAGTAATTGGATATGATAATCTCCCCTCTGAAGACCGCCTAGAACTGTTTGACGGGATTATTAACCACGAGTCGTGGGATGATAATATTGGTGTACATTTCGTATCTCACGTCTGATCATCCCCGAAATTCAACGCCCAGTCGCACTGCCAGTCCTTCTCGAGTATCCCCTCCATCCGATGAAAGACCCTCTCGCCTATCAATTCACGTAAGACCCGTCTGTTTGGCTCTGACCACATCCCCCATAACCCCCATAACCCCGAGAGCTCGCCTCCCCCATCAGTACCAGAATCCGCCTTCAACGCACCCAACAAAGCCCTCGCTGCATAAGGATTCAACCCAACGCGACGTAGAAAAACCTCCCAACACGTCTCTTCCACGCTGTCCAGACCCTGATTGCCCTCTGGGAGCGCAATGGCGTGTTTCTTGGCCAGAGCCAGTACCCACCGTGCGGCGGTTTCCGCCCCCGATGGGAGAATCAACGGCTGCACCGTGACGTGCGGTGCTAGGGATGCGCAAAATGCTGCTAGGGACGTCAGGTTGGATAGTATTTGCTCGTCGGCTGTCCATGGCTGGTGGTTGTGGTTGGGGTTTGTATTTTGTGCGGGTGGGGGTGTGGTGTGGGTGATGAGGACGTAGATCTGTTCGTAGCGCGGTGCGAGGAGGAAGATTTGTTCGCGGAGTGGGGAGTTGATGGTTTCTTTGATGCCGTTGTTGTTGTTGTTGCTACTGCTGGTGATGTGAAGGTGTAGTCTGTGGCCTGGGAGGTATCGTTGGGTGGTTGCTTGCGAGGTGGTGAGGATTATGCTGGTTGAAGGAGAAATGATGATGTCTGCTTCTTTTGGGGGGATGGATTGGTTTGTCTGAGTGGGTGCGGGCTTGGATGTCTGCTGGGAGCTGTTATCGTAGTCCCTATAGATGATGACGGGGCGTTCTTCTGCCCTTTCAAGGCTTTGAACTAGTCGAAGGTGGCTCTTGAGGAGTGCTGTCGAGAGAAAGAGGATGGGTGGTGTATGATGGGGGCTGCTATATTGTGGAACTTGTGCTGTGAGTTGACTCGAGATGGTAATGGGGTGATCGTTGGATGGTTTTTGTGGAACAGGCCAGCTCTTGGGAACAATGTCCGCCTGGACGTGTGAGTCTGCGTGGGACTTACTTGAGAAGTATGCGCTTTTCGCTATGTGTCTCTTAGCCCGGCTCCTGGTTTCCATGAACGTGGACAGTGAGCCCAGGGTTGTAAATGGAGATGTAGTAGGTCTTTGAGTAGACAGAGCACGTTCGCGATGCAGGTTAGGTCTCTTTACGCGGTTGCCTTGGATGCTGCGTCTTCGTTTTAACTGTGACGGTCCACTATGTCCTGCTGTTGTGCCTGTTGTATTTGGGGTCTGGCTCGGGCTCGCCTCTCGCTGAGGTTCTGAGATCGGATTTAGAGTGACATTCGGGTTATTTACAGGCTGTATTGAATATACGACGTCATGCTGCCCGTTGTTGTTGGCCATGGTGTTTACTTCTTGTGACCCAGGGTATGGAGCGTTATTATGAGAAACGAGGTTGATCACCATAGCCTGGGAATGGTCTTGGCTTCCAATGGCTTGGAATTTGTGACCGTCTTGTCCGTCATCTTCGTCATCCGATGGACGGGACAGAGAAAGATTGACTGCCACCGCAAGCTTCACAGAGGGACTTTCTTCGCAGTGGTCCGCTGGACTATCCTCATCAGCATAGTGGTTTTGCGAATTATCCGGTATTGGACCAGCTGAGCCACTCGGTGGTGGCTGCGGACTTTCTACCTTGGTCTCCGTCTGAGGACCCTTAGATACAGAGCTGTCTGCCTTCTCAGGTATAGGGCTGAAGGACTTTTGAGGCCCTGGCGATAGATCTCTTGTATGAAAATCATTTGCTGTGGATATGACGAGGGGAGTGTATATTGGTTTCGCGGGCTCTCCCTGTCATTTAGCAGTCGTTTAGTATAGTATCGTAAGGGCCCATGGTGTCCAGCAGCTTACCTCGACCTTCACAGTATCCCATAGCTCATGTAGATCCTGGGGAGAAAAGCCTGTCGAGCCCGTAATCTTTTGAATCAGTCTAAGTGACTCCTTGGAACAGTGAAGCTTTTCGCTTTTGACTTTTGTCATCACTTTCTCTACGCTGTCTCGTAGGCCGTCAGGGAGATCGGCTTCACCAAGTCTACAGACATATTCGCTTGCCAGGTCCAATTCACGCTCATGACTTGGTACTGGTCGCTTAGGACGGGCCAGCGTTTCCGTGTCCGCACTACTGAGAAGCGGCCTCTCTAGTTTGAGGTTGTCGTTCGTGGTGAATGCGGATAGGTAGTCTTCCCAGTCGACCTCCAAGGTTTTTGTATCTGTGTCTCGGATGGCAAATGAAAGTAGCCGTGCGCTGTCTTTTTGTACACTGAGTTTCTCGTCGCGTATCATCTGGCTGACAGATGCTTGCGCTTCAAGGATGTCTTGTGTGAGTCGAGAGAGAGTCTCTGGTTGTGGGAAGGAACCTTTTTGGAGAGATTTCGTGCGCTTCATCGAGACGGTGTGAAAGGGGGGGTGGTTCGTGGAATGCTAGTGGCATAAAACCGGGCGTAGCCTAATGGATATTTTGATTGGAGCTCTCCATTGGGATGTAGCCAGATGAGATGTCGTAGGAGTGAGAGATGGGGAGGTTAAGATCGCATCTCTCCGCCTGGACCACCTGCACGTGTTCTGCTTATGGCTCCTTCATACAGGGGCAATTTTGTACGGACCAAACTATACTATTATTTATTCTGTTTTGTATGTTTCAACAGACCTTGACTGTAAAAGGTTCATAAAAGACTTCGTTAATAGTCGTATCGCCATGACTGTATTTCCAGATATACAGAGACACCAGTGTCTTATAACACACTCGGACAACACATTCTCTCGAACATCCAATCTCATCCCACCTAGTCATTATAGTTTGATTGACGAGAGCCGTCCTTGTTGACGCTCGGTAGGTTATACCGCGCAATGTGCTCTTCTTCTTGCGAGGTGCCGTCTTCCTTTAAAACAGGACGTTCCGCATGACAGGCGACTCGAACGGCGTGACGACGATGTGGAGCGAATCCATACGAAGCAGAATGTGTCTTTATCATTGTGATTAGTTGTTTATTCCTGCACCTAGGAATGACGAAGGCAATAGATAGATGGTGGCTTACCGTAGTTCGATTATCCCAGATCGCTACATCGCCCTTCCCCCACTGAAAGCGGGCATGCAGCTCTTGTGTCGTGGCGACTACCTCAGTCAGGTATCTCATGATAGCATCACTTTCAGTCTTGGGAATCCCGATAATCTTGGTCACGAAGCCTGGGTTGAAGAAGAGGCTGTTCCAGCCGGTGACCGGGTTAGTTCGAATGAGAGGATGCTCTGTGGTGACGGGTTCGCGACGGACGGTGCGGCCAATGGCGCGCGAGTCCGACGCTTGCATCTCAGCAGAATGAAGCGCTGTCAGCCCCTTCAGGTAGGTTTGCATGTGGGAGGAGAGGGCGTCGTAGGCTGCATATTGTGACGCCCAGAGTGTGTCACCTCCTCCCCCACGCGGTGGGCCCGTCAGGAGTTGCAGTGATGTGTAGGATGGTGGTTGTATTTCGTATGTCACCTGTGGGAGATTGATTAGACTGGTGAAGTGGTGCTGGGTGATAGATGGCTGAATCACTCACGTCTGAGTGCCACAGGAAGCTGGGAGTGAACATGGCTCTCTGGTCACCGGAGTTGTCACCAGTGAATACTACGTGCACGTCTTCGAGTCCGCCCTTTTGCGGCACTGCTGTGGTGGCATGCTGCGTCTTGTTAGACAATTTCCTCTACTAGGAATGTCTAGTTGAGTCCGACGTACCTTGTGTAGTTTGCCCATATGCTTTCCCAGCTCCCGTTGCGCTTCGATATCAAAGTCACCTTGATCTCGAAAGAAAACCACCCCGCGAACAGCCACCAACCGAGCCAGATCATTCTTTTGGGCTTCAGTCAGCGTCGCTAGGTTGACGCCATGGACCTCTGTTCCGATTTTGGGGTTGTAGTCAAAGATATCGGTGGCGTCCTGGAGAAGATTGCGGAATTGGGGGTCTCCGGAGATGCCTTTGTCTACATAACTGGTTTCCTTCAAAGGTTCCCAATGTAAATCTGGAAATGAGGGCAGGAAGTCATCATAGGCATAATTATAGTGACGCTCGACAGCAGTGCGGCCTGGCTCGTACTGGAATTTGTTGCCATTGGAGCTGTCGTTCTTTAGAATGACCCGGGCCACTGAGTCGGCCTGAGTGAGAACCGGGGCCTCGAGGGAGGGTGCCATGGTTGATCCAGTCAATTGAATGGAATAAGATAGTATACAGGTGATTATGTAGAATGCAATGAGTTGGATTTGGACGAATGACTTCGGAGACAATGGGCCATTGTTCCCTGGGATGTCTCATACTTTATATCCACACAGACCGTACAATGCGTTTCAGAGTAGTGCTAGTCATATCCGTAGACCATTGTGATTGCCAAGTCGACATAATAGCCTACAGCCAACTCGGAAGTCCACGGAGATGGCACCATCGCTGAGGCAAATCACCCAAGCTGGAGTGATATGTCATGCTGAAAACGGAGTAAGACCCGCGGGTGAGAACTGGATGAAATCACGTCATCTCAGAAAGGATTGAAAATGGCTCAGCTCGAGCTGGGGTTAAGGTTAATTAGCTCCTCGAGAATCGTTGATGGTCTAATCTTGTTTAAATTGCTAGGACTGAGGGTGGTAGAGAACGGTAAACCGGCAGTGTAGATACTTATGCAGGTCCGATACCAGCGACTGTCCATGATCTACATATATGGGGTCTGGAAAAAGCAAAAAGATGAAGACAGACAACCTTCAATGATCCGGCCGATCAAGGTAGGATTGCGGGTCGATCCGAGCCAAGATTGACCAGGGTTGAACTGGGGTCGAATGGATTAGATGAGATGAGGTGCGATCACGCAATGGACGACTGGCCGTATACTGATGCAACATTTTACTTCGAAGATCCTCCTAGTTCTACTTGAATAATTATCGTGAGTATCATCTAAGGAGCAAACTAGAGATAATGGAAAAAAAAAAAAGAAATCCAGGTTCATTAGAAGAATGCAAAACGCCAGACCCAATCATGCTAAACGACATAAGGGTAAATGTACAGTAACAAACACCAGGCATTCCATCATGCCAATTCTCCGTACTTTTATGTCCCGATCTATGCCGGAAGTCGACTGTCGCCGATCGGGGGCCCTAGAACAACCTCCTGCACCTGCTCCGAAACCCCTCCCAACCGGGAGGCAACGCCCAGGATGCCCATCTCTACATCTTGCAGGACCACAGCCAGATCGTTCAGCATAGACTTCGGGGTGCCAGCCGCCGTGCCGTCGCGGCTGCGTGATGAGACGAACTCGAGGATCTGTCGTTCGAGGGTCGACTCCACCCCGTGCAGGTGGTTTTCGATCTCCTTCAGAGTCCGCGTGTACCGGTCCAGGACCGAGCCCATCTCATCCGTGCGCTGGGAGAAGTAATCCACCAGATTGACGGGGACCCCGTTGATGGTGTTCGCCGTCGAGGGGTCGCTCTCGACGTCGTCGGGCAGCGCCAGGGTATTCTTCCGCGTCGACCGCATAGACTGTTGCGTGGCCAGTTTCTGGTCCTGCGCGGACCACCACCCGGAGGCGCCGGAGGATTGGTACTGCAGGGGCAGTTTCAAGGTATCGATGGCGCGGAATGCGACCTGGGCTTCCGCAGCGTCTCGCGAGACGAGACTGCGCAGCTGATCGATGTCGCTGGCGTCGTTCTCCAGCGCGTGCTGCATCGTCTCCAGCTTGCTCTGGACAAAATCCACGTCGTTGGGGATCGACTCCCCTTGTTCCGCAATGGAAGGGAGCATGTTGGAGACTTCATTGCACATCCGCATTTGAAGCAAAACAATATCGTCGAATTTTTCTACCTCCGACCGGATCTCATCGGCGCAACTTTCGAATTTGGTGGTGGGGAGCAGGTTGGTGACATCGACCTTGACTCCGGGGACGACGGTCGGTCCGGCGGCAGGTTGTTGTTGTGTCGGCTGTTGTGTGGTGGTGTTCTGGTTTCCGAAGAGAGAGAGGGTGGGCTTTTGAGCCTGCTGCTGTTGCTGCTGGGGCTGTTGCTGCTGCGTATTTCCACTAAGGGAGCAAAGATTAGACCGATATTGTTTTCCCGCACAATGCAATAAGATGATCGTCACTCACAAGAGTCCTCCGCCAGTAGTCGTAGATCCACCGAGGCCGCCAAACAGTGGCTTGGACTGTGTCTGGGTCGCGGTGTTACCGCCGCCAAAAAGTCCACCACCCGTCGTCCCTGTCGACGCGGTATTATTCCCTGCGCCTGCGGTACCCCCGAAGAGACCTCCGGCCTGAGGTTGTGAGGTGGTTGTGGTCGTCGAACCTCCGAATAGACCTCCACCGGCAGGCTTCTGCTGCTGCCCACCCAGCCCGGAGAACATGTTGGACCCCGTAGACTGAGGCTGCTGCTGTGTATTACCGGCGCCCCCGAAAAGACCGCCCGCTGGTTTCGCCTGGGTGTTCGAGTTTCCGAAGAGACTTGGTGCGCCTGTGGTTCCCGATGCGGCTGTCGAAGCAGGAGTCTGTGTATTGGTCCCACCACTAATCACAATCACAAAAGATACGGTCAGATTGTGTTGCAAAATTATGCAGTAACAATCTGCAGCAAGGGGGAACTTACAACAGGGAGTTGGCGGAGTTGGTATTAATCGCCAACCCCGAAGGCTTTGCGGAAAACATGACGAGGAATGCGAGGGATGAGAGACCGGACAGGAATGGAGGGAATTATCACAGCACTCTTCCAAGACACCCTAATTTTACTTTCTAGGGGCAATGTGCAAAAGTGAGAAGCAACAAATTAAAGCGTGAAATCCCCGTGTCAACATGCAAACATCCTCATCATCAACACCAAATCCACAGCGGAGATGAAGTTGTTTCCCTGTTGCTTGTCGACACTAGTCCTCAATGGGGCATGTTTCTCCGCCTCCGAGATGCCCTCGCGTTAAACGCGCTAACCAGCGCTAACCGGCAAAACCCTAAGTCAGGTGACCAGACGGCGGATATACAACTGGAACCTTTTTTGAACCTCATCTGTATCAGAAATCTGCCTTGATTTTCCTGCCCCGTGTAATTTGCTTGTTATTTACTCGAATGGGGGAGCTGTGACTTCTACAGGTGAAGCTAGCGCTTGGCGACGATTGCATAAGCGATTGAGCTTGGTTCCAGGGTGTTAATGTGATCTCAGCAAACTGTGTAGTCAAGGGCTGTTCATTCATAGTTCTTTCCCGCATTCCCCTCCTTTCCATTGAGGCCTGAAAAATTACCATTCTCTTCCCACTCTCTGTATCTCCACACCTCACTGAGCTCTTGTGGACTTCCCCCATTGAGGCTTCTGCACCCCTGGACCTGTGAAGCCGTGTATCCTTTCGCGGTAATACTAGTCATTTACTACTTCTCACTGCAAGGATCACGTCAGAGATCTTGGGAGAATCTCTCACTTTCCCAGCTCAGGTTGAAGGTGGATCTTCACGATTCGACCTTGACTTGTCCCTTGCGAAAAATCATCTCGAGGGACTGGGAGAAGCCATGACTGAGGACCAGCTGTCCAACCCTGTTCCCATCTGTGTGGCCTCAACGGGAAGTGACCATACAGGACGAAGGGAGAGCAAGGAGTTTCGGTCACCCAGTCAAGGCCCACAGGAGCTACCAAAGCCCGTGGGCAAGGTGAATGAAAGTCAACCTGCCCTAAACTACGTCAAGGACGTGTCGTGGTAAGTTAACATTACTGTCTTGGGAGTTTCAGCTTCAGCTTCCTGTACGATCATCAGTTAGCTAAGACTCTCATCAACTAGGTCTCCAGATGGCACATGCCTGTTGACGGACTCTGCAGACCATCATATCAGGACATACATACTGTAAGCACCATATCCCTGTCCTGGTCCTTCGCAACTGACAGCGTCGGTATAGACCCCCAGATCTCTTGGAGAATAGATCATCGCCTCATGAGCTGTCTCCGTACTCAGTGGTTCCCTCAGCGGAGCCAACCTATGCCACGGCGATGTATCCTTATTTCTCCCTCCAGGAGCCGTCCACGACATTGTTTCTCTCGTCGGTGCGGGATCACCCTATCCGTCTCACGTCGGCCCTAGTGCCAACGACAGTGGCTTCGTATTCCTTGGTCAACCCGACCACGGAGGCTTTCATCACTCCCCACTCTATTGAGTATCCGTCGACGCTGAGCGGGACGCAGTTCATCACCGGGTCCGACAGTCTGATCTGTCTGTTTGATGTGTCTCGTCCTGGCAACGATGGGCCGATTTCCTGGATGCCGACTATCCCCAGTAAGCGGAAGAAAGCTGTTGGGGGAGGTGTTGGAATGAAAGGAATCGTGTCCGCTCTGGCGGTCAACCCAACCGGAGGTGGTGTCCTCGCCGCGGGCACCTTCTCCCGGCACATTGGGCTCTATGATTCGAACGGGTCGGGTCAGTCCCTGGGCACTTTTAGCATTGCAAAGACCGAGGCCGATTCCCACATCGGCGGCCGCGGAGTCACGCAGTTGCTGTGGAGTCCTTGTGGTCGGTATCTGTATATTGCCGAGCGGAAGAGCGACGGGGTCTTGATATACGACATCCGAGTCACAGGGCAGATGCTAGGATGGCTGGAAGGCCGTCGGACCCTTACGAACCAACGCATGAAGATGGACATCGTGTCCACTCACCAGGGAGAGTCGCATGAAGTCTGGGCCGGAGGGACGGACGGATATATGAGAGTGTGGCGGGATCCCACCCGTACCGCTGGCGCTCAGAAGCCTCAATGGGCGTGGCAGGTTCACGACGGTCAGTATCATCCTTTTGATCTAGGGCTAACAATAGTATTCTATGCTAACTTTGGACCAGACGCCGTCAGTAGCACCGTTTTGCATCCGATGGGGACGGTTGCCGCTACGGGATCGGGGCAACGGCACACTGATTTTGATGACGACAAGCCAATGGGAAATGATAATACCGTCAAGGTGTGGTCTACGCCATTCCTTGATGGCGGTGTTAATCATGATTGAGGTATCATATACTCCATGCATCTATCCCAGTTGCCACATGCCCGATCTGCACGGCCCGTCCCGTTATCTCCGAGCCCCAATCGGGAGTATGAGTTTACAAGGTTTCTTTCCACCAAAAGCCCAATCCAAGGACTCCGAATCACTGAGCATTCTGTTCAGGTTGGCTTACGCAAGATGGGAACTCTGACGACATTCCCCCCAGCCGCCCCCTCCATGCAGGCCGACCTGGTGGCCGGGCATCTCAATTGTCCACGCGTCGACCGCTATTGATTGGCCAAACAACAATATAGTGTGGTGATTGCCATTTGGACTGTACTACTCTGGGCTGTCACCATGATACTCTCTGTCATGGGAGACCTGGGCCTGCCGATATCTTTATCGGGATACCGATGACCGGTCCAATTGCCTGATTGGGGAACTCTGTGATTGGCACAGGGGCCAGTGAATGCAAGTTGGCTCGGGCCGGGGCCTTGATTTGGGGCTCTTCTGCCCCGGGGGCCTATTGGAACCATGGAACCATTGAAGCAAACAATGTGAATCGAACTATGACTTTCCTATTTAGGCGACACCCAACTTTGCGGCAGTTTTGTTGGTCAAGTCACTAATAGGCTCGAAGTGTCTATCTATGACCATGAAATACACCTAATTCCTTCACATACAACGACATGGCAAGATCAAAAGCTACCAAGCTCGCGAACTCATGGACCTACATGTTCTGGGCTTCACACCACACTTCATTCAGAGAGACCATGTGTTCCATGGTATAAATACCACTTCGAACTGTGACTCTCTCATCATCTCTTTCTCTTCTCTACATCTCTCTCTATTCCACTCACTCACATACTCCATTTTCCAGGGTCATTTCCTCATCATTGTGCATTCTCCACATCCCCTCCACACTTGTTCCATTATCAAAAGGCATCATTGTGCATCCTCCACATCCACTCCACTTGTTCCACTATTGAAAGGCATCACTTTCCATCTCACAAACAGACCTTTGTCATATCTTTATCTGCACTAAAGCTCAAAACCCATTTTCAAGTCCAAGTTCCCGGGGTTAATAGTCAAGATGGCTTCATCCGGTGACGACATGAGCGAGCTTGACCAGTTTGGACTTTACCAACTGGCTGAGCAAGAGATAGATAAGGAACTATCTCCCGATACTTGGGGACCTGGCAGCTCGTTCAATGCAGATTTGTGAGTTTCCACCATACCCTGTTGTCTTGTGAGCTAGAAACTAATAAGAGTATAGCGACTGGGCTGGTCTGCAGAATCTCCTCCCTCCCGACCTCCCGCCTGAGAACCTGTTCCAGAATTACTTTGATGAGTTCGAGGCGGCTCCCACCGTTGAGGACGCTTTGGCTGTGCCGTTTCCCGGCCAGATGATGTCTGGGTCGCAGGACATCCCGGGTGTGCAGATTCCTTCGCAGTATCCTCCGCAGGCAGTTCAGCAGTTTCCTCAGCAGGGTGTTCAACAAGGTGTTCAGCAGCATCATCAGTACTATCCCCAACAGACTGCTCAGCAGTATCCGCAGCAGTACCCCCAGCAGTACCCCCATCAATACCATCAACAGTACCATCAGCAGTACCATCAGCAGTACCCCCGGCAGCACCCTCAGCAGCACCCTCAGCAGGCTCAGCAACCAAATCCTCGTCTAGATCATCAACGCGTCCCTTCTCGAAGTTACAATTACGCCTCTACTCCCATCCACTCCAATATTCCACCCAACCCACACATGGGAGCGAACGACCAGGCGGTTTCTGCTCATAATCTCCCACAGAACAACCTGGACCAAAATTCTCCTTCATCTCAAAACAATGTGATGGTCAACGCTCAAGCGTCGCAGGGCGGCGTGGATGCACACAATCAAATCACACCACGGTCTCAAACGTCCACTAACGACCAGCCGGGGTCTACGATGCATGCGACGCCTCACAATGCAGAAGAAAACGCAGTCGTGTGAGTGTCCCTTTTCTTCCCTTTCTAAAGTCCATCCTTATTAACTTGTCGTCTAGGAATATCACCCCCCATAGCGAGGATACTCAGGTCACCGCAGTAGCTGCGAATGATATGAGATGCAGCCGTACCGGTGAATTCCCCCAACCACGACAGACGGACGACGTCTTCTCCCAAAAAACGCAGTCACCGGTCGCCCAGTATGAAGTCCATGACGACCACTCGGACAGACGCCTGGCGTTCCACCCTCCAGTGCCAGCGGTGGGTCGCCCTGCAATGGGTTCCATGAAAACGGAGGGCGGACTCGTAGTCGGCCCTTGTCAGATTCCGAACTTCGTGCCTGACATCGAAGAGCTGTTGGACCCGGAAAATTCGGGGGCGGATACCCAGACCATTTACCAAAATTCCAGGGAGGCTCTTGAGGCAATGTGCGTCGTACACCCCGAGCTTCAAACCCTGCGCGATCGCACGATCCCGACCACCGATCAGCAGAAGCGCGCGATTGTGAAGGCCCTGCTCAACGCGATGAAGAGCCTCGTGTATGCAGAAGACAGCCAGGCCATGAAAAGGCCATTTGTACAGGGCAAGTACTCTGATGCTCGGCTCGAGGCGGCATGCTGGACTTTGTTGGTAAGTTCCAAACACCCTTTCACCACCCTGCCACCGTGGCCATGACCTCTCTCTAACATAACGCTAGGATCTTACTCTGCTCCGTCATCGACAGGGACCGCTGCTTGGGGGAGTGTCCGATAAGTACCGAGGCGGCGAGGCGATCGGAACGTTTGGCCAAAGGATCTCATTGATCATGACTGGTCTGGAAGTCAACAAGACCATCGTCAAGCATGTCCTGGATCCCAACTACACCGCTTCCTTGGTCGATGATCCAGTGGGATCCATGAAACGCATTGTGTCCAACAAACAACTCAACCGCCGCAAGGGCGAGTATATGACCCTCGGGAAGGAGCTGCTTCAGAACGAGCAGGCGAACAGCCATAACAAGAACAACCGAAGGGGAACCCAGAGTATCCCAATTAGAACGACTCCTACCCCCATTCAGGCGTCGCCTGCCCCGATTCAAACGTCCGGCGTCATGACCAGAAGCCAATCTCGTCGTATTGGCTCACAACGCGGTCAAATATCATCGCGCGCGCCTAACGTGGCAACGCACGCTCCTACCGTGCACCGCTATCCTGCAGACTACCCCATGACTCCTACTAGGCAGGCACCAACTGAGGCCCAGGCGATTCCAAGTGGTGGCTACAGGACGCGCGCCCAGCATGCCGCCTACCATCCTCTGGGTGGCTTGCCAGTGAACACTCAACCAGCGCCTCATGCTCGTGTTCCAATGGTCCAGAACAATTCGATCAACGGCAATGGCGACATGGGGAGCCAGGAAACGAGGTCTCCGAGTCCGCTCTTTGTCGGGCCTGTTGGTTATGGCTGCGCGACCGCCGTGGCCTCGCTGTCTGCTCATACTCATAGCCGTACTCCCAGCACCCCCCACAGCGTTCGTGGTCATAAACGCCAGGCCTCTGATGCGGGCTTTGGCAGCGGTTCCAGCTCCGACAAGAGAAGGGGCTAGGATGACATTGACTGGCTGTTGGTTGGTATCTATGATCGACATTATGCCATGTGGTCTGGATCCTACAAGTGTCTTTTTTCCTTTGATATCAATATGTTTCTTTCTTTGTTTTGTTTTTCATGTCTTCTATTGTTACCCTTTCACTGCTGTGGCAGTTTGGCAAGGAAAGTCAGGGTGTAGCTCCTTTGAGCCCCCACTGGTTGGTGCGTTGTCCCACCATTGTTGAATCAGTGCGACACTCTTGATATGTGTTTCCTTTGCCTTTGGACTTTTCACAGGCTGTCTCAATGACAAGTTCCGATGAAGATTTGTGTAGCTCTCTTGAGCCTCACTGTTTGGTGCGCTGTTCCACCATCGTTGAATCAGTGCGACACTCTCGATATGTGTTTCCGTTGTCTTTGGTCTTTTCACACGCTGTCTCGATGACAAGCCCCGATGGAGTTTGGTGTAGCTCGTTCGAGCCCCCACTGGATGAATGGTACGGATCCTTGGTTGCCTTTGAAGTGCGAATTGTCTTGTTATGCAACAACGATACCCCCAGTGCGACACTTGTACTTCTCTAATTTCTTTTCTTTCATGTACTTCTATCTGTTTTTCTTTCTTCCCCACAAATTTGGCGGGTTGGTCGAGGAAACCAGTGTAGCTCTTTCGAGCCCCCGCCGGGACATTATGAGTGTTTCGATTTGGAGGTCTTTGCTTTCAGAAACTGGTTCCATGTCCTTGGTGCGACACGAGGTCTTTTGGCCCTTTTTTCACCCTTGAATGTGGCGGATTGAATGTTGGGGAAGGGTCGCGATGTAACTAGTAAGCTTATGGCAGGATTTGGGAATAGTAAATAATGAACTGTCAGACCCTCATCGAAGGGCACTGAATAGCGTGCAGATGTGTCGCGTAGTATCCTCATGGATGACTTCTATGGTATCGTAGGAAGGATCGGAGACTTCCACGTAACAACAGAACGTAATGTACTCTTTTGGGGTATTTCTTCTTCATTGACATAAATTTCTATCATCACAGTCGTGCATGACCCCTCCCTCGTAAAGCCAACCTCTCTATACAGTCACAACAGGCCGCCAGATTATACGGGACAGATGCCATATTTCGCATAAGGAAAGTCCTCCAGGGTGGAAAAGAGATCGCCCCACCCGTCATTCATTTCCCCGAGCTTGCCCGCCCCCCGCGCGTGTAGCCTCCCCGCGATCAACTCATCGGCCTCCTTCTCCGGCGCCGTCTTTTCCTCCTCCTTGTGCTCCCCCGTCAGACCCGCCAGGACTTCGGCCTCCCGACCCTTGTACGACTCCAGCAAACCCGGGTGGGGACACCACACCACGCGCATGCCCGCACGTCGCCCCGCTTCCACACCCGGCACGGCGTCCTCGAACACGAGGCACTCCTCGGGCGTGATCTCGGGCTCGCCGCGCTCTCGCATATTGGTGTTGATAGTCTCCAGCGCCAGCAGATAGATATCCGGGAGCGGTTTCCCGCGGCCCTTACCGATGCGGGGGTCATCGCCTAGCACGCGCTGCGAGGCCGGGATCTGCGAGAACACATCTTGCAGGTGGTCGGTCTTCAGCTGGTAATTTTTGCTGTGGGAGGACGTGGCGAGCGCGATGTGCACGGGGCGGTCGGTGCTCTGTGTCGAGAGGAGCTTGGCGAGAAGCGTTCGCACGCCGGGCAGGGGCTGCGATTCCGGGAAGAACTTGGACTGCAGGGCCGCTGTCTTGGTGGCGTATTCGTCGGGGGTGATAGGGAGTTGCGCCCAGTGGTGGAAGATCCGGCTGGCTTCTGGCTGCGGACGGCCCTGGAGCTGGGCCTTGATGGACCATGGGAGCGTGGGCTTCCCGTATTCCTGGAGGACGGCATTGGTGATCGCGGTGTACTTGTCTTCGGAGTCGATCAACAGGCCGTCCATATCGAAGAGGCATGCCCGCACGCGGGGAAATCTGGGAGGGGTTAGCGGGGGGATGTCCTCGCGGAGATGAGCGTGAGACTTGCTCTTTACTTGGGCCAGCCATTATGACGGTAATAGGGATGAAATGGTATCAATTGCACGATCTGCGTGGGGTGGAGATCAAAAGCCGTGCAGTAGTGGTGGAAATTCGGACATCGCGCGAAATCGCAAGTCCCCGCATCGTCGGATTGGCGGCCTGGCGGCCTGGTGGCCTGGTGGCCTGATAGCCGCCTGATCGTGGATGCTGCCTTATTGTGCCTGAGGCTGATATAATAGAATTAAGGCCACTACAATTCCCTTTCCGGGCTTAGCGGCATTCGACCTCGTCTTTCTTTCTTTGTTTCTTTTCTCTTTTTTTCTCTTCTCTGCCTCCAACTTCTGTGATGACGACGCAGAGATCGGCCCTCCTTCATTTCCCTGTACTCTGCATGTCTCCGAACCAATGGCACTTGGTGGACAGAGGGGCTGGTTACGGACCGACGTCATCTTCCGTGGTACTGTATACTCTTGAAGGCAACACCGAAACGAGGAGAACCGTCCGATGAGCAAGCAAAAAGGAAATAAAACAAGGGTAAATAATTCAACGCTATCGATCGGCGAATAAACACAAAAGGAAAGGGGCAAATCATCGAAACAAAGAATCTGTACAACACTGCAAGGAGACACAAGGTCTGATAACAATCTGACACCTCCATTGCACGCGTCGCAAAGTATCCACACGCCCGAGTATCTAGATCTGCCAGGGGTAATTGGCAATCAGAGGATTTAAAATGGAAACGCAATGGTTGCCAGCTCTTTGTTGAGCTCAAGACCGCACTTGAATCGAACCATCCACCACGATTGCAATCATTGAGAGAGGCGAAGAGGATCCGCGCAATACGAGTAGTTCTGACAGGAGCATTCGGCGCCCGCGGACTCCGCCCAACTCCGCCCTTTCCTCTTCCATTTCAAACTCGTCGACTTTACGTCCCAGTCTGTATAAATATTGTAATATTCGAATGCGGGCCACAGTTTACGGAGTCAATCGCCTCTCTCCCTCTGTGTTGGATATTGTGGACCTCCTGTCACGTGGGGCTGCGAAAAGAGGGCGCTCACTCCTACGTGCCGTCGACACAACAGAGTTTGGATCTCAAACATCGTGCTAATCCATCGGGGACAGTTGTAACATGGCGGGAAAGTTGTCCCGCGTATGGGGCTTGGGAGGGGATGGCTCTGGGGAGCCACCATACTTCCTCCGATTCCGGTCGTCCAAGGCCTTCATTTGCTTCGTGGTGGTGTTTGCCATATTTACGGTACGTCCCAACTATGGTCTCAGGTAATTGGGGGGGCTATGCTAACGCCCATACCGCGATGCCTATAGGATATTCTGCTTTACGGCCTCGTATGTTATTGCTTGGTCCATGCTGGAGAACGGCGGAAATACTGACGTCAGGTGTAGATCGTCCCAGTGACCCCCACCGCGCTTCACGAGCGAGTTGGTTTACCCAAAGAGGACGGTACTGTGCAACTGTGTCTGCATTTTGATGACCACGTTGATATCAGGCTAACTGGGCGGGTAAATGAACAGAACAAACATGGGTGTCAATCTTACTAGCGTTATATGGCGCGGCATTGTTGGCTTTCTCGCGTAAGGTCCCTCTTGTCATGAAGCGATAACCCAGTTTGCTGACCTCTGACAGCCGTGGCGGGATACGTCGCGGATCGGTTTGAATCCCGATGGTGGCCATTGATTGCGGGCTTGGCTGCCCTTGGAGCCTCAACCGCTCTGCTCTGCATCGGCACACATATGGGACTCTGGATCGTCGGTCGGCTCTTCCAAGGAGCCTCAGCGGCTGTGGTTTGGACTGTGGGATGTGCCCTGTTAGTAGATACAGTGGAAAAGGACGAACTCGGACAGGCCTTGGGGTACATCGGTATGGGGATGACCATGGGGCTCATGGGGGGCCCGTTACTCGGCGGCGTCATATACGAGAATGGCGGGTACTACGCGGTGTTTGGCCTTGCGTTTGGTATAGTGGCACTGGACATTGTCCTTCGGATCGTCATGATTGAGAAAAAACACGCCGCCAAATGGACTTGCAGGCCCTCGCACGAGGAGTGGCTGGAGATGCGACCACCTTCGGCCGGAACAGATACCGTCTCCCGTCTTTCACTGTCCAAGGCCCCGCGGGAGCACGTCTCCCGACCGTTCACCGCAGCCACGGCGATGACCGCGGATACCGTCAACTCTGTTGGCGCGCAATCCGCATTCTCCAAGCCGATCCTCGGCGGCGAATCCCACGCCGGGGACACACCAGCGGAACCAGAGCCTCGGAAGAAGCCCGTCTCCGCGATATACACGCTCTTGTCATCGGATCGCATCCTCGTGTGCATCTGGGCGTATTTCATTCTCTCAGTCGTGCTAACATCCCTCGACAGCGTGCTACCGCTATATGTCAGCGAGACTTTCAACTGGGGCCAAACGGGACAAGGACTCATCTTCATCCCGGTGACCATCCCCCACCTCGTCGATCCCATCGTGGGATACATCAACGACAAATACGGCTGGCTCCGCCGCTACATGGCCGCGGGGTTTCTCTTCGCGACGGTGCCCGTCATCGTATTATTCCGGCTCGTCACGCACAACTCCACCGAGCAAAAGGTGCTGCTGTGCGCCTTGCTTGCCCTCCTCGGCCTCTGCATAGCCGTCGTCTTCCCCCTCGTCATGGTCGAAGTCTCCTACGTCGTCCAGGAGAAGGAGGAGCAAACGCCCGACGTCTTCGGGAAAGGCGGCGCCATGGCCCTCGCCTACGGCATCTTGAACTCCGCCTTTGCGGCAGGGACTATCGTCGGCCCGTTCTTCGCCGGATATATCCGCAAAGCGGCCGGGTGGGATACCATGGCATGGGCGTTGTCGGTTCTGTCAGGATCCACGGCCATCCCGGTGCTGCTTTACATGGGGGGGTTTGTGCTGAAACCGGCGAGGTCGGTTAATTAGCATGGGGATTGGATGTGCTGCGGGAGAAAATCTGTTATTGCAGCTAGGGGTTATAGGAAACTATACATGCATGGACATTTGATGTATATAATCTTTGCATACAATAAGCTTGAATCGTCTACCATTGTGACTGGGCAATCTAGATTTGCCGATTGAGTATTTTTAGGTGGTCGGGATGGATGTGTTACGACACTGTCCTTGTGAATGAACCTACACACAGAGAGAAATCACTCGGTGACAAACCTCAGGACGGTCAGTCACATGAGGTGATTTTTCAATGACTACAACCATACTACGACACCATCTTTATCATTGTTTACATCAACCCCACTAATGCTAAGGCTCGACGCAAAGTGCGGAAACGGTTTTATTGTCGTGACTGGTATCAACACGGCCATTTATTTATTGGGGCACACTACCCGACTGTATGCATTCCAACATCACATCCTAGGAGCCCTGTCGAAGGGTCGGAGAGAACCCCGGCTGGCCGGAGGGAAGGGAAAGGAAAACGGAAGAAAAGTGAAAGAAAGTAAAAGGGAGTAAAAAGACGATCTATCCATTAATCCATCACAGGAAGTAATCGGGGGTCCGCCTCGAGACCATCGGTTCTCCCGCCCGAGGACAGGGGTCGAATTGTAAGCTACATGGGGTTAGTGGAATCCACAAACGTGTTGGGAGGAAAATAACATACAATGTATACTTCAGATGCTCGTCAATTTCCATGATTGCGGCCTGGTTTCCGCAACGGTAGCAGTAGTTCGGCGCTGGAGATGGTTAGCCGAGAGGTTCCTTTGGCAGTGGTGGAGATGCGCAGGCATACCGGAGAAAATCGTCACCACGTTCCGATCCTGCGACCAGTTGTACCCCTCCATGACGAGCTGATGCGCACGGGCCACCAGCGTCAGACCATTGTTGTGATTGAACGCCTCCGAGATGTCCTGCCCGAAAGTGTATCCAGCACCACGGGGCGAGATCCCCCAGCCGCATCGATCGTCGGGATCACTCCACAACAGGTCACACATGGGCCCCTCGTGGGGAACCTCCTGGATGCGGTCGAGGGAGCGGATGTTGTCTAGGGTGTCGATGGAGGGACTCAGACCGCCGTGGAGACAGAAGATCTGGTTTTCGATGAGGGCGGTAAGGGGGAGGTAGTCGAACAGATCGGTGAAGTACTTCCAGACATTGGCGTTGCCGTATTTGCGCAGGCATTCATCGTAGAACCCATAGACCTGGGTGATCTGGCGGGACTCGTGGTTCCCACGGAGAATGGTGATCCGCTGGGGGTAACGGATTTTCAGGCACACTAGGAGGGTGACGGTCTCGACGGAGTAGTAGCCACGATCGACATAATCACCTGGGGGGGCCGATTAGCGGACCATCCGGGAGAGAAGAAATGAGAACCAAGGTGTAATACCCATGAAGAGGTAGTTGGTATCGGGATTGGGACCTCCGATGCGGAAGAGTTCCATGAGATCGTGAAATTGGCCGTGAATATCACCGCACACGGTCACGGGACATTTCTGGAGCGGTCAGCCACCATCCATCCATCGCATGCCTCCCTCTCTCAAATCAAGAACAGAGAGAAATAAAGGGAGAGGGATGAAAAAAGATCCCACATACCACCGGCTGCACGTTCGACTCCTCCTGCAATACTTCTCGAGCCTATAAGGGACAACGACGAGGGTTAGAACCGAACCAACCCATCGGAAAACAACCAACGCGAGAACACACCCGATCACACAGTCGTCGCACATCCTCCTCCGCGAGTTGTTTGCAGGTCATCAAGCTCTCGATCCATCCGTCCAGGGTCGGGATCGACCCCGAGTCGGTGGTCGGGGAGAGACGGTGGGGTTCAGGCGACCGTGCCGTATCGATCTCCATATTATTATCCATTGGGACGACCACGACTGGGGGGGTCCAAGGAAAAAAGCGTGTATCCGAGCGAGATTTCCGATAAAGAAAGAGGAGATAGGTGAGGAGAGAAGGCGCAACGGATTCTTTCGAGCTCTATTTTTATTATGATTATTTTTTTCCCCCGGACCGACCGCGGCGTGGGATGAAGGAGAGAGGATTGGCGTGGAAAAGGGAGGAGGAAAAATCAAAAATCCAATCGACACTAGAAAGGACGATGAAGCGATCGGAGGAAAGATTAAAAAAGACGAGATGAAAGAGGGATTGGGGGGAGGGGAGAAGGGGGGTGGTTGTGAAGATGGCGGGGGGGGGAGGAGGAGGAGAGGTGGATAGACCAGAATGGATCAGGATAGGATTCGGATTAGGAGTGGAAAGAGGCCTGAGGACGTGGTGGGGATGACGAGGTTTGCTGTGGCTGGTTTGTTTGGTTTGGGTACGGTTGGGTCTGTGTTTGCCTGGTTTGTCGGGTTTGTTCGTCCTTCTACATTATAGAGGGATATCTTGAAACATTGTTACAATGCAAGACTATCGTGGAAATAAATACAAAGATAGAAGAGAGAAGAAATACAATCATCAGATACTCGTCAAATTACAGTATTCATCATTCCAATTCTCGTCACGTCGTTGCTGCCCGTCCCATCCTCACCCGCATACAAAGTCTAGATGATGTCACCGCCAAACCCTCCCATGCCCCCAAATCCCCCTCCAAATCCCCGGCCGCCACGTCCACCAGATCGTCCCGGTCCACGCCCAAAGGGTGGCCCCCCTGGTCCAACGGGATCGTAGCGTGCTCCAGGGGGTGCCTGCGGATTGTAGCCGCCCTCTCCGCCACCCTGTCCGCCAAACAGCGGATCGTCGAACGTAGGGTGCATCCCACCACTGCCACCACCACCGCCCAATCCGGGTCCGATGCCACCGCGGATCGGATCGTGGGGTCCCAATCCAGGAGGATAGAGATCCCGATCGCCAATGTTCATCGGGTGTCGTCCTCCAAACCCCGGGGCGAATCCGCGCGGCGGCCGCTGGATTTCGAACTCGTCCTCGAACCCGGGCGGCGCAAAGTCTCCCGCGGGGACTGGTCGGCGCGGCGGGATGGCCAACGCGTCGTCGAATGGGTATGGGCGTGCCGGGGCGGGCATCGGGTCATCGCGCAACGGGTCATGGCGGGGCGGTGCCCCGGGCTGTCGCTCGCGCCGCGCCTCGTTGGACGCCTCGTTGGACGCCTCGTAGCCTTCTTTGTACAGCCCGGGCGCCAGTCTCTGGATCACGTTGATTCGGAACAGTCCGATGAGATCGGTGAGACGGGAAGCAGAGATGAACACGTCGCGGAGGGCGCTGGGAGGGGTCGCGGGGGTGGACAGAGGCAGGGAGGACGGAGAAACAAAGTCGTGGACGGGGATATCGAACGAGGTGGTCCGGTCGTCGCCCAGGGCCAGTGCAAACACAACGGCGTTATTTCCGAGTCGGCTCACCTTCAGAAGGTACTGCATGGACGACTGGGAGTGGGCGTAGCGGAAAGCATAGGTCGTCGCAGCATTCCACTGCGCTGGTAAGGTCGGGCTGTCGGGGTTCTCTGCAGCGAGACTGGTCAGCCAAACTCATTCCTCCAAATCGCATATCCCCAACGCACCGAGATTATCGTCTTCTCCCAGTCCCACCAGTCGGAAACCAACAGCCAGCATGCACGCGTGGCCGATGAGTGCTACCGCCTCATACGGACTCTGGAGGGTGTTGGAAGTGCTGTCGTCATCGCCCAGAGCTCTCGTGGCCAGTGCCACGATGTTGTCTGGGCTCAGGGGGTCGGTATTTCCAACCATGTTTGTGTGGAAGAGTATAAGAGTGTGATGGTTTGTTCAATAACCCAAGGGGATGAAGCAGCAATAAAAGTGGCTCTAGGTAGCCAGATGATGATGCGGCTCTAATGTCATACCGCAGCCGGGACTCTTCGATTGGTATGTATGCGTTTAGTCATCACGCATAGCGCACAACAGGGTATATCATAACCACAACCCTGTCTTTCAGCCAGGCATAAAAAGATTTTAAATGGAGAAATCTACCATTGCCGCATAGAACGATACAGAAAGGTATTACTATCATTTTGTAAAGTGGTGTCGATCGAGCATTACTTTGAAATTCTAGCTATCGTGTACATCTAGTAAACTATATATTCCGCTCTACGGCTACCCGTTGTTACAAGACACCCTAAGAGCGCGCAAAACCAAAGAGTGACAGCGCTCCACGAAATCTACAACCTCCTCCAGACCATGCCAAGCGTCGTTGTAGGCAGCACTCAACGTCAGCTGACCCTCCCAGGTTCCCAGAAACAGTCCGAGCCCCGTGCCAAGTTCCTCTCCGGTGACCCAAGGATTCTCCAGCTTGAACGCACCACGTACGGGACGGATGATTCGGTCCACCACTCCCATGCTCGAGACAGAGACAGAGGGAGAGGAGTTGATCTCTGGAACAGGGGGCGTGGTGCCATCGGTCGGATATGGGAGAGTCGCCATGGCCCAATAAGAAGGGACCAGTTGGATGTGTTGCCTGTCATCACGAATCTGCTGGTAGAAGTCCCGTACCTTGTTCGCAACCTCGACAAATTCTGCCCTTTGTTCGTCGTCGTGATCCGTTGTACTATCTCGTGCCGGCACCCTCAGATCGACTGCGAGACCTTTTCCAGATACGGAGTGATAGACGGCGGCTGCATGAGACGGGGTGCTGTACGGAGAAGTGCACTGTGGCCGCTCATTGATCAGACTGTAGTTGATATATCGCACCATTCTCTCCTGATCCCGTCGCCCCTGGAGATCTCGCACAGTGATCGCGGCCGCCGCGTGGTATGCATGCGTTACGCTCCACCCCGCGGCTTTACAAGCCGCCAACAGATGCATCGTTGATTCTTTCGACAGCGTCACGGCAGTTCGTTGGTGTTTTCCTGGCAAAATCTTACCCTCATTGAACGGCATCGTGGCCACCTCGACGCCTTCACGGAGGGATGCTTGGTAAGGCCGGACGGTGTCCAAGAACGCCTGCTGCTCGGGCTTTAGGGTCGATGGGATGGCTGCCGCGATACGAAGCGGTGGGCTCAGGTGGGTCGACTCATCCCCAAACCGAGGGAGTTGATACTGAGACCCTCGCGCGTACGCCTGCTCTGCATGGGCAAAGAGGTTGTCGAAGAGGATCAAGGTTCCCACCCCGTCGATGATATCATGATGGCAGCGCAGGACTAGTTCGCCACGAACTGTGCCCGGGGCTTGAGTGGGCGGTATGATGAGAAACAGCGTAGCCTTTTGTGGGACTGGAGGATCCGAATTGCACCAATCCAAGCCTGACATCCCGGTCGACACGACCTGAAACGTCGAACGCAGCCAATCCTGTTGTGACCCCGGTCCGTCGCAGGTTTCGTAGATCTTCCGGCATGTCTTCAGCTCTTGGCTGAATTCCACCGTGGAGGCGATCGAGGGGTGGTCGTAGCGGAGTCGCAGCCAGGCCTTGCGAAGGGCCTCTGTCACCTCCGCGAGGGGTTCTTGCGATGGGTTCACGTTGGGCACCGCAACCGAAAAAGCGATGTATCCGGTCATGGCAAAGAACACCCGTCCAGTGCCTTCGTAGGCCTTGGCAAGTGAGGTATAGAATTGCTCCGCCTCGTCGACATCACGCTCCCATCGGCCGGGAGACGTGAGAGTCCACGTAAAGTCTGGAGCGGATGAGCCCATGACGATAATAGTACAATGTCGAGAACGCTAAGCAGTCCGAGAAGTCGCAGCTACGACCGGAGAGATGTGGTGCCTCGTTGAAGATCCGTTGGCGAGCGGTTAAATGGTCCGGTCGATGGACACGTCCACCACCGACGAGGGGTTGATTCTGTAAGCAAAGGCATTTCGGCCCGAGTCGTCGGAGAAGTGATAGACAGATTGGGTATCATTGGCGCGTGGGGAAGAAGAAGAAGATATATGAGATCGCCTAATGGATGAAGCTCCGATATGGCAGAACTTCGGGGGATTGACCTGCGGAGACACGCTCTAACCTGATCAGGGTATAAAGACCACTGATCTGACCCGATACGGTAAAATAGCCAACCGCCATGACAATCAGGACCATCTTGGCGCGTCATGATGGATGTGAAGATTCCAGAGACTTCGCAGAGGAGCGGAGAAAAGAAAATGCAATTGGGGACTCTATACGATTTATACCTACAAGCTAGTGGTCATGTTTTACCAGCTGGTTTCGTGGTGGTGGTGGCGTGGATAGATGGCCCATGTATCATAGATGACTCAGCCGTGCATAAGAGGCGGAGCATCGGCCCTTATGATCCGTCCTTTCTTTGGGTTCTCCATGATCCATCAATCTCAACTTGGAGCAACTGCCATTATCTTTCATACTGCCGACTCGATCTGTTCTCACTCTACAGCCTCAGGGCTCTCGCGGGCATGCCACGACTTGGTAAGTAATCTTAGGATTTCCCCTCCGGCTCCGGATTCACGCTCTAACGGAGAAGGTCGTAGGACCTGCATGTCTGACATGTCGAGAAAAATGTCGGAAATGCGACCGAGCTCGTCCCACGTGTCAGCGCTGCATCTCTAAAGGTCTAGTATGTGGAGGCTATCCCGAGCAATTCAGATTCTGTGGAATTGCAAGTCGCGGGAAGTGGAGAGATGCTCGTGCCCCCGTCCGAAACCGAGGTCAAGAGTGCATTGAGCTACCCTCTCCAGAGGCTACTCCGGACGAAGATCCCAGATCGCCTCACGCAGATGGAAGCCAATCTGTGGAGGAGCGCAGGTCTCAGTCAGGACCGGTCGATGAGATTACTGCACTTTTGAATGCCCCTCAGTCAGAGCGATTACTGTCTCACTGTAAGAACGTCTAGACCCCAAACGTGCGCAGGGAAACGTGAAGCGAGGACGCTCATCCTGTGTGCATGCAGACGACTCTTTTATCTGCCCCCACCAGATCGCGGAAATTGGCAGCTCGAGTGACAATCCCTATCGCGCGTATATTCTTCCATTGGCGCAGAAGCAAATCGGACTACTATATGCCGTCTTGGGGCTTTCTGCCTCTCATCTCGGACAGCTGACGAAGGATCCACAGCTTCACCAAGATACGGCAGTGGAATACCGCATGAGGGCAATTCGGGCTCTGGGTGAGGAAATCCGAAAGAGCCAGGAGGAAACCCTGTCGGAGGATGAACAAGACGCGGTTTTCGCCATCATCCAGATCCTGCTACTTCACGACGTATGGCCCACCTTGCCCCTAAGGGAAGCTCAGAGACGGGGAGTTCACACTACTTAGATTTGCGAATCGGGTATCTCCAGCCACGGCATCCACATCACCGGGGCCATGTCCGTCTGTAAGCGGCTACTGATCGCGGAGGGTTTGAATGGCCAACGCAAGCGGGCTGTGTTTTTTCTGGGTAACTTGGCCTGGTAAAAACACCCCCCCCTGAAGATCCCATGCCACGGTTAACCGGCCTTAGGTTGGATGTGATCCGTGCCTTTTCCGGTCCCGAACGACTATGCTTCCCCCAAGAAATCCGTGAAATGGTCGCATGTGCCAGTAGCCTCAACTTTGAAATGGTCAATGGATGCCCTCGCGAGATCTTCCTAATCATCAGCGGAGTGCTGGAAAAAGCCAAGGAGCATAGTATGGGATGGCTGCCATGGGATGAATACCAGGTTGGCTTGCTGTTGGCAAAACATAAGCTGTATTCGTGGGATCCGAAGGGACGACGCTACCCGACCTCGGACCCTCGGTGGATCTACGTTGCGGAAGCCTTTCAGCACGCATGTCTTTTGCGTCTTCTCCGATTGATTGACCATGCAAAACCGGCCCAGAGTGCTGATATACAGGAGTGTGTAGCCAAAGTCCTCGACTCCACGGCCAAGATTCCGCGAGACTCTTCCCTTCTGGAGCTTTTGGTGCTGCCTTTCTTCATGGCGGGAACAGACTGCCTGCCCGCACACTCCCAGTACTATGTCCTATCCCGATTCGCCGAGATTGAAAGACGCTCCGAGTTTTGCAACCCAGTACCGGCACACGTGCTGCGACGAGTATGGGATGCGCGTGCATCGCAGGATGGTAACGACAATGCGAACATTGACTGGACTACTTTTGTAAGTCGCCTGGTCCCGAAGATATTCAACATAACGGTGGACTGAGTTGCGTAGACACACTGGCCCGGTCTCACTCGACAGCATGACTATCTCATCATATAGACCGTGGCATTTGGATAACATGGAAATCATGTCCCCACATTGCATCATCGGATGCAAGGAGGGATCCACCGCGGGGGCGCCTGCTGTCTGAAGTTCCGTATCGGGAAGTATTCCCAGCTCGGGATCCAGGCCCGTCTCGCCGCCTATAAAAAAGATACACATGGCGATTCGACTACTTCACACATTAGTGTTTGACCGACTCACTGCATTGCTTCTTCTGATCCTATATGAGTCACCACTTCGTGCTGTCACCGGAGCATTCATTCCCTTGCTCAAATTACCGAATTCCTCAACGCAGCACCCACCTCGCGAATAACGATGACATCGTCGAAAGAATGGCAGAAGATGGTCAATGGAGAACTCTATGCGGCCTGGGATGACGATCTTCAGGCGAATCGAGATCGCTGTCGAGAGGCCTGCCGACAATTTAACGAAGCCGGTCAGGTCCCGCGACGACGCCGGGTGGAACTATGGAGAGAGTGAGTGGGAATGCATCTGCGACATGCACGGTGTGCTGACTCGGACAGCATCGTCTGCGATACGCGTCCCCTCCCCCCGATTCATTCGGACCCCAAAGAAGACGCAAAGCTCTTTGACGACACGGACCCGGTCGTGGATCCTCCGATCTCCGTCGACCATGGACTCAACTTTAAAGTCGGGAAAGGGAGTTTCCTGAATTTCAACCTGCTGGTCCTGGATACCTGCCTGATCACGGTGGGTGAGCGAGTGCTCTTCGGACCCAATGTGTGTATCTACGGGGCAACCCATCCGATGGATCCGGCGGTGCGTCGGGGTCTCGAGGGCCCCGAGGCCGGAAAGGAAATCCATATCGAAGATGATGTGTGGATCGGCGGCAGCGTGATTATCCTCGCGGGGGTGAGGATCGGTCGGGGGAGTACGGTCGGAGCGGGCTCCGTCGTGACCAAGGTTCGTTGATCGCAGCCCCACTTCGACGGTGTCTACAGTGTCCTGTTACTCACGCGTGATCTACTGATTAGGACGTCCCGCCGTTTCATTTCGTCGCGGGGAATCCAGCACGAATCATCCGGCGGATCGAGACAAGTATGGACCCGGAGCAACAGGGTCCCTGAGATCGAGCAAAACCAGAGGAAAGATATCCAATAGATGTATGGAATGGCGAATAATACACAGCTAGAAGACAACAGCTTAGAGTAACAATGCAACCAAAATAAAAAACAAATGTCCTATTTACAACATGGCCTTGGGGAACTTCTTCATGGCCTGGCGCACACCCAGATCCGCCAAGATTTCTTCCGTGCCGCCAAGGATGGCATCAAACTTGTAGCCGCGGTGGAACATCTCGACGACGCGGCCCATGCCGGACTGGGTGATGCCGCGACCGCCGAAGATGTTGGTCGCCTGCTCGGCGATCTCCTGCGCGGCGCGGGTGGAGTGCGACTTGAGCAGGGCGATGGGGCCGCCCAGGTTGGCGGACTGCTGCGCGTAGCTCATGTTGCACATCTGGTAGGCGATGGACTCCAGCCAGGACTGGTTCGCCTCGCAGAGAGAAATCATGCGGGCAATCCTGTTTGGGTTAGATATCCTTCTTTACTTGTTTTCCATCACATGGATGTGTGTGTGTGTGGATGGGATACATACTTCTGTCGCATCACGGGCTGCTCAATAAGCTTCTTCCCGAAGACCAGGCGCTGGTTGCACCACTTGAGGCACTCCTCGACGATGGTCGTGGACATGCGGATGACACCGCAGGCCATCATGAAACGCTCGTGGTTGAAGTTGCTCATGACGACGATGAAGCCCTTGTGCTCCTCGCCCAACAGGTGGTCGACGGGGACCTTGGCGTTCTCAAACTGCACGAACGCCGTGCCGGCGGCGGTCGAGTAGGACGTCTTGATCTGCTTAGTTTCAACGCAGTCGTCCCGGGGCACCAGGATGACCGAGAAGCCCTTTTCGGTGCGGCAGGCGACCACGAAGTAGTCGGCAAACATGGCGTTGGTGATCCACTTCCTGGGAGGTATTAGCGTGCTGACACGCGCTGCTATGGAGACATGGGAGATACATACTTGGTGCCGTTGATGATGTAGTGCTTTCCATCGGGGGTCTTGGTCGCTGTCGTGCGCAGGCCCGCCACGTCACTACCGGCAAAGGCCTCGGTGACGGCCAGACACATCTTCTTCTTGCCCGACAGGACCTCCTCAGTGACCCGCTCACGAAGAGGGACATTGTTGAGCCACTGGCGCACGGCCGTCAAGCTAATGGCCATACCGGCCATGTTACCATCCATGAAACCTATTGTGCAACAAAACACCACCACGTTAGTCCACACTCCCAGAGTTTTCCGCCGAGAATTCGCAAGGTCACCTACCACGGGCGTTACACCGCACCAACTCCTGCGTCACGATCATATCATGGAAGTAGTCAAACTCCTTCCCGTCGACGGCGCCACCGAGGATCGTCCGGCCGTGCAGATGAGGCCCCGGTCCTAGACGCATGGCCAGGACGTTCGTCTCCGCCATGCGGTCGATCAAGCCCTGGCTGATATAGGTGCCGTCGCGCTCCTTCTCCTGAGCCTCGGGGGTGATATAGCGGTCGGTGAACTCGCGCATGGCTCGCTGCAGGCTACGGTGGCTGTCATTGTAGTAGGGGTTCTTGAACTGCGGACGCAGCCAGAGGGGCTCGGCGTAGGGAACGGCGCTCAGGGACCCGGGCTCGGGGGAAACAATTTCGGGGGTTTCGCCGGTGACGGTGCCGATGCATAGTTGGCTGCTGTACTTGTCGAGGACCTCTTGACGGTGCAGGTTGTAAAAGGCGTCGGTTGCGTCCTGGCCGGCGACCTGGTTGAGGACGACGCTGCCGCCCGGGTGGGCGTCGAGGAAGTCGGTCAGATCATAGACACGGTGGTCGATGATACACCAGACAGAGTCTTCGGTGTTGTGCTTTGCAACCTCGGCGCGCGAGAACGACTTGGCCATGATGATAATCGGAATGGGGAAGGAATGGAGAGGAAGACAGAAAGCGTGTGGGGGAGAAAAGAGTGGGAATAAGTAAGGGGACACCGCACGAAGAGAAAGAAAAAGGACCAAAGAGAATGGGCAGAGAGCGTCTGATTAATGCGGGGAAGGGGTTTCACCAATAACGGCGCCACGATTAATGATCTTGTGCGCTGGGCCGAGGATTTCATGGCGCGCGACCATGGTTACGATGATCTCAGGCTTCAGATGCGACGCTTTTGCCGAGGTTGTTTCTCTCTCTGCACGCCAAGAGGTCTAGACATTGCATTGATTACTCATCGGTTCTTATGCCGAGATCACCATAGGCCGGAGTCCTACGAGATAACCGTGGAGACGAGCGAGATATAGTAATCCTATATTGGTTTTCGGTAATCATTTTTGAACTCTGGCATCGTCTTTGCTCTTCACTCGGTAAGATATTGCAAGAGTTCAAAACAATCATGTCGAACCCCCTTTCTAGAGGTCTCATGTCGCGTCTTTTGGCCACGCCAGGTCTGCGCGTCCCCTGGTGAGCCCTGATCCCACATCACAATATATTCATCGACAAGGGCTGTCATGGAATGCGTACAACAATACACTGTTGTGATAACAGAATGTATCTGTAATATTCTCGGGGACGATTTCACGCATTGATGCATCCGACTCAGGGGAAGTACTCCCTCCACAGCCGACTGCCCAGCCTCGAAGCGCCCATCGTGTACAGATTGCGCTCCATCTTCTGGGCAGCGGTTACGCCAGTAAGCCCGCTCCAATCTTTGCAGAGCTTGACTGAGGACCCGCCAAGACCCCATTCGGCGCGGAGTCCCCGAAACCACCGGTCCATTCAGGGAGTGAACGCGGGGTTGCACCAGCCAAGCCAGTATCTTGGGATGAGCTCGTACGGAGTGTAAAGTCATTCGTCAGTCTTTTCTTCAAGGTCAATAAGATGCAGGATTGGACAATTGATGCTGTCGTGTGGGGTACCAGACAGACACTATAATAAGTCTTGTTTTCTCCTGGCAGTCTGAGCCAACCTTGTTTTAACGTCGGATATCACCTGTTGCTGCAGCCTTCAAAGTGTTTGCCAGTGTCGGAAGGCGACATCTGGGGACGGATCCATGGTCACTTGTCATACCAACGGGAAATTCTGCCCAGATGATCGAATAAGTGGTTCAATCTTGGTAAAATTCGACGTTGGTTGAATTTCCAACGACGATCGCCATCTTATTAAGGCTATGGATGCTGCGCCGGGCTGCGACCCGAAAGGCTTCGGGTGCAGCTCCGACGTAACCACCACTGCTGTATAACCTCGGGTAGGCTTCCTCCCAGCACCTCTACGGATCTCAAGAAGACCGGAATCAATTCCTATCGCTAGTGCTGCCAAGAATGAATATCACTTGGGTTGAGTTCGATCTGATCCAACCACAGCCCGTCCATATTGGACAAGTGTCTAGGCGCAGGCTGGACGTTCCCCACGGGGACCCCAGTTCCACTTGGGACGGAATTTGGGAGAGTAATCTGGGGCCCCCTCATGTCGCGGGGGCTAAACGGAGACGCGCGCCCTGTTAATATGTTGGCGTCGTGTTGCAGCATTTAAGATGGTTGACTTCTTTTCTCCACCCTTTTGTTGATGAAGGACTTTGCCGCCGTCGACTGGAATAAACTGTTGACTGCAATCAACCGTCGCCATCATGAGCAAAGACACGCCAGGGGTTTCGTCCCCCGACATGTCTGACTTAGATAACACCAAAGGAAGCAATTCAGGAGCCTCGTCTCATTTGGAAAAGGCAATTGCGCCTGGACAGCAACAGCTCGAGTCCTGCGAGTTACTGGACCCCAGAAACCCGCGCAACTGGCCCAAATGGAAGAAAAACACCCAGATCCTCATGGTGGCCTTCCATTCCATGGTCGCCACCTTCATGGCTGCCGGTATCATCCCCGCCTACGAGGCGATGGCTGAAGAGTACGGCGTGACAGTGCCAGAAGCGAGCTATCTCACCTCGATCCAGGCATGCCTCCCCTGCCCGCATCATGCAGATTCTGACAACCGCTGACTTATTGAGTTCCCAGATCCTGCTGCTGGGAGTAACGCCTCTGATCTGGAAACCCATCACCTCCATCTACGGCCGATACCATATATTTTTGTTGTCCGTCTTCGGGAGTCTCATCTGCAACATCGGAGGCGCCTGCTGCACCACGTATGGCGGCCAGATGGCAACTCGAGTGCTCACGGGCATCCTCATCTCGCCACCAATTGGCATCGGGAGCGGTGTAATCACAGAGCTCTGTGAGCCTGAGGAGCGCGCGCAGAAGATCGGCTGGTGGACACTGATGCTGACACTTGGCACCCCTGGCGGGCCATTCATCATGGGTTTTGTCACGCACCACATCGGCTACGAGTGGATCTTCTGGATCTTCGTCATCATAAATTTCGTCCAACTGATTGCGTACATCCTCCTGGGAGAGGAGACCGTCTATATCGTCGATGATCATGCGTCTGCGGAATCGACCGAGTCCAACCAGGGCTTCTTTGGCAAGCTCGTCCCGCGACGCAGAGATCCCCGCCCCCTGAAGATGCGCGAATTTATCGAACCCCTGTTCTTCAGCCGGTACTCAAGGGTCTTGATCCCCGCGTGTGCCCACTCCATCGTCTTCTGCTACGGCAACATCGCCCTCATCGTCGAGATGCCCATCGCCTTCGGCGAGGAGTTCCACTTTAACCCGCAGCAGATCGGTCTGCAATTTATTGCCATCATCATCGGCTGTGTGCTGGGTGAACAGTTGAGTGGGCCCGTATCGGACTGGTTCCTCACGACCATGAGCCGCCGCCGCGGGCACGTCCGACCAGCGGATCGGCTCTGGCTGTCCTATATCGGCTTCGGGACGGTCATCGCGGGCCTGTTGACTTGGGGATTCCAGCTAGACAAGGCCACCTCGTGGAATGTGACTCCGTGCGTGGGCGCGGCAATCGCCAGCTTCGGTAATCAGATGATCACCACCATTCTGATATCCTTTGCGATCGACAGCTACAAGGAACATGCCACCAATGTCGGGGTCTGCATCAATGTCTATCGTCACATCTATGGATTTGTATGTTCGAGTAGTTCCTTCCTATACGCGAGTCATGATTGCTGATGTGTTATTAGATTGGTCCGTTTTACTTCCCGCCCATGTTTGAGAGCCTCAAGTTGGCGGGTGCCGCAGGTGTCATGTGTGCGATCATCGGCGTGTGTGCTTTGATTCCGATCATTGCTATCCAATACGTAGCAAGTCGAGCGGACCGGTGAGCTCCACCTAGTGGTAGTTACATATCATATATTGGTTTCCCCATGGGATCATGTATTATGTGGATGGAACATCGCTGGCGGCGTACCTGGGATATTCAAAGTTGAACCGATATACTCAGTGCGGTCATATAGTGAATAACGCTTGATACAGGCGCCACTGTAAGATACAGAGTTTTGAAAGGCTTCGAGCAACTCATGTAAGATTCAGTATCAATATAGATTGCTCGGCACACTGTTCAACCACGACATGTCCTGGAAATCAGGAAGGTCGAACCCGTCCAGTAGAATGGCATTTGTACCCTCCCCCAAAGACAGATCGGTCATGCCATTTGATGCGGCCCCGGATGACTGGGCGTGAAGCGGTTGCTCACTTGCCGTGGCCCCTTCCGACACGACTCGTTCGTATAGAATCTCCAAAGCCGCTACACACCGCCGGGCAGAGGTACTGTAGCTCTGGTATTTGCGGAGAATTTCGAGAGCATCATTCCATGACCGCGTGATCGCAACTTCTGTTACATCTTCCAGCACTGCTGGACAAAGACGACCGGCGATGAGAACCGTCGCCGCCGTATATACATCTACGTTCGATCAGTTCTGATTCTTTCCAGATTAAAGAATGCGAGTCTCACAAAGAATATTGTACCACCACGCTGGGAGGGGACCAGAAGTCCCGTCAGCCGGTATATTGTTGTAGATTAGGTGAACGACCTCCTGGGCCACTTTGACGCAGATTACCGAGCACTGCAGGGCTACTCGTTGAGGGAATGAATCATTTAGGGAGATGAGCGGGTCCGCGGGCGCAATATCGCGGGCAGTGCAATATTTCGAGAGAATGGGACGGAAAAGAAGCATGCGGACATGCAGAAACCTGCGTAGATGTGAATACTGTTATGAATCCATCAGCGGACAAAGTCAGACATACCTAGCGCGTATAACCACACTTTGTCTGTAGAAGACTAGATTCTCGGTCTCAGGTGAGGTTGTGCCACGCAAATGAGGAGGTAGACTCCGGGTCCACCTAGTCAGTGCTCGATCGAGCTCGAAGATGGTTCGTTCGCCCTCGCTAGTCTCCTTGTTGAAGTAGAAGTTGTACATGTCTTCCGGGCTTTCCTCCGGGATGGGCTTGTATAAGCTCAACAGTATATCATTCAAAATCTCGTACAGCTCCAGTGACTTTGCGTAGAAAGCCATCACCGAGGGGCGATCCGCCGGTTGCATGGCTTCGGCCCCCGAAGCGGTAGGGATGTACTCTTCGTCCACAGTGGCGGGCAGAGGAACCGATCCACATGAGGCCTTTGAGATCATTGCGGGACGTCCAAACGTCATGGATATGACACTATGGATGTTAGATAGAGACAAGTTCATAAGCCATCTCGTCTTACCGGTCCATGAGAACACATCCGTGCCAGATCTTGCGAGCCAGCTGCTGCTCCTGTGGGTTACGGAGGCGGGCAATGGTTTGCGGGAGATGTAGCCCTAAGCTCTGCGCATTGCGGACGGCCAATCCAGTCACTATCCAACATTGATGTGCCGAGTCTGTGCTTTGGAGATACTGCGCCATGAGGAGGAAGCATTGGATCAAGGCCGCTGACCCCGTATTCCAAAGACTAAACTGCAGTAAATCTTTCGCACGAGAGAAAAAGGCATCCGCTGAAGCCTCCCGCTCCTCTGGAGAAATGGAATCCGCGAGCTGGCAGGCCAGGGCAAAGACCACATTGAAAGTGCACATCAACATGTTCTCATCGGAGTGGAGGGATTCTCCCGTCCAGATCCTCCCGTACTCGGCTCTCAATTGGGCACCATCGACGAAGGGGTATAACGGAAAAACAAAACACCAGTAGACCTCCATTAGACTATCTGCCGTCTTCCGTGGCGGAAGAACATAATTAGGCACGGTGGGCGTCCTTGCGTTTCGTGTAGACGTAAGACTAGATGGCGGTTCTATTCCGAGGATGGAATCGGAGGTCTGCCGATGAGATGACGAGACCCTTTTGTCGACCGCAGTCCTGATCTGACGCATAAAACTGGCCGCACTGGAACTGCCAAAGAATCCTTGCGTGGGACGCTCTTCCTCAACCGCGCCCATCATCGCATTGACCCCTAGGCCCCGGATGTCTCCACCAAGATACGAGCCTTCGGCTGACTGCCGCGAGGGATGTCCCGTATTCCGGTGATTGCAGCTTGCATTGCTCCCGGGGGTCTCAAATAAGACACCACTCGATGGAGATGGTCGGTCCACATTGGAAACAGAGGTACTGTTTCTAGACTGACCATGGCTCACGGGGACTGCTAACGACGGGTTGAATGGAGCAGACGGCGGAGCGCCAATGGGTAACGGTGATACCGGATTATTATAGGACGAGGGTGACTACACGGCCAGTCAGATGGTAAAAGACATCGTTAACTACTCCCATGGGGATAGTGAGACTATGGCGTGGTCGTAATAGTCCTACCAACCTGGAGGTGGCCTGATGTCCGATCCCCCCCATCGGGCCTTGTAGGCCCCGGAATGTTACCCGGACTTTCTAGATGCTTGATCCGACTTTCCAGGCGGGCGATGTAGCTTCATTTCAACATGATTAGCTAGTGATACACTTCCGTTGACCGCAGCTCCTGAAGCGTTGAGGACTGTAGCCATGACGGGTCCCTTGTTCGGGAACAGGTGTGAAGACTCTCTCACCTCTGGACCGCACGCTTTTTCTCGGGCTCCCCCGTATAGTTACACTCATTACCGCGATCGGGCCTCCTTGTACATGGCCCACAAACTACATATCGGTTGGCCATGTTAGACGGGGGCGGCTTTGTGTCCAGAAAGCTCAACAGAAAGCGATCATACCGGGTTGGATGCCGTCACAACGGACCTTTCGGGCCCGGCATTCATCACAAGCCACGGCGATCTTACGACGCTTGGTAGACCGCACGGGAGTGTCCCCCAATGGGGACTCCTGTGGGGAAGATGAGTGGCCCATAGTGGATCTAGATAGAAAGGAAAGAAGACCGAAAGAGGAGATGAAGTATGAGAGAAGATGTAATTGAAGAGAAGTCAAGGAAGACATCCCGGAGGAGTGGGCCTTGGCGCCAAGACCATTCGGAGCTGATCCCGTGCTAATCTAGGCCTGATGCAGTGACAACCAGTCAACATCAGAACCATCGACGATCCCGACATCTTTGAATGCTTCACCGGTCTATCGCGGTCGAATGCGAGAACACAGCGCAACATGCGATCTAAAGGAACGGTCTACGTAGTAGACACGCTACGTAATGTGGTGGTTAATCCAGGATTATAACAAGATCTATTGCTCCAACATATTCAAGCTAAACCAGCTAGGCCGGCGCGTGGTACATAAACGAGCGAATAGAAAACAATGCAAAGACCTTCGGATCGTTGAACTAGGCAGTTTGATCCGATGGCATGCGAAATAGAAACATAACAACTCGAGGAGCCCTTCTCACGGAGGTCCACCACTGTACATCGCGTACTATATTCACAACTGTCCCAGAAAAGATATTTTCATGGCGTTCTGGAAGACAGCGCTTAGCCCAGAAGGTTGTTGATGGGGATCTGCACGCAGTTGGCGGCGTTGAGGGCGAGGAGGCTGCCGTGCTGGTCGTTGTTGTTGCCATCGCAGCAGGTAGGGAGGCTCTGGCAAGATTTACCGCCGGCCAGGAGATTGGCCACTAGAAATGACAGTTAGGTGGACAGACTTCCAAACTCTTGAGGGGCACCTGTCATCACTCACGCGAAGAGCAGCCTTCGTAGCTGCCAAGACCATCGCTGAGACCCTGGGAGAGGAGATCCAGCAGGCCACCGCCGGTCTGGTCCTTGGACAGTTCGGCCTTCTTGCTGTTGCAGCACGAGGGCTTCGCGCCATTACCACAGGCGTTCTGGGCCTGCTCCAGACTGACGGGCTGGCCCTTGTGGTAGAAAGCGGGAGGCTGGCCGGCCAGGGCAGTGGCGGCGAAGAGAGCAGCGACGGCGAAGAACTTCATTTTGGCTGAGGTGGACTAGAGACGAGAGACTCGGGAAGAGTGGACTGGTGTTGGAAGCGAGGCTGGGGAATGGTAGACTTGGATTGGTAGAGTGGTTTGAGCTGATGGAGAGGACTGAGGATGGGACTTCGACGTCCTTTTTATATCTTTTCATTACCTCCGCTGAAGAGGTGGTGGTTACCCGACCCTGACCTTCGAGGCTGGCTAGACACAGCTCATTTCCCGAGAGATTCGGGTTCCATTCTCATACAGTGCCATTGTGCCCGGTTCCTTGCATGGGCGTTTCCATAACCGTCCCAGTGATCTTCGCACACAAAGCTGACTATCGGCTCACAGAGCCCGTATAGCGCATCCGCCTTGCAGGAGAGAGGCGCATCCATAATGGCCAATAGTCTGGACCAGGATGCAGGAACCGGCTCTCCGGATATGGTCTATGTAACGAACAACATGCACTACTCTCCTTTCCCTGCATTGGCATCATCACGGCCACATGTGATCTCTCATATCCCCACTGCACCTTTCAGTCGCAGGGAAGCTTCGAGTCGATGACTCTGGCCACTCATTCCAGAGCCTATCTTAGCCTATTGTATTTTTAAGATCGGGTGTCAGATGTTTATCTTCCATCAGCTTCGCCTCAGGGGTAGTCGATGGGTCTAACCCGCACTAGAAGGAACCCTACATCTGATCCTTTCACCAAGGCCGGAGCAGCTGGGGACCCCGGAGACTTTTCGGCGACCCAGTGTCGCTCCTTTTTGCATCCCGGGCTGCATGTCGGTGAGGCCGTTGCCCCTAGGAGCAGCGTAGTGCCGGATGTTATTTTAAGTTGGTGCGGATCTTTGTACTGCAGGTCTATTGTTGGGAGGCTTTACGCACTCGCTCTGTTGGGATCGATCGTCACTTTCCCAGTGGCGATCGATCTCGAATACGGCGTCCCAGCCTTCAGCTTGCATCTAGGAGATTTGGTCTGTGGCACTAGATGGCCTATGCACGTTTTACTCATGCCTGTGGGGGTGAAGTCGTTGAGACATAACATGAGTCCACAGTGAGGGCCAGAAGATGGCCCATTTCGGCGAACGCCGCCGGTATGCTGGGAATCGAACTTGATTTCACCGATCTGCTGTTCCCGTGGTTTGATAATAGTGGATAAATAAACTCTGGTTCTCTCGGGGTCTCGCCACTGGGTATACTGTAGGGGGGCAGATAGCTCTCGAATTTCTTACAACGTGATTAGATGATTTCGACGCCGATGGTATGTTATAATAAATCAAACCTCATATAGAAGGGTTCAATATGTTACACTTGTTGATTATTTTTTATTGGAGATATGCAGACATATATATTCTGGGGATACCTGTGGTAGTAACGCCAGGCAACCATGGGTACCATAACCTCGACAACAGCAAGAACGAGCCTACGGAAGATAGCAGGATATCATGCTAGTTGATTCATATGTGCTCTGCATTTTCATTTGATTCCTCCACCTCCCCGTCGCGCATAGGGAAGCCAGCTTGCGTATTCGTCATTCTAGGAGACCGAAACCTGCAAGAAAAACCTGCTTGAGCAGCCACCAGCAATAATAAGTTTCACCTAGAGCATTGAATTATACGCCACGGGTTGACACACAGTATGTCCCGACCATAGAGGTATCCGGTCTGTGTCGCATGGTGGGCCGAATCGCCTATCCTCGAAATGGGTCGGTGGGGCCGTAATATATTGATAGACCCCCTTGCGTCAGGCCTATATCAGGTCCTCCCTGAAGCTTCTTTACCAAAGGTAAATATTATCAAATAAAAAATAATATCAGATTTTTCTTCCTTTTTTGGAAGAAGAAAAAATTTGAGCGGTGTGAGAATGAGATCGGTTGAAAGTGATTTTTTGGGAAGGAAAAGTTATGTACGCGCCATAATACCGCTCGCTTCTCTCTTCTGACCAACGCCGAATCCGTGAATGAATGATCCTCATCGAGCGAACCTAATACCGTATACACCTTGGGAAACCCTTATCACCAGTTGAACGATTCCTCCACGTAGTGGAGGTCGCGATACCCTTGCCGCATGGCTAAATGCACCGCGGCGCGCGCCTCGTCCGCCATAGCGGGCGGACCACAGACGATGACGACCGCTGACGACTCACTGAGACGGGCTTCGTGTGCGTGGGTAAGAATCTGGGTCTGCAGGTCGGGACGCCCGCTAATAATCCCCAGGTCCTTGTCTGCTAGATTGCCCCCCGGGCAAAAGTCGGAGTCATCCACCTCCCCATAGCGTTGGTCCTTGGGCGTTAAGGTGCTATAAAAGGAGGCGTGAAAGTCATTACGCGCGAGGGCGGGCCTTAGCTCACGGGCTACAAGGTTGCGGATGAACGACGCTTCGCGTGCCGTCCAGACCAAGTGCAAATCTTGAACACAGGTCGCGCTCGCGTCGGTCGACGAACGTGCCATATGGTCCTGGATATAAGGTACCATAGCCGCAATTCCGGTTCCCCCTGCTATAAACAGAACGGATTCGTGGTTCCAAAGGGGGAACTCATGGCCATAAGGACCTTCCAGGAGGATGTCTGGGGCGGTTGTCCGGTTGGGACGACGAAGACATTGTTGCCGCAGATGGCGCGTCCATCCGTCAAAGGGCCGGATCCAAAAGATAAGCGTGACCTTTTGTTGGTCATCGCAATGTACTACTTCCTGGTACTGACGAGAGACAGCATCGGACAACAAAGGCACCCGCGATACACCCCTGATCGGGTCGTCTTGGGCCATTGCAGTTGGAAGCTCAGCCGTGTATGACCAGGCCCCCAAAGTGAAGGGGTGACTTTCCCAGCCCTTTAGCCTTAAAGGCTGATAGAGATAGTAATATTGCCCTGGGTGTGGACGAAGGAGTGGGGATCCCGGCACAATCTCCAGTCGAATCACATCGGCAGCTTCGTCGTAGACGGCAGTGCTGGCGCTTACCCGGAGCTTTTTTCTGGATTGAAAATAGACATGGAAGTTGCAGTGAATCACCCGGACTAGACGTAGGGATCGATCAACCACCCAGATCCCCACGGCTGGCCAGAGATAAGCCCAATACTGATTTCCTTCGAAAATGACTGTGTGACTGTTACGGCGTTAGCAACAGAGCTACTGAAAATGCCAGGACCACTGACTAAAAACAGCCGACGAGGGCTACAGTTGAGAGCAGGATATGGAGAATGAGAAATGCCTCGTAGGTACGGCGTCTACAAAAGTCCACCGCCGTTGGCCAAAGTAGCAGCATCGCCACCATGCCCTTATTTATATCAGTGAATGTTTAGATGGGGGGTCGCCAGTAGATACTTACAAATGTTCCCCAAAGCAAATATGGTTTCTGTAGCTTCTTCCAGGTATTGCCATCTGGGAATGAAAGTTACTGTCAGAATATTGACAGAGACCTTGGAGGTGGCATAGATACACCCACTTTGGATAAATATAACCAGGTAAAGGAGAGTATGAACGACAGCCTGAATGGTTGCAATCCAGGCGACGTGTCGGTGGAACAGGTTGAAGGTTGCAAAGCTCCAACCCGTCGCCCAAAGAAATATATTGTTGCGGCCCGCAAAGAGCCAGATCAATGGGATATTCGCAAATGAGATGATTCCAGTGCGATCAGCGATATATCGTAAAAGCTGGCTTGAGATGTCGGCCCAACTGTAAGATGTAAGCCAGGCTTCTTGACGGGGCCTATGGCACCGCACGTACTAGAGATTACCAGGGAAAGCCTTGTACATAATTGCACACAGAACAATATTGAGAACCCAACATAGTAGAACTACCAGGGCTTGTATCCGTGCAGGAAATGTCCACCAGAAAAGCCGACGGCCTCGAGATGGGAGAGGCGATGGTGTCAATAGATGAGTCCGTACCCAATTATATACTTTGTGGAAACGGGTATATAGGCCGGCCGAAGAAGACGACGCTCTGTCTTCCCAGACACGACATGATTGTTTCGTGTACTGAAGTGATCGATGCAGGATCCCCAAGGCGAGGACCCAACCCCAAAACGCGTACATAGCCAAGCTATTGCTGTCAGAGCCATCCGAAAGGAAACGAGGTTGAGGGAGAAACGCCTACCCAAATGCATGATTGTACCAAACTTGGGTTTCCCACGTATCCTATCACCCATTTATAGTCAACAACCGCCGGGTGACACCCATAGCGAACTTCCGACTTACTATGGTCTGAAAAGCCCGATCAAAATATGACGACGAGAGCATGACCGGGAAATCCACTGGCTCCCGCCTCAAGATGTCACCGTATGCCACAACACGCATATGACGGATGGCATCGTCCGTTAGGTTCGTAGCTAGTTGCTCCCGCGGAATTAGTTCGAGACCGGCGAACTCTTGGCAGGACGAGGCCAGCCAGGCCTGGCCGGCGGCATTTTCGGATGGGTTGCAATACACCCCCGAGGCCGCGTAAATTGAGGTGACCCGCAATGGGTTTTGACAGCGCAAATGCCAGACATCCTTTGGCGGCGATCCAGCAAAAGTGATATATCCATAGGCAGTGTCCACGGCCTGTAAACAGTGTTCAAGGACGGTGGCCGTACCGACAGAGATGAGGAGCAAGAGAATGCACCCGTGAACCGGCCACATCGCTGGTATGGGCGAGAAGGTTGAGTAGAAAGGACCGAAGAATCATAGCCACGCACAAACCACGCACCCCTCCGCGGGGGATGGCTGACTTTCCCGCGAACCTCGTTCCTATGGGACCAACCGGACCCACTCTTGAGCCACGCGAGGGCGGCGGGACGAATAAGGATTTCTGGACCCAAGACCATGGCAAGACTTGACGCATTCTCAACGAGGCGTTATATCCGGCGATTCAAAAGAGGGTATGGATAGAAAGAGGACGCACCAATTGTGAGTAACCACCAATTGACCACGTCAGATACCGCGACGATCATGTGAAAAAGGCCTGGAGTATCTTGATATCTTGATGTGTGCCAAAAAAAGATCTCATCGTATCTTATCTAATCTGATCATCTCGGTGCCTGGGGCAACTGCTTGGTCAGCAGCTCTCTTGCCTCACGTGACTGGGGTCAACTTCGCTTCTTTCTTCTCTTTGTTCTCCTTCTGACTTCGATGATGAACAGATGGAAGCCACTGATCCTTGCATCGGTAGGATAACTTTCTGGTATGTACAACCAATTATATGGAGTTTAAACAGCCATACAACTAGCTTTACTGCTCGATCTAAGCTGGCGATTCTAGATGAACGGACCGTCTCGAGGGTTTTAGGCGCGGCCTGCGCGAGACAATGAATTGGGACTGATTGTCTCGGAGCAAAATTACCAACATTTGGCTGGCTGGCACAAGATAACATCAGATCGTGCTGGGTACTCCTCCTGCAATCACTCCTCTTGTCCCTGGAACGTTTACTGCTGCGAGATGAAGGGCCGAATGTGTCCCTTTACTATGATATTTTAAGCTACCAAAATTTGATATACAAGGATGAGACAGAAGGCTCAGGTCTGTTTCTGCTGAGACATTGCCAACGATGTCGCACCCAGGCTCACGGCGTCATGCACCCGATCTACATACGAAAACTGGATCCCCCGAGACGATAACCGTTCAATCAGAAGCTTCTGATAGGTGACATGACTGACGACCCCACCAGAGAGGATTAGTCCCGTTTCTGCAGGAGGGTGGTATCCCTGGCACTTAGGATGGAGGAGGCGCCCGAGGGTGGTATCCACGAGATCGTCGACTTGATCGTGAATGATACGTGTCGCAGTGTCGTCAGTACCCGCCAGACTGAGGACGGCTTCTGCAACCCCAGCGATTCGGGTTTTGGTTGCTTGTTGTTGAGGGACCAATACCTCGCTGACCAGGTCATACTCACCACTGGGGGATTGGCCGCACCCCAGTCGCTTAAGGACGGCTTGTTCAAAGACACCCAGTGTACTATCCCCACCACCCAGTCCTAGGCGAGCATCTTCCAGCCGGGCCACAGTGTGCTTGATAGCTCGAAGTCCGATCGCATATCCCCCACCTTCGTCACCCAGAATATGTCCCCAGCCTCCGGATCGCGCCACCCGCACCGGGCGTCCAGATGTCCACTGATATCGCATGGCCACACTTCCAGTCCCCGCAATCAGCACGATCGCCGATTCACTCCCCGGGTTTCGACTCATAGCCGCAGCAAGAAGGTCAACATCATTCGTGAGGAGCAAGTTGTCGGGGGCTGTTACCCCGAAGAGGGCCGAGACATTTGGCAGGAGAGCTTCGCGAAACCCGCTGCGGTCAATCCCCGCAAGACCCAGCCAGACCATCTGGAAGCATCCGTCTAGTGGGGTATCATCTCCAAGGATTTGGGCGGGTACGTTTTTCATGGCGTTTCTGGCGGCTGCTTCAAGAGTGGCGATGGCTTCTCCCATTCCGTGGCCATCAGTCCTATCGTGGATGATCAGTCCTACCAGATACCAGCAAACTCTTCGGAGGATGTGTCAACCTACAAATTACACGGGCCAGCCAGGCCACGTCCCAAGATATCCCCTTCCTCATCCGTTATCACCGCCGCGCATTTGCTTCCTCCTCCGTCAATGCAAAGGATGAACCTGCGGTCAGGAGCCGCTGACCCATTCGGCTGGATACCCGTGCAAGGTTTGTTCGCTGCCTTCAGCGCCTGCGCCAGGATCCCGCCGGCTGACTCGAGCCTCCGCTGGGATTGTTCTACCGATAATCCTGTGTTGGCCGTCATCAGCGCTAGCTTGACGCTGCCATCACACTGTGCTAAAAGGTTGTCCAGCTGCTCGTCGGTCATGTTGTCACACCGCGGACTTAATTTTCGCAATATATTCCGGGACCGCTGTTTCAGCTTATTATTCGAGGCAACAAGGTCGACCATCTATAGCAACGGCGATTAGTTCTATCATCCCAGTATGCCGTGAGGAGCGAAACTACCATATTGCCGTAGGTCTTGCCAATGCGGATCATCGTGCCCGTACTCAGCATATTCAACACCAATTTCGTGGCGGTTCCCGCCTTGAGACGAGTGCTTCCCGTCACGCACTCCGGCCCCGGAAGTGGTGAGAGCATATGGTCCACTGTACCTGCCCGACTCATGGCTGACGGTGAAGCGCAGACAACGCCGATTGTGAGACACCCGAGGCGCTTGGCGAAGTTCATACATCCGAGGACGTAGGGGGTGCGACCGGATGCTGCAATCCCGATGACGCTATCGAGCTCCGGGTCAAGCTGGAGTGCTTCCAGATCCTGCTCTCCTGCACTGATACTGTCTTCGGCCCCTTCCTGGGCCTTCCGAATGGCAGCATCTCCACCCGCGATTATACCGACGAATTGCGAAAAAGGCGCGGCAAAGGTGGGAGGGATTTCGGATGCGTCGAGGATACCGAGCCTATAGAATTGACTTTCCGTTAATATTCTTTCTTGCGATACAACTAAGTCTTACTAGGGATGGCAAATAAAGTGCTCTGACCTTCCACTCGTCCCGGCGCCGACATAGATCACGCGTCCTCCATGACGGACTCGTGGAGCCAAATCATCGATAGCGTCTGCGATCTGGGGTAGAAACGGGGTGACACTCTCCGCGACCAGGTAATCGTCACGATTGATTAATGTGCACAATTCCAAGGTCGACACCTGGTCAATGTTAGTGGTTCTGGGGTTGATCCCCTCCGTCTGGAGCCGCGACAGGGACCCGAGATCCATCGTGTCGCTCGCCAAGCAACGCGCGCAAAACTGGTGGCGTATTCGATTTATGTATCACACAGAACAGGTCAGGTTGCATCTGCCCCAGGATTAGGCGACCAGTCACTCGCCGGGGCTCCCCTGATATCTATAGGTCTCCCAGGTCGCATCCATTCCATGGTAGCAGGAAAATTTTACCAACCCACGTGGAGGGTTACCATCCAAGGTGTGATTGGATCCTTGGGGCGATTCATGGTGCCAATGGTTTGAAACAATTTACCCTAAACGACGCCGGTGCGGGGAAGCATCAACAAGGTGTTTTCCCATTGGGGATGTAATCAGCGGGTTTATCCGCTTGGCCGCCCTAATCCCCAAATGACTATCGCTACCGAATCATGGAACGCTATTTAGGAGATTGGGCTAAGCCTCTTTGGTTGGCGCATGGGACATCGGGGGGGGATTAAAACGAGCTGGGGTTCTTCTCCAGAGGTGATTCTCACGGCACAGAAGATCGCTCACTCAAGTCATCGCAATGACGGTCAACGCAGTAGCCTCCTCGGGCGAGTCTGGGCTTTCCGCCCCTCTGGATCAGCAGCGTGGAGTTGTATATCGAGTGTACACCCACTGCTGGTTCCAGATCGTGTTGATGAGCTTCATCTGCTTCTGCTGCCCTGGTGTGAGTTGTATTCCCACCATCCACCACGTCGTACAATGCCGAGTGCATCCTCCATGCTAACAATGCTACCAGATGTACAATGCCTTGACCGGAATGGGAGGGTCGGGGCAGGTCGACCCGACTGTCGCAGCCAACGCTACTGTTGCGTTGTTAGCAGCCACCGCGGGTACCGCTCTATTCATGGTCGGGCCCATCTTCAACCGTGTCGGGCCTCGCGTTTGTCTGCTCCTTGGTGGATGGACTTATCCCCTCTACGCCGGTAGCCTTCTTTGCTTTAACGGTATGTGCATTGCTCCTGGGAACCTGACGATACTGGATTCTAACTACTCCTCGTAGCAACGGCCAACGGTGCCTTTGTGATCGCATCTGGCGCGATCCTCGGTATTGGGGCATCCTTCCTATGGGTGTCACAGGGCGCTATCATGACGACGTACGTCCCGGAATCGCAAAAAGGCCGTGCCATCGCGGTCTTTTGGGTAATCTTCAACCTCGGTGGGGGCGTTGGATCGCTGGCGAGTTTCGGAATGAACTACAACTCCACGAGTGGAACGGTGTCCGATGGGACGTACATTGCTCTCCTGATTATCATGGCCGTGGGCTGGTTGCTGGGCTCGTTCATCTGCCCGCCCGCGTCGGTCCGACTGGCGGAGCTGCAGCCGTCCCCCGAGAGCGAGAAGAACTGGCGTAAGACGGCGATGATGTCGCTGCGGGCGATCGTGGACTGGCGGGTGCTGTGTATGCTGCCGCTCTTCTTCTGTGCCAACGTGTTCTACTCGTATCAGCAGAACATCGTCAACGGAATGACGTTCAATATTCGCACTCGATCGCTGAACGGGGCTTTCTACTGGATGGCGCAGATGGTCGGTGGGCTCACCATGGGCCTGATCCTGGATATCCCCGGACTCAGCCGCCCCATCCGAGCCCGCATTGGCTGGGTGTTCCTCGTCGTGACGGGGATGGCGATCTGGGGTGGCGGGTACGCGTTCCAGTTGTGGTTGGATGACCGCATGGCCACGGGCCTGAAGCAGGACATCGATTATAAGGACGGCAGCATCTCGACCGGACCCATATTCCTGTACATCTTCTACGGCGCGTACGATTCGTTCTGGCAGTCGTACTGCTACTGGCTCATGGGCGCGCGCTCGAACTCGCCCGCCGTGGCCGCTGTCCTGGTGGGCGCATACAAGACCTTCCAGAGCACGGGTGGCGCGATGGCGTGGCGGATCAACGCGCTGGCGGAGCCTGCCATGACACAGCTGGCCATGAACTGGGGATTGTGTATGGGCGCGCTGGTGATTGCCATCCCTTCAGTTCTGGCAGTGACTGTGACCAGTAACACAGAGCCGACTGAGGAGCAAGAGACCAAGGAAGTCAGTGTTGAGCCTAAGTGATTGAACACAGGGGAGGGAAAAGGTCTATGGCCAGGTAGAGAGCAGATATTTTATTTATTATATTCAACTTAATTCAGCCAATGGTAGTGAATGGCATAGCCTGTATTATGGGCCAAAGTTTATCGTAATCATTACCATGAAGCCATTCACTTCAGTTTATCCTCCTACTCATACTACTCTCCCCCTCTCTTTTTTCTTATTTCCCAATTCATCTCTCTCTCGCCTATCTATGACTCACACCCTTCTCCCCACATTATCAAATACCCATAAGCCACACTACCATACCCTCCTTCCCCGAGTAGAATAAGATAACCATCGGTCGCCATGCCGATGAACTGGAACGCCGACACTGATGCCAAAGTGAGTCTAGCCTTACGACGATAGTCATCCACCAACTGACATATAATATGAAAAAAGCTCCTAGTGGGAATCCTCATGCAGCTCCGTTCCGCCGGCGTCAAGGTGAATACTAACGAACTGGCGATGTTCATGGGACCTGGTATGTGCTTTGTCCCACTATTCTCTTCTCTCTCTTCGTAGAATATTCTTTTAAACAGGGGTGGATAGGATGTACGCCCAGTGCGATCGGCAACCGCATCGTCCGCCTCCGCCGTCAGGTCGAGGGACTTCCGGGGACCCCCGAGGCCGGGCGTACTCCTCAAAAGGCGAAGCGCAAGAACGCTAACTCGGAGCCCATGACGCCCACGAAGAAGGGGATGGTTACAAATTCCGCTCTAGACTCTGAATGGCCTGAGGTTTCTGTTCAAATTCCCATTGTTAAGATGGAGGTGAAGAAGGAGGTCAAGCAGGAACCAGTGCAGGATGGGGGCTTTGCAGTGCGGGAGTGTTTCGAGCTGGAGGAAGTCGTTGATTGGGTTGATATGAAATGATCGTGTTCTCGCTTTCCCTTCTTATTTTGAGTGTCAAAAGAGCGGAGATGAAGCAATGTTTACGGCACGGAAACCTGTGGCTTTTATTTCAGACAGAGATGATGATTGAAATTGATAATTCCCTTGCATTCCTCGTTACACACGTAAGCCGCAATTGTCAACTAACCAGCCCTTACTATTCTTCCATCATTCGTAATACAGACTACTATCTCTTCCTCCAACAACTCTGCGCTCACATAGCTAGAAAAGTTGTACGACCGCCGACCTAATATCCATTACAGCTGATGCAGTCCAGCTTATTGCAGACAATGCCACCACAGTTGGCTCTCTCAGCCTCCTGGGACTCGGCCATCTCGTCGATAACCTTGAAGTCCTCGCCCAGACGCGCGCTGGGGGAGTCACACGTGGCAGCAAGTTTGGGCTTGCTGGACTTGACCTTCTTGGCAGGCGTCACCTGTGGACCACTAGGGGTGGAAGCTGCATCATTCTGGTCACTGGCCTTGGCTGGCTTTCGGCCTCGTTTTTTTGGAGTGACCGGGGTGCGAGGTGTGCCAGGCTCTTCGTCCTCGTCGCCACAATCCTGAACCTTGCCAGCCTTGGAGTTGGTGATGGAGAAGTTGGATGGGTTGCCCAGTGCGTGTTTCAGCTTCTTCAACTGTCCTCGCACACTGTTGGGAGTCGGTTGCTCCTCTCCATCCGCTACGACGTGTTAAACTATGAGCTGATATCTGGGGGTGGACATGCTTACGCCAGGCTTCGGCAATTTTGTCAACGTCGGCGATGATCGCCACTGACTGGGTGGTGTAGAGCAGACGCCACAGCTTATCAGACTCTTGTTAGCAGCAATATAACATCATATCATGGAAAAAAACCACATACAGTGTTCACAGCCTCGGGTTCCCAGCGCATGATGATAAATTAGTCTCTTGTGTAGGTTTGTACTTGTTGGGGTAGGTGGGAACAAAAGATAATAAGTAGACAACAATGACTCCTAGAGAGAGAGAAGAAGAGCAAGAGATAAAAAGGTAAACAAAACCAGAGAAACGACTGCACTTTATCCCCGCGTAACAACAACAATGACTGTGCAGTTATTGACAATTGCGATGTAAGTCACATACATCATCAGCCCTAGTGATATACACTAAGCCATTCACTGGTGGCTCAATCCATCAGCGTCTGTGTAGTCACACTGGAATACTTGACTCCAAACATGGTCATAGTCAGTTGTAGCTACCAGATTTAACAGCCCAAGTATAGTCTTACAAATACCTACATAGGACCAGGCGGGAGGTTGATAAAATGCCCGAGTACTCTTGGTATCTTTATCTTAAAGTCCGATTAGTCTTGTTTTGTTCAAGATGTCAACATGTCCTACAAACGTGAGACTCTTATAGACAAGCAATAAGTGGATATAATATCAGATATCATATTCTCTGACAAACCCCCCCTGAAACATTAAAGCAACTCAACCAGGAAACATGTCAATTTCCTTACCAATAACAAACCATTCAAATACCCCGTAGACATCTTCAAAACGCGTTTCAGCCACCTTGGCTCGAGTCGACTCAGCAAGATGCGCATTCCCATCCTGTACCCCTTGCAGCCCCCTTGCAGTCCCCTTCCAAGCCAGCCCGGTATTTGTCTTCCTGCCCGCCCTAATCGCTCGCTGGGATCACCGCTGTGGCTCTTCCAGCTGCGACTGACGTTATCTTTGAGTCAAAGTCAATAGCCACCCACAGTCATCGGTATGACTGATAGTCTGAAAGACTCGGCCGGATTTGCTCTTCGCATCAACGGGTCATGTCTTCCTGAGCAAGTCGACTGCGGGGCCACCGTCAACCCCTTTCGCGTCTGCTGCCCAGGCGGAACTCAGTGCCCCCACGCGTACAATGTCGTTTGTTGTCCTTCCGAGGCGAACTGCACCTCAACACTGCTTGAATCCCCTCGATGTGCCGACCGAGGCTGGGATCTGTACGATAACGAGGGGTATTTCTGTTGCGACAAGGACACCACCGGGTTTGCCCGCTTGGGCAACAGTGACGGATGCGCGGTGCCAGGGTATTCCTTCCACGAGGACGACAAGTTACTCAGTGTAGTGCTGTCCGCCGAAGGCATGATCTCGCAAGCTTCCCGTATCAGACATGATCATGGCTGACTCCCGGTAGCCTCGCCGACTGGACCCTCCATGTCCACATCATCTGGTATCACCCCCGGATTCTCAGCCACCATGGCTCCCATTTCGACCCCAACCCTTGACACAGAGTCCCAGGAGGAAACAAACGACAGAGGGCATGTCGCGGGGAGTATAGTAGGAGGCATTGTTGGGGTTGGGATCATATCTGGTTTAGTGTGGTTTTTCATCACCCGGCGCAATAAGTCCAAGGAGCTGGACGAAGACTCCGACTCATCTCCCCAACCCGAAGTTTTGGAAGGCCATGTCGTCGAGGCCGATGGCGACAGACCACCAGTGGAATTGGGGGCGAACGAGAAACAGACAGCGCCAGTTGAACTTCCGTCGGAGCCACTGGGACGAGAACGCGTGGTACGATTTGCATGATGATGGAACACAAGGGCGTGTACGGGGAGCTACTAGGAGCCTGTATATATTGTCTTTTGTTTTGCCATTTTCTCATGGTGGAGTTAGGTTCGCATATAGAATGGCTTGCTTGGTTGCTTCAAATACTTAACTCATGAGACATGATAGGAGGCGACGTTCCTTCTCTGACATTTATAGCGATGTAAGCCCTAGCAAGTCATGGACAGCATCTCGTGCGCTCAGCCACAAACCCCCACTTCTTTGCCAAAAACAAACCGCTTGTCCTCTGTACTGATCATCCATTTTGCTTTCACCCGTTCTATTCCGTTATTTCCCCATGGATGACACCACGGACGAAGGCCTGGTCTCCATTGGATCCCACCGGCTCTTTTTAGAGGTGCGGGGTATCGTCCGCACCCTAGGAGAGCCCCTGGTCGTCTTCCTAATGGGAGCAGGAGATGTAGCTGCTTCGTATCGCGCCATCGAGCGTCTGATAAGCCCCTTTACCTCGCTCGTCCTGTACGATCGCTCGGGTTTAGGTCGCAGCGACGATGGCCCACGGCCTCCGTCGGCTGCCACGGCGGCGGAAGAATTACATCAGTTGCTGCTAGTGGCCGACCTGCACCCTCCACTTCTCCTCGTTGGCCATTCCTACGGCGGTATTATTGCCCGGGAGTATCTTGACGCCTATCCAGAAAGCGTGGCTGGAATGGTATTGGCCGATGCCTCGACGGAGCGACAGCCGGAGTTGTTCCGCAACCCCGATCTTGATATCCCCGCCGTGTTGGGTGATCTGAGATTCGCCCAGGTCACTGGCCTCCGCGATGCGGCGCGACTGTCCCGCGACGAGTGGCGTACTCGGGCCGCCCATATCGCCCGCGGATCCACCACGGAACGTGCCGAGGGCTTGGCTGCTGTGGAGGTTTGTCAGTCGCTGGCGCGGAAGAACCAATATCACAGTTGCGCAATGGGAGACAGGCCGCTGAGTGTAATCTGCTGTCGGGGGGTTGACGATTATCGACGGATCTACGAGGCGGGGATACGAGCAGGGAATGGCACCGAGTCACAGCGTATAGCCTTTCGTGACTTACTCGAGCGCTGGGAAGCCATGAATGATGAGATGCAACGGGACCAGCTGCAACTGTCTGGCGTCCATCGCTATGTGTCGCTACCAGATTGTGGTCACCATATTCATCTGATCCGTCCGGATGTACTGGCCCAAGAGATCCAGTGGGTCAGGGAACGGATCGAATTGAGTCAAGAGAGGGGTAAGATTTGAATGGCGGAGGGGATGTTAGGGGGTTGGGATCGACCACAGGTATATTGGGATCGTCTTCGGCGTCTCAGCCTCGGCCTAGTGATCTTTTACTCGAAGGTATTAAGCCTCGTCTCATGAAGTCCCAAGCTATTTTCGTCCTGTTATATGTCGCTGATTCTGGCCTTCTCTGCTGGCAACAGTTATATGGAGGCAGAACCGATGTTCCTGTCTGGCCAAGTATTGGTCTGCCAGAAGTGCCAATGGAAAATCACCAGCGCTGTCGATCCTAAGCTTAACATATAGCTCTTGATCTATCCCCTGCCCGTATTCCCTGTCCCGTAGTTGTTGTCGGCGTGGGGTAGAGCATCGATGTGGTTACTGTTATTCTCCAAGTCCCACATTGTGAGAGTACAGCGGAATCCCAGGTGAGCTAAGAAAAGCTCGAATGATATAACAGATACTGAGTATATATAGATAGAGGCAACATGTAAATACAGTGGCAGCCGTCATGGGAATGTCTTCGGAAGAAAACCAAATGCTTTGAAAAGGGCAATGCATCAAGAACGGATCACGATCTTTCCGTTACTGTAGCTCCTGCGGCAAATGCTCGGTCGTGGCTAGCTCTGGCCGTACGTGCCTGCCGTCGAGTTGGGCCGGTGCCTTCGTAGATACAGCAGGAGCGGAGAGAGGAATTCCGGTTTCTTTAGTCGACGGATATTCAGGGAGGGAAGATGAATTGGCCCGTAGTCGTCGGTATCGCTGGAAAAGCAAGAGCGCCATGGTGCACATCAATAGCAGTGGAATTCCTAGCCCAACTCCCAGACCGACACCCAACTTGGTTCTCTCGGGCCCCAGGTCTACACTGGAAGGTATCGCGGTGACTGTGGCGCGCGGAACAGGTGGGATGGTATTCGATCCAAAGGCGATGATAACGCCTCTGTCGTCAATCTGAGCGTAGTCTTCATTATCGCAACACTCGTCCCGAAGATCGGAGCCGCCGCAACACACCATTGTATGAGCTGCATTGCAAAACGACACTTCCGACCCTGCCTCACGATTATCTGTTGATTCTAAGTTAGCCAGGAGATTGAGCATCAAGTCAACGACATCGCTTACGAGGACACAATGCCGAGCATTTTTCAGGCGGCCATCCTTTATCGGAGCACATTTCGCGGGTAAATCTGTCTCTGTCACCGTCCTTACCACGGCAGAAGCTGCCGTCCTCGCAAGTTTGGTTCTCGAAGCAGCACATTCCGGGCCCCTCCCCACAGAGAAAGGGCTCCCCTTGCTCAGTGGCATTGTAGAATCGCGACTCGGTGTAAGACTTCCCTAATCGGTGTGAAGTTATTTATTAGAAAGAAAGGGTAGGTGAGGAAATGTGTGTTTCCTTCGTACCGTCAAGGAAATAACATTCAATTGCGGCTGCGCCGGTGATGGCTCTCAAGGCGAGAGCCAGAGAGATGCTTCTCTGAGGCGACAGCACCATATTTAGAATCCACACGATTACGGCTTGTGTATGGAGTGATGGTCGACAAGAAATTCTTGGGCGGTACGGCACAGGAAGTGGTGTGTTTAAGACAGGAAACAATCACGGTCGCCGGGCTCGTCGAGGGCGCAAGGAATCTCCAGACAACTCCGTCCTGTCCATCTCAGAAAATCAGAGAGAGCATCGCCGCGTTTCCCTCCGAGATGTGTTCATAGCCCCCAGGGGCGACCCTCCATCGGGAAATGTCATTGGCGGCCGAACTGTTGACATGTGTGGGGGTCGGTCTACGATCCAGTTCTTCATATCCACTTTCCAAATTGTTCCCGGACGACCAGCCACTAGAACTGATTGAATGACAAGGCTGGGGTAGCTTTATGCGGAGAGTTGGCTTTCCATGGGCTAATGATAGCCCACCGACCCTAATTCGCTACATCTGGCGCTGATCAGAGACCGGTGCTGCGGATCGGCGATGCTGGTCGCATGGTGGTTGGCACAAAACAGCAAGCGAGGGTATTGGAGGTCTGCTTCATCGCGGCCCAGAGTTGAAGAAGTGAACGGACGAAGTGAACAGAAGAAGAGAAGGGACGGGTTCCAGCTGGATGTGGTCTTGAACGAATTTCCTGTGGTTCATCCCCTGGACCATGATCGAATATAAGAGCCCCTCAAATCACCGGAAAAGCACTGCAGAGAACACTAAAAGCAATCTCACTAGAACTTACTGAGCTTTACTGGATACTGATGCTTTGGGGACGTCTGTCGTCTGAACCGATAGCACGGAATGTCTATACAGTCACGCAAAGAACACCATTCGGCTACCAAAGTTCCCTCGACACTTCTGCAGTGAGCTCTGTGAGTACCTTTGTACGCACTGTCTTCTTTCCGACATGCAGATCAAACGATCAGGCAGATCAGATCAGGCATCCCCCACGGGAATTCTGTCAGCAGTCACGGGGTGCCAGGTGACTTTCTGCTGGATGGGATTCTCATCTCTTCTTCATCTCCCTTCCAGTCCACTACTCCATACTCGGTGGCATAACGAAGATCAGGAGGCCCTTCGTTCATTCGTCCTTGAATCATGACCGATAGATCCAGTCTTGTCAGGACATACGCGTCGATATATTTTGCTACCATCTTGGTCATTTGAATGTACTCAGCGAGGTTAATCTCCGCTTCAACATGGGAATCACTTTGCCCTAGAGACAAACAAGGTCGTGGGACAGATGACTGAGACATTGTGATATCGCAACCAATCTGGGGACTCGAGAGTGACTCACAGCTGGGTGGCGGACGCCTGAATGGGCTTGGCAGATCAGAGGCGCTGCTCCCCTCATGACTAGACGCCCGCAGCCTATCCTCTTGATACGAGAAACCAAGGCTAATCTAGATCCTGGCTAGTGGCTTATCATCAGGGTTACATACCTCATCGAGCATTGGAGACAGTGCGCGGCATTGGGTGACGCATCGCGCCTTCCGGCAGGAAACGGTCAGCCCGCCTTGGGCTATAAAGCAACACGATCTACCGTCTGTGGAGGGTCATGGTGAAAGTACATTTGCTCCACCCACCTACGGACCATTACCAATAGCCAGGTATAAAGGGAGGATCACGATCACTCCAGTAATCCGACACGCCACAATGGAGGAACACGACCTATTGATCGTCGCCGACGGGACGGCGTCCATGAGAATGTATCTACAATCCCTCAACACGTCGCTGCCTCAGATTCTGTCGGTTTCCGCTCTGACTGGATGTTTCTCGCGGATCGGAATCCTGGTTTACCGGGATTACTCCTGCGACAAACTTCTGGAATGGTCGGGATGGATGAATTCCCATCAAGGTCCGGAGACAAGCGCAGGAAAGGACCAGCCCGATCTCATTGCTATGGCCAAGGGCCTCCGAACCCAGGGAAACACCGATACACCCGAGGCCGCAAAAACCGGGCTAGCCAAAGCGTACGAGCTGATGAGACCTAATGCGAAAACCCTTATTCTTCTCTACACGGACGCGCCCCCGCACTGGATGGACCCCGACAGAAAATGGTCGCAAAACACGACAAAAGAAAAAGAAACCCTCGAAATAACGGATGCATATGGGGGATTTGGGCCATCATTCGTTGACTGGGTGTCGGCAGCACGGTGTTTGGTTTCGGGAGAGAAACAGGCGACCGTATTTGCAATCGTGTCCAGCGACGCGGACCCAAAAACGGTAGCATGCTATAACTACCTCTCGGCAGCAACCGACGGAGCGTGCGTACATCTCAGCCACCACGGACAGAGCGCACACAGAATCTCCAAAGTCACCGTGGACATGATCTTGGCGTGGATGGGGGTGGCACAAGACTCGACCTCTACCTCCACCGAACATTCCACTGGCCACTTGCTGCATTATGTCTCGACCAAAGGCATGGATGAGCTCTGCAGTGAGTGGGATGAGGCGGCGAGATCGTTCTTCCAGAACTCCAACCGATCCCCAATGGATTTTAGTAACACCCGGAGCGTGGAACTGGATTACGAGAATTTACGCCTGTACCTGCCCAGGAAGCCCGCGCCCGTGCATGACTTCGCCAGACGGTGGCAGTCAGACCCAGCGTACAAGACCATGGCCGTGGAGCACCTGATGAGGATCGTCAAGGAGGACGTTCAAGCAATTACCCTCAATCCCGTATTTGGTGGCCTGTGGAGAGCCGTATGCGCGGATCGCAAATACTCTCGCCGACAAGAAATTCTCGATGCCTTCAGCGCCAGCCTCGACCAACTGACGGATGCGGGTAAAAAAGCGGAGATGAGGACATGGCTCGAGGAGTCATACGACCGGAGCGCTGAACTGGCGGAAATCATCAACAGTGTCCCGACAGAGGAGAAATATCCCTGCGTTTTTCTCGATCCCACACTGAATTTTGGGGAAGATGGCGAATCAATGACACCACTGACGAGGCCTCAACTGCTGGAAATTGGCCGTTCTTGTAGCGGCGATGTTCTTCGACGCCTGGGGCGCGTCCTGACTCAATTGACATACGTGGAATTGGCCAGGGACATGCCGGCACACATCGCTACTACCGACGTCAACCAAGTGCCCCGCATACCACTCTCTCTAGCAAGCTATAAACACGACAGACAGTTCTGGAAAGTAATCTTTCACCTGATCGTCCCAGGAACCAAGATATCTGCTCGTCCCGCGGCTCTTGTGGCCGCCCTCTGCCTCAAGTTGGGATTCACGCCTCTTGCTGCAGTGGCGGAACAGGAGATGTTGAGCTTCCGCGATAAGTGGAGTGATGTGTCAGTCCCCGAAAACTGGACGCTTGATTGCCTGAGTTTGCTCCTGGATGCCGACGATACGTATCAGAGCCAGTTTAAACAGGGCGCGTCCGGGACCGGGGAGGAAAGAGAAATTGACCGCCCACGGCAGCTCCTAAACACCGTGGACCGGACGTTGTTCCAGCAACTGATCGCCTTCAAGATAGTGGAAAGTAATCTAGATGCGCCTCTCACTGCCCGAGTGCCCTGGACCCCGGAAAAAACGAAGGCTAGCATTGGGCCACTGGTGTACTGTCAGTCCTGCCAATATCCGCGGTCTGTTACGATCATGGGAGACAGTGGAATTTGTGGGCATTGCCTAGCAGAAGACTATCAGAGTGAGCAGGAAAAAGAAGTGCGAATCCAAGGCCATGTTTCACGCGACGTGACTACCAGCTCGGATGCAACCTGGGTTGAATGCATTGAGCCGAAGTGCCGGGGTCAGTACGTGGTCTACAACCCAGAGTGTCTGGGCGTCCGGGCGAAATGCCACTATTGCCGCTTCAGTGGGCGTCGTCAAAGTCGACGCCCAAGCCCCGTGGTAGAATGCCACAAGTGCCTGAACCGAATGATCTGGCCTCATGCTTACCGACCGGACTCGTTCGCTGAAGACGCGTTCACCTGCCCCCATTGCGAGTCCGGCCTCCCGACAACGATGGAACTTGGTGTCACGGCACGCCAGATAGCCACCGAAAACACCTTGGCTTGGTTGATCCGTGATGCCATGAATCCAAAACACAGCCCCTTCACCGGCCGCTCCTTGTTCAATACCATATCCACTATGGGGACAGACGGCTTCTTGTCTCGCATTGCACTCTTTCCTCCACAGAAGAGAGCCGTGACCCAATCTGCCAAGCCGATTCGGAATTCTGCAGACCTTCTATCCACGCTCCAAGGGTTCGTGACCAGCCGCAGAACGAGCGAGGTGGATTGTTCCCTATGCTTCTCCACATTCCGCCCGGATACCCTGCATGCAGCCTGTGGGCGGCGAGGTTGCGGACAGCGGATATGCACTGCCTGCATGACCAGTTGGTACGGGCTCAATGTCCCAGGTCGCATCATTAACCCGGCCGCGCTGGGGTGTCCCTTCTGTCGCCGGTTTCCGACGGCGCGGACCCTCTACAAGTACGGAGTGGGGATCCATGCAGTGCAAGGGTTGGGAGATGCGGTTCGCGATCAGGGAACGTGGATCTACGCGTGGTGTGGCGACTGCGGGAGCGCGAAGCAGTACCTCGAACGCACTTGCGCGCGAGAAGCCCCGCCGGCCCGAGCGAACTGGTCGTGCGAAGAATGTGTCGATAGGCGAGAGCGTCAGCGGATCCGTACGGACAGAGATCTGGCGGAGCTTATGGCAGAGACCGGGATGTCATCAGAGGCGGCGGAAAGGATCTGCATGATCAAGCCGTGTCCGCAGTGCGGCACGATGACCCATTGCGTCTCGGGCTGTGGGCATATCCAGTGTCCGGTGGGGGAGTGTGGCAGTCACTGGTGCTACTTTTGCGGGGACAGTTTTGCGGAGGATATCATCTACGACCACATGCATGACGTGCACGGGGGAATCTACGTCGCCGAGACGGATGATGAGGATACGGATCTTGAGTAGCATACCCTTTGCATCCAGCGCCAACCAATTTCTGCCGTTCGCTGAACCAGCTGAACCATTTGACCACAATGAACGAATTGTCTACATGAGTTTATGAGATTAAAGAACTGCAATTCAACATGGATTGTCTGCTCGAAGCGGATGATATTAATATAACGTATAACGTACATCCCATGCAATATGTCCCCAATAAATGGCCCCGGCCTCCTTACATGCCGTGAAGTTCTTACGCACTCCCCCATCGGTGCACGGCTACGGAACCCCCATCCACCAAATAATCACTGCCCGTCAGAAACGACGCCGCTGGGCTGGCCAAAAACGCAACCATGCCCGCGATGTCCGACGCGGTGCCCTTCCGGCGCATCGGACTCTCATCCACGAGTTTCTGGATATGCCCGCCAGCCCCTCGCTCGGCCTCCATGCGACTCATAGGCGTGTTGATAACCCCGGGACTGACGGAGTTGATGCGGGCGCCCTTCAGCCCCCACGCCCGCGCGGCGGCCTGCACTCGCAAAATATTCCCCCGCTTGGAGGTGCAGTAGGCCCCGGCCGTCATAGTCTGCGCCTTGGCGGGATCGGACCGGTCAAATCCGCTGGACTCAAGCTGAGGGTGCGACAGCAGCGATGACACCGGCGCGGTGGCCAGGTGCGTCTCGAACTCGGGGGACAGTTTCCCCACGACGTAGTGTCCCACCATGCTGGCGATGACTGTCAGGGTCGCGCCCGCGCCCACAACCGGAAGGAAGGCGTCGATGACGTGGGCCGTGCCAAGGAGGTCGACCTCGTAGATGCGGGCTGGCGGCGCCTGCACCGGGGACACGCCCGCCGTGTGCACGATGGTGGCGATGGGCCCGTCGACCTGGGCGGCTGTCTCGGCAAGACTCTGTACCGATTTCCAGTCCGACACGTCGGTCACGTGTGTAGTGACAGTGTGGCCCTCGTCGCGCAGGGCCTGCGCGGCGGCGTTGAGCTGGGTGGGCGAGTAGTCGGCCAGCACGAGGTGGGTGTTGAGGGCAAGACTGCGGGCTATCGCGAGGCCGATGCCCCCCGTGCCGGTGATGACCGTAACGTTCTTGCGGATTTCAGACATGATGCATGTAATATTCCTTCTCGTAATGGATTGCAGGGACGCAGGAATACGAGGGAGGGGAAAGGGGGGGTTGTTGTCGGTGCGGGGTGTGAAGGCCGACGGTTGGGTGGAGCTTATCCAGTCAACTCGTGTCAGGTGTGGGTTCTGATGTCCGTTCGACCTATCAGGATGACACAAATCCGACGAGATCCACCTCGTGTCGCATATCCGTCGTAGGGGCGGACAACCAAGGGAATCTCCTTCTGGATTGACTATTCTGAAGCTGTCATGGAGATGATCGACCTGGAGACTGCATCTAGGGCTGTCTGCATCATGTGATCGACCGTTTCCCATCGATCGCGCGCTTGTCCTCGGATTTCTGCACCAGGCAATGGCATCCAATGATCTTTTGAGTCTGCTTTCATCCGACAATGGTCCATGTGCGATCCGTGGATAACCGCCGTCGGGTACTGCACAGTGAGCGGTCCGCACCCCGGTGGTTCAATACAGGCGGCCCGACACAGGCGGCCCCAACGAGGAGACGATGTCATAAGAACGCCACCATTCCCATGTAATGGGATCAACCCCAACTATCGGTTAACAATACGTTACTGCGGTATTACAGTTGAATAAAAAGAAGAAAGAGAAAATATGTCATCAGGCTGGAGACCTCTCACCGTCGGCATCGTGGGTGGCGGCATCGGCGGGCTGGCGGCAGCGATCGCACTGCGACGGGCGGGCCACGACACGGTCATCTACGAGCGTCATGACTTCAGTGGGGAAGTGGGCGCGTCCATCTCCTGCGCAGCGAATGGGACGCGCTGGCTGCATGAGTGGGGGGTGGACATCGCCAAAGGGGACCCCGTCATATTGCGAAAGTTGATCAATCGCGACTGGAAGACGGGTGATCCGGTCAGCGTCTACGATTTGGACGGGTACGAGGAGCGGTGGGGGTTTGTGTATAATATGTTCCATCGCCAGTATATGCATGCGATGTTGAAGGACTGTGCGATGCAGCAGGAAGGACCAGGGAGTCCCACGCGGCTCTTGGTGAATCATCAGGTTTGCATGCATCTGTCGTGACTAGTCGAAAGCAAGGGACAGAAAGCTAACAGAAGCAGTGCAAAGACATCAATCTGCAGACGGGTGTCATTACCTTCACTAACGGTAAGACCGTCCGCCACGATCTGATCGTCGGCGCCGATGGCATCGGCTCGTCCGTCCGCAGCATTCTCGGCCTCCATCCGGAGAAGAGACCCGCCGATTCGAGCTGTCTGCATGCGAACGTCAAGACCGAGGACGCCGTACGGCTGGGACTGGTAGACTACTCCCAAGACAGTGCCCTGGAGTACTGGGGTGGCCAAGAAGGCAAATGGGACAAGATCGTCCTGTCGCCCTGCAACGGAGGTCGACTGCTGTCGTATTACTGCTTCTTTGCGCGCGAACAAGGCGACTTCACTAACCACACCTGGGGAGGCGACGACCTGCCGGTGAAGGACCTCCTGGCCCCCTATCCTCACTTGGACAGTCAAGTGTTGGAACACTTAAAGATTGGCCAGGAGATCCGTCCATGGCGGCTGTGGATTCAGTAAGCCAATCCCACCCATCGCGGCATGACCGTTGCGCTAACCTGTACCCAGTAAGCCGTACCCGTATATCACCCACAGCATGGTCTGTCTGCTGGGCGATGCAGGGCACCCGGTATGTTTATGTCTCTATTTGAAACGGAAAGGCGGCTAATGAAGCCCACAGATGATGCCCCACCAGAGCCAAGGGGCTTGTATGGCCATCGAGGACGCCGCAGCCCTGGGTGTTCTGTTCAGCCCAGCCTATTTCTCTGGTGATGTGGCGGACACCCTGCAGATCTACCAGGCAGTGCGACTTCCGCGAGCCACCAAGGTGCAGGCGGCGTCAGCGAAGGCGGCTTACAACATCAACGAGCGCATCGGTGAGTGAATTGGTGATGGTTGCGCGGGTCGATAAATGTGTTGATTCGTTGCAGGCTTTTCTAGCAATACCAATACGGCCACATACAAAGTGGAGGATGAGAAGCAGAAATTGACCATCGAGGAGATGAACGCGTGAGTACCTAGACCACTATTGCGGACTACCGGCTAATTCGAATTCAGATACGATATGTATATGGACGTGGAAGAGGTCCTCGCCGCGAGGAGGAGTCAGCCGTTTACCCGCAAGTTTATAAGAGGTCTGCCCATGGGGTTGAAGCTGTCGAATGGAACCACTGTGGGAGACCTGGAGGGAGCTCATGGCAAGCCCCATCTCTGATCTTGGAATCTGTGCCATTGTACATATGATGACATCACGTGACGACCACTGTAGTTACACAGATGAGGATACTGCACTTCTCTCGGGCTTGACATTCCAAACCCCCTATATGGAATTCAGATGTACATAAGGCCTAGGGAGCAGATGATAATTGAGCTATTTCACACTATTGACATCACCGGCTTCGCCTTGCGAATACTGTTGTTGAAGTCTCATTCTTTGCCACTAGACCAAAAACACCAATTGGCGAGTGGTAAGAGCTTGAAACTACTGATATCCAATTGGCTAGTGGTAAGGGCTTGAAACTATTGATATCCAACAACTGTTCGGTAAAATAGAAGACTACGAGATACTGCAAATAGAGAAGCCGCGACACCCCCACCATGAGAGTGGATTACCGTGGACTATAGGCCACCGTGATATCAGTCGAGCGCATGATCGCCTCTTCATCGTCCTTGGACGCAACAACCGGACGCTCACCCCTCCTCTGGCTTGCCTCTTCGCTCTCCACAGCCGTCCATTGAGAGTCAACGTCGGTAATATAGTCCCACCGGCGAGCGCGTTTCTTCGGCGTCATCTGATAACTGTCGGCACTTGGTTCTAGGGGGGTCCCTCGCGAGCCCATGGTTGAGAAGACTCCTGGGAACGCTTTGGCGAACAGCGGCCGCATGGCGGGCAGGCAGGCACAGATGATGCAGACGTTGATCTCCACCATACTTTCTCAGCGTCAGCCTTGTGGGTGAGAGATCGGACGAGACATACACACCACCACTTCGCGATGGTCACCTTATACCAGGTCAAGTCATTGCTGTGGCCAAAGGGCAACATGGTCACAATCCTAACGATGGCCACCACGCAGGCACTGTCACGGCCCGTCAGTGGGGAGAAGGGGATATGGCTGCGGTGCCGAGTGGGGTCCACATACAATGAGCCCATTGTGAAGAGACCCAGGAGAAGGGCCTTTTGCCGGAACGTGGTCTGGAGATTATAGCACAGCTTGATGGGAAGGACCAGGGTGACCAGGTCGGAGAACACATTGCACGCGGCGTTCGCATACACGAACGACAATTGGTCAAAACACTTGGCATGGTCCATCAGGGTGATGTCCCACATGGCGTCCACGGGGATACAGCCGATGGTGAAGAGAAGGACGCTGATTACACTGTACAAAATGACAAAACCCATAATAGCCCAGGTAAGCTGGCGAAATCGTCTCTCGGGGCTGAGACGCAGGTAGAAGACGAGGATCGCCGTCTTGACGAGGCCGACCCCAATTGCGTAGACGTTTTCCTCCCCGAGATCCACCTAGTCGGGCGGTTTAAGCAAGATATTTTCCATTTTGTACCGAGGGAGGCGTACCTTTTTGAAGTTAATGACGTTGTGCACGCGTAGGTTCCAAATATGTACTCCATATCCATTGGGGATATCTTAAGCGGATTTAGCGAGGTCCGCAAAAGGGAAGCATTGACTCGACATACTAGCAATACTGAGAATTGCAAAGATCCAGGCGCACACTGAGCCCCCAACGCAGAGCCCTAGATGTGGACCAGTTCAACACATCTCTTGACACAGAAGGATTTTGACTCACTTACAGTCATCCAGACCCAACGCCCGCAGAATAACCCCCCGCGTGTATAAACGTGCCATCAGAACGAGCGTCGCGGTGGCACACATGGAAATACTGACAGAGTATATCTCATACTCCGACCCGGGCGGGTTGACCAGGTTGGGTTTTACCCCCGGTGGCGGCGGCGACGCCGGCATCTGATACTTATTCATGGCTCACAGGGTGCTGAAAGAGCGTGGTAGTAGCAGAAAAAGAACGTCCATGCAGTGACAGTGCTCTGGGATCTGTTAAAAATCAGGACCAGCCCCTGAGAAGTCAAATGGGGAGGGGACATATATAGCCTTGCGAAGCCCCTGTCCCGGGCCCACCGTTGAGCGAGACCAAGACCCCAGCTCTTGCGGACTGTTCATCTCCCACTACCCATGCCATTCAAAACCCGAGAATTTGGGTGCTGGTTCCGTCCGGGGTGTGAATTGCCGAGTCCACGGTGCAGCCAAACCCATGACGCCGTTGATCAATTGGACAGGTCAACCGGAAGATTTGGCGGAGCGTCTCGCGTCCACGCAGCCTGAACATAAGCTTTCCCCAGTCTAACTTTGATCGACGCGCCAACGACGCAAGGGGGATCGGGTGGCGTAAAATGTCACGACGATCGATCCACCGCCTCGGGAAATGGGGGATAGATCTAAGATCTGCAGAGACGATCTATTACAGCTCCAATCTACGAAAGGACACCTGTTTGGGAACACGAACCCTTGAATGTATGGAGGGAATACATAAACACAATGACTTTGTGGAGACGGGATGAGAGATATGCAGAGGAGGTTGATTTCGTGAATGCAAACGACTGCGAGGCGTGGTTCGAGCAGTGATTGGAAATGACCTTTTTATAGAGGGCGCCAGCTCAAGTCTCCTTGTGTTAGATCTGCGTCAAAAGTTTCCATATGTGATCCCGAACACTAGATAGATAAATAGTGTATACATTGTCAATAGCCCCTGGCTCTAATTGATAGCTAGAATATGTCAAGTCGTAATTAAATGTACCAAAGCAATGACAAGAATGATATTATTGTTACTGTTTATACTCGGTACAATAATCTTCAATCTTGACAAGCATACACTAGGGACGATAGAAAGATATCTTATAAACCTGTTAAGCATACTTTACTGTAATTTGTTTGATGCTTGTTTGATGATACTCCAAGAGTTTGTATTTGTTTCTCACTCAATTATTCAATCGTGCATCTGTCTCGTTATCACAATAGTATTTTTGACAATTTATGTGACGAGCCGTGCCTTGTACATGATATGAAAAAATAAAGCTAGTGATTCCGAAGTAATTAGGAAGATTTATATATATATACCATTATATTAAGGAGTATAACCTTCACGTCCAAATAGATCATTGTGGGAATTGACTTAATATAGTGTTAAACTCCATTGATGATTGATTTTGACCGAGTTCTATACATAGTGGCACAACGTCATCGTAGGGACCGTCATTTTATCTTACACATTGAATTTGGTATGAACGAAAATAAGCACAAGTAAACCGACCACGCTATCTAACAAGCTATGTACACGATATCGGATGGGAGTCGACCTCACGCCGCAGCCGTCGACTCTGTCTTGGGTGGCCACTTGACGCGTCGCTCGGCCCGGACGTACAGGTTGTTGGGACGGATCAGCTGGAACATGGGATCGTACTCGATGGGCTCCTGACCCTCGCGGATGAACTTGTACCGGTACACCAACTTAGGCAGGAACACCTTAATCTCCTGCAGGGCGAAGTTGAAGCCGATGCACATGCGCTGCCCCGTGGCGAATGGGATGTAGGACGCCTTGTGTCGGTTCTTGACCTGCTCCGTGTCCCACCGGTCGGGATTGAACTGCTGCGGGTTGTCCCAATGGTCGGCGTTCATGTGAATGTGGTGAAGCGCGGCCACCACGACACTGTCCTTGGGGATCTTGTACCCCCCGGGCAGGATGAGGTCCAGCTGGGCGGTGCGTCCCGGCTGGTACGATGGGTTGTGTCGTCGTTGCGTCTCCTTAATAAACTTGTCCACGTAATCTAGTTTGTCCGTCAGGTCCGCCGTGATCGGGGTGTTCTCGTCGATGTCGTTATCGATCAGCTCCTGCAGCAGGCGGTCCTGCACACCCGGGTAGGTGACCATCGCGTAGATCAGCCACGACAGCAGTGAGCTCGTCGTCGTGAAACCGGCCGCTGTGGCCACGAACAGCGCCGGGATCAAGCTGGACTGCGGCAGCTTCTCACCCTTGTTGTCCACCGCACGGACGGCGTAGTCTGTTCCGTTAGTATCCTATTCTCATGGGATTGTAGGGAGCCGAGGTAGAGAATATCCTTACCAACCATGTTGGATGCGCGGAGAGCGGCATCCTGCAGGGGCAAATCGACTACACCCCCACGCTCGGCTTGCCTGATCTGCTCGGCGACCATCTCATCTAGGCGAGCACGCAGCTTGCGCAGGTGTTGAGGGTCACCGAAGGGCAGCTTGGCGTACCAATCACCGCGGGAGGTGACCTTCTTGTTCAGCGACAGCAGTTCGGCGATGCCGTCGACCATCTCGTGTAGCGGGGCGTCGGGGGAGGTGAAGTGGTTGAAGTCGAAACCCAGGGTGAGCTTGCCCACCGCCTGCGACCCCAGCTTTAACATGTACTGGTAGACGTTCCATGCCTCGCCCTGCTCGTCGAAGGCGTCAAACACCTTGAAGGAGTCTTCCACTGTTTGCTGCATGGTCGGAGCATAGTGCCGCACGGCCTTGGGCCCCAGGGCGGGGGGCAGGAATTTGTGCGTGATGCGCCACTCGGGGGTATCGGTGTCCCCCAGGAAGATGCCCGCATCGCGCGTCTTGAGAGCAGCCAGCGGGTGAGATTCGTTGATCACTTTGGAGAAGAAGTCCGACTCGGCCAGCACAATGGCAGACAGGGTCGGGTCGTTGGTCTGGTAAATTACCCGACCAAGACTGGTAGTCTTGATGATCGGGCCGTACTGTTCGAACAGGCGCTGGTGATTCCCCAAGTGGTCGGGGTAAATCTGGAGGAAGTTGCCCACCATGGGCAATCCCGTGGGCCCGGACGGTTCACGAACGGGGTTTCCGTCGATCGTAATGGCAACGGGACCATTGGCGGCGGTAATCTCGGAGAGTCCGTTCAGAATGGTGTCCTCGAGTTGGAATCCAATGCCTATCCAGTCAGTATGCCACCAGAATAGAGGAACAGAGGGGGAGAAAGGGGAAAGCAGTCTCACCATTGGGCTCTACGACAGCAAAGTGGGCTGCCAGCAAGTCTTTGAGGTCGACTAGGGTGCGGATAGCGCCCACCTCGATGTCTTTGGCGTTGGAAGTCGGTTCCCCGAGGAGATAGAAGCGTTGTACTGACATTTTGATGGATGTCTTGTATGATCAGACGATAGGAGGGTATGTCGCTGTCCACTGGCGACATTCTCACTATATAAGTAGCGTATAGATATTGCATGGACGATCCACACCGAGGTAGGCAAGTCTGCAAGGAGGGATGAGGCGTGTCATTCTAGAATTGAACAGACCCATGGCTGGAAGTAGCTGCTACCTCGGTGAGTGGGTCCAGATGTTGCTTTCCGACTGGCTCGACACACTGTTGGGGCGGGCAGCATAGTAGCATATTACCGAATCCGGTAACTTCCCTCGGCATGCCGACGTGACAGCGGGATCGGATCGGCACCGGGATCGGGTGTCTCCACTTTCTGTCTTGGCCGTTTCAGGGTTTTCCATTGCGTCGTCTTTCCCCTTGTGGATGTCAACGTGGCAACCAATCTTATTCGAGGCATTATTCCCCTATCGTTACCTGAGTCGCTGGCAGACTTCGACAGTTATTCTGGCCCGCTTCATTTCTGGGTCTACGGTTGAAGCTTCTGATCGCTTCAGAAGGGAGAAGGGGGGTTGGTATTGTTATCCCACGATGACGTTAGGAGTGGATAATAGGGGGACAGTACAGAGGGACATTTCCCTCACCGATTGCAAGGGAAAGCAAACGCCACAATGACCGAACCCGATCCATGCCCACGGGCTCATCTGACATGGATGAAGATATCATCCGACATATTCTTACCACGAGAAAATGCCGTATTTTTGTAAATTGACCAGAAAGTGGCAGCACGACTACATCTTAGCCAAGGCAGAGTTAAAGGTATAGATAGGTATCAGATTGATCTCGAATAGTAGCTTTCGCATAATGGTCTATGTCAGTATTGATACATGATAAAAATTACAAACAGCACACCCAAATGGTGAAACACCGGCCACTATGTACAGAGAAATAAACACCGGGAAACAACAGAAATAAAACGTAAACAACAACAAAGAAAAGTCATAGAAAAGGGTCGCCTTAGAAACAGAAGATCTCATCTGTCATCTTGGCCACAGCCCCTGGAGAGGCATACCCAGCAGCCACCAAGCCCTTCTTCGCCGCGTTAACCATGCCTGGCGGTCCACACAGCATCGTCTTGGTGTTGGGGCCCGCCGCCGGGAGCTTCTCCGCCATCACCGCCGGCGTCACGTAGCCCGACCCATACGCCCAGTCCTGCGGCGGGTGATCGAGCATGTACCAGACCTTGAGGTTCTGCGGGTACCGTCGCGCGAACGCGTCAAGCTCGTCCCGCAGCAGGATGTCCTCCTCGGTGCGATTGGCGTACACCAGTGAGATCTGGGTCGTGTCCGTGTCATCCTCGCAAATGGCTCGAATGAGCTGGTACATGGGCGTGATGCCCGTCCCACCCGCGATCATGCCAATCTGCCGGCACAGTCCGCGCTGGTATTTCATGGCACCCTTGGGCCCGCGGAACTGCACGCGGTCGCCCACCTCCAGGTTCGCCAGGTACTTTCCTGTCAGGAGGCCGTCCGGGTAACACTTGATAACTAGCTCTAATCGGCCCAGGTCGAGGTTATTAGATGTCGGCGTGTACGAGCGGGAGACAGTCTGGCCGTCAATGGTGGCCTGGATGGCGACATGCTGGCCGATGGGCAACCCGATCACGTCGCGTGGACCCGGCAGCTGGAAAACGAAGCGGTAGACGTTAGGGGAGAGGACGTCTTTCCGCACCAGTGGGAGGTTTTGGTAGGTCTTGGGGTGGAGGAAGCCCTCCACAAGGTGGGGGTTGGGTGTGGGCCTCCGGCGCGACTTCATGTGCGGCGGGTAGTGTGTGAAACCGGTCTGG